GAATATCACTAAATAACGAGCAAATTCACTTACCACTTGTCGGATTCTATCTTGCTCGTCATTAGGCAGGTGGTCAAGATTTAACCTTGGCGGTTCAACCTTTTCTACACGCACTGGTTTCATTGTCAGCTTAAGGGATGCTTCATTAAAATCCAGTAGTGTAGCTTGTGCGTCTGAAAGAAAGTCTATTCCTAAGATTAAATGTGCTTGCAGATTCTTTACTATAAAAAACATCACCTTTACTTGTTCGTCCTTGATACGGATATACAAAGGTACTTTACCTATGCACTTACATTTTTCTCCTTGCGCCGCTAATACTGTCGTATTATCCGCATTATATATGCGGTATTTGCGAAAATACTTTCTAAAAAAGACTTCTGCCACACAGGAACACTGCGCGCCGGTATCCAGGAGTGCGGTGGCCGGGATATTATTCACCAAGACTTCAATCTTCGGAAGAGTCAAAGTCAAATTTTTCACCATTACTGTATTTAACTTGTAGGAAGAGGGGTTTTCGTGGCCTTCGGATTTCCGCACCCTCTCGTCAGCAGAAATCCGTTTTAGTTTAAATTATTTTTCCTTTCCGTGCTTTCCTTCTTTTTCCCCTGGCCTTGAGACTTTTTTCCTGGGTTGCTATTGAACTGTCGACGTTCGCCGGCTGTTTTTGAATGCTCGGGTTTCCTTGCCCACTGATTCGCTTTTTCTCCGTAGCCGTATGTGCTTGAGTTTGCTGTAGTCTTGGCGTACCAAATTGGTTTCGCTGTTGATATTGGCGTCTTCTTTCGACGTCCGCCGTTCTTCTACTTTCAAACTGGATTGCTAGCTCAAATAACTTTTCCAGTGTAGTCGGATTTCTTAATTCAATAAAGTCTTGCACTTGGGGTAGTAACCTCGGCAAAATCACTTGAATTATTTCAGGATCCGGACGGTTTCCATACAAGAGCTTGAAAACGTGAATTTTTCTTAAAATAAAGCTCGAGAGGTTTTCGATTCTTTGTTGATATATACTAAAAAGTTCCTGTTTCTAATTTCGCACGATCCCTTACAACAGGGAAGGCTTTTAGTAGGGCAGTCTTGAAATTTTCGTAAGTATAGGTGGGACTTCCTGCTTGACCCAAGAGACTTCTGCCGATACATTTGAACCAGTTAAGCGCTTGGCCCCTCAAAGCGCTGGTAGCTAAGGTAACTTTTTGAAACTCGTGCACGGGGTAGAGCATGAAGTGGTCATCCAATTTTTCCAAAAAACTGGTTACCGGTGAGTTTCCATTAAACGTTGCTTCTGGTTTCATCGAAGCGCGCATGGTCTGGACGATGTAACCCAAATCCTTCCAGGGCGGCAGCTGGCATTTCTGGATTCTGAGCCGTTTCTGCAGGCAGCACAGGTTCTTCTTGAAACTCGGCCATGGTTATTCTTCTTCGTTGGGCGCCACTATCAGGTTCAATGTTTCCTTCTAACCTTCTTCGGGAACATACAATGACCTGACTAGGAACAGAGAGCTTACTAAAGCTATGTTCACTAATTGTAGTAAGTAGACAGGATACAGACGAAGGGTATACAAAACCCTTTATTTTTCTCTATATACAATGACTTCCGTACTTCGGAATACAATGACCCTCCACTCGGGGTCTAACGTAAAAGATATAAAAATAAAACTAAACTCTAATTTAACTTTAGAATAATACACGTGGAAGATTGGCCTTATAATAACAGGAAGCGTATGTAGCACAGAGACTGTGAACACTACAATACGTTTAATTTATCAAGAGGATTAAAACCTCTGGCCTGGAAGGCAAATAGCAACTGCGTAACTTCTAAGGTAAGCGGCCTGCTTCGAACTCACTGCTTCCTCTCTTTTGCTTGGCAAAAAGCCACAACTTAAGTACTTGGCGTTCGCCAGACAAACTTTGCATAAAATCCTTCACGCTTATAATTCTGGCCGGAAGTAGAAAATAAGAAGTGATAGTAAAGATTTAAAATAAAATAAACGTTAGTAAAACTTAAGATCCTTACAAGGCTTTTTACAAAATTTTATAAACCATATTAAAATGTTTATGCCTTCAAAATAAAAAATTCTTAGAACTAACATTTGTTAAAGTTTTTTATGTGTATACTGTATGCTGTCGCCTACAAAGTCGGCGAAACAGGAAAGTACCGGGCGAAGTTCCAATAACTTTTCTGTTGTTTGCTATATACATTGATACCAACTTTTCTTTTTGAGAAGCACTTGCGGAGCTTGTTTGTTGATTTTCTCTCTCTCTCTCTCTCTCTTTTTTTTTTTTTTTTCCCATAAAATTAGGAGGCTATCTGTTGTTTTCAGCAATTCATAGTATGTATTCTGTTTTGTACAAGTATAACTCTGGCATGGAACAAAATTCTTTGGCATATTTTGGTAAAAAAAATAGAAGGCACATATTTTATGCAGATGAAAAGAAAATTAACCAAATGGGATTATTACAAGATTACCTGTTGATTTGTGATAGATTGTAGTCTTAATTGCCATCTCTTAAAACTAGAAAGTCAAGAAACTGAATGCTATTATTGATTTTTCTGTTGATTGTAAACTGCAAATTGGGGTTTATCTTAGTTAATATTATAAATATCATTTCTGACAATAATATTACAAATATCATTTCTGAACAGACAATTTCATCAAAGTACCTGAAACTTTTGGAAATTTTCAAAGTAAATTTTGTTTTTTGAGCATACTCTTTTTAAAGGGAACATATCCTTTTTCTCTTACATACTCTTATCTTCCCTCTTTTTTTTAGATCTCTACCAGTAAGATAATAATTGCTATCTTCTTCAATGATATTATTTTCCATCTCTTCATATGAACTTCCTGACACATATCAGTTTTATCTTCGCCTTTTATATCGGATTTGACTTCTCTTCTAAATCTTCATCATCACCGCACAGTATTTAAATTTCTTCAACATCTTTGGGGTTTCGTTGATCAAAATATTTCTTTTATTTTTATCCTCCATGAACTGCATGTAAATACCCTAAAAATATGAAAAGATGTTATAATACTTTATGTAAGTGCAGTGCATCAATATAAATATTTTTCAAAAAAATTTTTTTAATTAAATAATTGATTGTTAAGTATACAAATATGCAAAATTAACTGACCAAAATGTCTAAATAAGAAAGCTTTTAACTTGTTGCGTCCACTTTTAAACTGTTGCGTGGGCATAGTGTGTCAATATGAGTAAACAATCGGCCTTTTTATTTCCCAAGAGCCATCAAAACACTAAACACTGTTTGCGAATCATGAATGGGAAGACATTAAGCCACTGAGCAGTGGATGACACTGACAGCTACCAGTAGCAAATGTAAAAAAAAAACTGTTCAGCACATATTGGTGCTTCTGACCTCTTGATTCTTAACCAACATTATTTGTAAATTAATCAGTATGTAGTATAATTCATAATATTAAAATTTTTCTGTCTTAAAATTGGGATATGCGGTTTGTCATGAAATTCAGTTGTAAGATAGGTGACAGCTGTTCGACCTGGCATTTAGTTGTTTGTGCAGATGACCAATGTTACAGTAGCATAATGTAATGTATTATAATAAACATTAATGTGACAAAAGAAATGGACGTAATTGAATTTAAATTTTTTTTCAAGTGTTAAAATGAAAGCATAAATAATAAGAACTGAAAATTGTCATTAAAATTAATATATAGCTTTAACCCTCTGACTGCTCAATTTGTAAACCGAAATCGCTTCCAAAAAAAAATTTTTTTTTTTTTTTCCTATTTTAAATCTATATATATTGTAGAATTGAAAAAATGCATTTTCCTTTCTAGAAAATATTTTTTAATATAGATTTTTATCGTAAGAAACTAATTTGCCAGAAAAACCAATTTCAGATGTTATCACCCCCCAAAATTTTTTTAAAATAAATTTCAGTTGAATTAGTCAAACTACAGTTAATTTCTATTTATTGCATAATATAAAAAGTAAAATATATAAAATTTAAGAAAATATAAGGCACTGAGGGAAAAATACCTTAGAAATGCAGTTTAGTATGATAGAGGGTTCAAAACAGGGTTCAAGGCAAAGTCCAACTTCACAGTCTTTGCATCAGATTCAATAAATCTAACTATTAATCTAATTAATAATTAAGTAATCAAGATAATCGCCGAGTGTTTTCTAGCAGCCATGTTTTCTAGCCGAGTGTAAGAAAAAAGCGCAAAAAGTGAAGTTTGAGCGGTAATACCATGTGCCTTCAAATGCCACAATTTAGTGGACAACTAACAATATTTGTTGGCAAAAATGTAAACTAAATGTTTAATACTGTATAATTTATTTCAGTGGTTAAAAAATAGGATGTGCTTCTCAATAAAGGAAGAAAAACGCATGCCCATGGAAATCGCGGGATGAGCAGATTTTGCTACATTTGAGTTGCCCATGGAATTCGTGAGATGAGCAGGCAGAGGGTTAATATAGATATAAAAAGATATGTATATATATTTTTTAATTTCAGTGCAAGTTGTTACAAACAGCAAATGGCACCAATATCCCAAAGATTACCTTTCACCAATGAACCACACAGTATTAAATTAGTAGAGATACCTGCACAGTCTGAAGCTTCAAGTAAGAAAGTCAAGATTTCTGTGGGCTGCTGTCAAAATCAGAAATTGGAGCTTGGATTTCATGAGCTTCATATATCAGAGTAACTTAAAATTTCTTTTAGTACCTGTGTGTTTTAATGTTTTTTAACTGTATTACTAATTAATTACCTTAGAATTGTTCTTAAAATGACATTGAATTTTATATCTATATATGTGTATATATACTAATAACTTTTTTTTAGTGCTGAAATATTATAGCACTCATTTTTCTCCTATTTTTTTAATTTGTGTCTCCTTTGCATTATGTTTTTTAAAATATTTACATAGCATTAAATAAAATAATAAATTAAAAAAGTATTTATCTGAAGTTTCTTTTATTAGTAAGTACTGTTAAAATTTTAATGCCATTCGAGACAACATATTAAGAAAAAAATCTTTCTCAGTATATGTGACTACAAATAGAACTAGACTTTGATAACTCCTGTCACTAAAAAAATACAAAACAGCAATCAGTGTTATTAATGAATAAATTACATTAATTCTATGTTAAACAATATTTTTTTTACTTGTCTTTACATAAAGTACCTATAACATATTGATCTGCTTTAAATATAAAATTAAAATACATTTTTTAAGGGTGAGATGGGATTCCCTGGGGGGGGGAAACACCTTATAGTTTTATGGGTTCTGTGAGTTTACAAGGAAAGGTGTGTGAAGGATGTTAATGCAAAAAGAAATGTAAAATCTTCTCATCAAAATTATGTTCTACTTTAATCATTTTCTGTTAACTGTGCTGAATACGATCAGTGATAATTATGGGGAAATATATTTGTAAGCTACTTGACTTTTTTTATTTATTTATTTTTTAAAATATTTTTAATGGAATACAAATTTCATATTATATATTTTTAGTGAATCTTTAATAATAGTATTCTTCTTCCTAATTTTAGTGTAGTATTAAATAAAGATCTGATGTCTTTGCATGTTGGGGATCGAATTTTAGAAGTAAATGGCACTCCTCTGCAAAATCATTCCTTAGAAGAAGTAAGTTTAACACTAAGCATGAATTAATTAATATATAAAATATACTTAAAAAATTCAGCAAATGGAATTAGGAAAACAAGCAAAATGGAAAATATGAATAAGTTACATTTATTGACTTTCAGAAGAATTGCTTTTCACTGCAATACACCTTTGGGAAAATTTATAAAGCTACTGGAAACTGCTAGTGAAGGCATCTAGTAGATTTCAGAACTGTTGTCACACATTCTTGGATGGCTGACGCATCCACAAAGTGGGCACCTTTCATGACCCTATTCAGATGAGAAAATAAAAGTCTGCAGGTCTGATCAGGGAAGTATGGTAGATTATCAAGAACAGGTGCACTGGGCTGAGCCAAGGTTGGGCAAGCATTAATCGGATGGTGCACTGGCATGTTATTGTGCAGCAACATCTGATATTCAAGCTTGTGCACTCTTGCTGAACACATTGTTTAAAACAATCATTTCAGTGCTTCCTGATAGAATACACTGTTGATAGTTTGATCCACAGTAATAAGTTTCCTAAGGATGATGCCATTAATTATGAAAGAAGGCTACCAAAATTTTCCTGAGACGACTCTTTTTGGGTCATAAAGAAGAGAGTGAATTCTGTCAATTGCTGTTTGAATTCTATATTGAATTAAAAGCTTCAGATCTCATCTCTTTGTACAGATGAATCACAGAAAGGATAGATCATGGTCACATATGGTATTAAAAAACTTCAAAAATTTCTATCCGTTTTTACTTTCCTGCTTATTTGTCCATTTCTGATGTATAAGCCGGGTGCACATCTTCTACTAACTAAATATTTGTCAGTGGTGATTTGCACCATATCCTTATTTAATGTCCACTTCTTCCGGCATTAATCATGGAGTCAGATGCACTTGTATGTATTTTGCTTTTTTTTTTCTATCATAACTGTTTTACCAATGGCTAACTTGAATGTAGGTAATCCTGAGTTACTTCCTTTGGTAAAAATGTTTGAACCAGTTGTAAATATATTTCTATTCATGGTTCTGTCTCATATACTTACACCATCATTTAATGTGTCTTTATCACCATTTTCCTCTATTTATAGTAAAACATGATGTTCACTTGTTACTCTGTCACACTCTCTTTTAAACGGCTGCAGATAGTTTATCATAATGGCCAATTTATTCCACACTATATGATACTTATCATGTGTCTTAAATGCATGGCTTCGCTAAAGATTCTATCGAGATAATGAGTCATTTAATGAACTTTTTAGACACATTATATATTCTTATTCATGCGTAGAGGAAATATCTGTCATTTTGTGAAATTCATGCTTTAACCAGGAAAATGTATATCTTTTTTAAAAACATTTATGTCATGAAACGATATCCAGATGATTTTGTGAAATATAAATGCATATATTTCAATTTTTGTATAATATAATAAGGTTAGCAGGATTGTCCATGAACAGAAATTTATGGATGAAGACATTGTAGTAGTCCTGAGGCCAATCAAATGCTCGTACAAGGAAACTGTTGAAATAAAGCACTGCTACAAAACATTCAATTGACTGATATTCTATCCCAAGTGCATTTACCACTTTCAAAAATGCTGGTGTGCTCCTAGCACAACATATCCCTATATGCTAATAGATGACAACATAAGCAAAACACCAACAGACCACATAAAATAACACCGAGGACTGCCACAGTATTATCAGTATAGCGGGAAATACTACTTCATGTTCTCTCACTGCTGTTATTTTCATTCTCTTGACAGTATATTGCTATTAAAAATTACTTTGTAACTGTGTTTAGGCAGATTTTAAAATTACATTTTCATTAAAATTAATAATTTAGCATTTACATTTTTTTCCATTTTTATGTTTAAATCTGTCTTTTATCTATTTTACTGATATGCTTTTAACAGGTAATTATAAAATTTGTTAAACAAATTTTCAGGTTAAAAAATTAATTCAAGCTCGTGATAAACCAGTCCAGTTAACTGTTGAACATGAACCTGCTGTGCTTATACGATCTCGGTCAATGAATTTTTCCTTAGATTCTTCGCAGTTCCTACCTACAAATAGGCATATTGTACCTAAGTGCTCTTTATCACACAGACCTGCTCAACAAAGACTTCGAAGGTCATTGTCACTGCCTCGAAATTTTGTTAGGTAATTCTGTTTTAAATTATGTGTTTTTACTTTTATATCAGTTTGTTTTTATGAAATGTTCTGCACTGGATTAAATTCTATTTGTTATGTTATTTTGTGAAGGGAGTTAATTTATATGTTGCCAGGATAGGAATGTTAAGCATTGCATTCTTATGCTCTAATGTAGTGTCAAAGGCATATTTTAGGCATATTTTTTGCAATTTTTTACCATGATTACATTAGTTCTGTTTAAAATTACATTTAAAATAAATTCCTATATGAAATTTCATGTTTAGTAGCTTTTTGGTTGAAATTTTTATTATTTTATTTAATTATAATTTAAGTATTTTATTAATTTATTTTTCCTGGTGTTTTGGTTTATCGAAAGGAACAATTGTCAAAATTCCTGTCATCTTGCAAAGAAAATACTGTGTTAAGACGTTTATATATTTCTCTATGTCATTCCTCATATTAATTTCACAGTAATAAATATTGTCAGTATAACTAATAGGAAAGGTATTTTCTAGCTATTAGTACAGTTTGAAACAAATCTGAGAAAATATCCCTTTCGACTGCTCTCATATCCATTTGAATGGTGATATATTCCCATTGTGTTACTTGGCTTGATGAAATTAGTTTTTTTTATTCCTATATTTTGGCAAATTGTGACTTTTTTATTTTAAAAGTGATTGAATTATGTTGTTCCTGAGTTCTTGTTAGGGTTTTTATGCCTTTAGTTAATCTGCATACAATAATTGTAGAATTATCAACAAGTTTAAATGGTGAGTTAAGCCTAACGAGGTTGCCATTTGTTTTCATGTGAAACTCTTTGTAGAATAGTGAATTAAGTCAGTTGGTTCATGACTTTAGTGTCTTTTTGCTCAATGGGATCAAAAGTTAAGTTTCAGTTTCGTGCATCAAAAATATTTTCTTCCTGTGCGCTGGCCGAATGGCTTGTTATCTTGCAGAAACTCTTCGAAATTAGAGTTTCATTTGATTATAAAATTAGAAAAGTAATTAAAATATTGCAAAAACAATTTTTTTAATTGTTTCTAATAATTTGATGTTTTAAGTTTTCCCTCTATTTGACAATATTTAATGAAGATGCTTTGATTTTTTATGTATTTTTGCCCTGCTTGAGAACGAAATTCGAGGAAATATGTTTAAATGAAGTGCAGAAAAAAATGTGTATAGTTCAGTTGGCTGTACAAGGAAGTCATGTGGTGTCCACATCAGACTTTTCTTATTTAAATAAATATAGATGAATATAAAATATATGAACAAACTGTTTCAAGCCTTTTTTTTAAACTGAAGCTATTTGTTTATCATATATTACTTTGTCATGAAATTCACTTGGTATTGTTGATTAAATCAAACTTTTATATTTTCAGGATTGATTTTTTAACTTATTACAATTGAAAATATATGAGGAGAGGCTAGATCAAGAGAATAACTGGAGATTTTCTCCTTTAATGTAGAAAAATCATGAATAAACAGTGTAGTGTGTGTAGATGCTTTGTTACATTATACAAACTCATGCGGGCAATTTCACAATGTGCTTCTATACGTACAATTGTTGACATTTGATTTATCACACTTTTTTAAGTCTTGGGGAAATTTTCCAATCTTTAATGAGGCAGAAGGACTTTTTATCTCCATGTTAGAACCATAATCCAGGTCTTACAACCAGTATTAATTATTTCATGGAATTTTTGTCTTTTATTTGTGTAATTCAAAAGTAAAAATAAGCAAAATAAAATAAAAAGATTACAGAGAATTTCCTTTCTGATCATGAATCTGCATATACATTACATTTCAATACATTTATAATTTTTTGGTCAAAATGTAATGGCATAACTTATTTGATATGTTGCTACTGTTAGTAATTTCTCAATCAGTAAGTCAACAGTTTAAATGTTTTAATATCTTGAAATCTGAGCAGTGTAAGTATTATTAGCTGTCTCTGAAAGCTGCCATAACTGGAGATTATCATTGGTTTGCTTGTTGACTATATCTGGATTCCTCAAATCATTCATAACATCGTAAATTTGTTTCATAAATTTCTTTAAACTTGCCAAAGCAAGTGGCTAAAAGTGTGGAACATGGTTGTTTATCCTAGAGTCTTCTCCTGGTGACTGGACAAGCTTGTTACATGTTGTTTTAGTAGTTTCCTTTTTCCATAAAGCTTGATTATGATTTATTTTATCTTAAACAATTTCTCCATGGATCACATTTCTGCTTTGTTTTACAAACTTCATGCATTTTATTTTGTAACTTGATCAATATTATTAGTCTTTGTAACCATTTGTTTAAAAGTGATATAAAATTTGATGATCATTATGTTTGAAATACTTCTATTTTGAAAATTAGGAGACTTAACAACATCATTTAAATAAAATGAAGTAATGCAATGACTAATTATAGTTGAAAGACACCGTAAACAATGTATTTCTTATTAAAGTTAATTCTATTCAGCATCACTTATTACATATAGATGCAAAATATGGTGTTACAAAAATTCAGGCAGATTTTGAGCAGGACTAGTTTATAACTTAATTACCTAACTCTGCTTAGTTTAATATTACATTCCAATGAAGCTAAAGTAATAGTTAGGTACAATTGGATCACAGATGAGCTATCCTGATTAAAATGTTGCTAGATTCTTAAAATAAAGCTAGAAAAATATCTATCTGAGAGATAATTCAAAAAGACACAAAATATTAAAAGAACTTCTCATAGTTTTCTTGAATAAGGAGGGGCACTTTTATTCTAATACAGAGATGTTCAACTCATGGCCCACATTTGGCCTAAAACGGTAAGCATGAGACTGAAAAGGAATATCAAGATCTTGACCCATCGGTGCATTTTACTATTGCGATTAGGGTTTGAGGCTCACTTTCAGTATGGATGGATGGGTTATTTGATGCTTTAAAATGAAATAAAATAATGCTTTGAGTGTAGTGCAGGGGTGTTTGTGCTCCGGGGAAACCCCGGAATTCCGGGGATTTTGAACTTCGATACCCGGAAATTCCGGGGATCGTCGTTCAAAAGGAAGTAGGAATAATAATGAATTATTTATTTTGATCTGGGTAATTTTGTTTGCTTTGAAAGCAGAGAAAACGCAAGGTCAGTGTGGTGATAACTTTTCCTTTCTTTCTCCAAAGGCAGTGATAATGCGTGAAAAGGGGGAAAAACTTCTTTTTTGTTCTTTCCGTATTGCGAGCTATGACTCATTCCCCCGGTTCTCGGACATTCTCTTCTGGATTCTTTTCGGCAATTAGGCGCGGCAGAAAAAAAAGGGAGAGGCTTCGTTCGACCAGATGTGCGATCACGTGACTCTGGGTTAAAAGGTCTTATCTCTCCTGGCGTGGCACCAATAAGTAGAGAAGGGAGATTTTTCACCGTATTAGCTATTTGTCATTGATCGCTTCTCAACTTTTTTTTCTCCGCAGCGTAAAATTTTCGTTTCATTTATTGATGCACGTGTAAATTTTTCGTTTTGTTTATTGAAATATTTTTTTTATTTATGTAAGCAAGAGAATTTCACTATGAAATTTCTCGATATAAATAGTGATATTATATAATTAGAAGAAGGTGTCCGGAATGCATTTAGGTGGAATTGGATTGAATGGAGAGATGGTAATGGGGATACCATCGGCACATGGTGCAAGAAAATAAATGTTGCTGGACAAGCATATTGTGTTTTTTGTAACTCGCTGCTGAAGTATGGTGGGGAACGATTCAAGGCTTTCACAAATCATTCTAAAACTGTGACGCACATAAAATATTCAAAGTGCATTAGACATTCAATGACTAAGTAATTATGCTAATTCAAAAAATACTGATTGATGACTTACTGGAGACTGATGCTCGGCCATTGGATATAGTGACAAGAAAAGCATGCCAAGAGGAATTAATAACTTTGTTTATCGCCGAGAATTCTCTTTCTTTCAATGTAGCTCCCAATTTAATTGAACTCTGCAAACAGTTGAGCCGCGATCAGACGGCACTAAACTCGTTGGAAATGTCCAGGACCACTGCATGTTATAAGATGAAGTATAAGCTCGCAAAAACTATTAAGGAAAATATCATTAAAACTTTAAAGGAGACTCCATTTTCTCTAAATCTGGATGAAAGTACTAACAATGCTCAAGAAAGTATACTGGCAATATTGGTGCAGTTTTATGACAACAATCAAAATGAAGTTGTAGTTCATCATTTTGCATCTCTAAAGATGGAATCTTGCAATTCAGAAGCTGTTTTTAAAGCAGTTGTTAATACTATTGAAGATAATAATATTCCATGGACAAACTTAATTAGTGTATTAATGGACTCGTGCAACACCATGCGTGGAAAAAAAAAGGGTGTTGAAACCAGACTACGATCAAACAAAGCATCTCGCTTATTAGATATTGATGGTGACACATGTCACACAGCTAATAACTGTGCAAAAAAATTTGCTTCATGTTTTGATAGATACTTAGAAGATTTGTTTGATGACATCTATTTTGATATGAAAAGCTGCAGTAAAAGAGATAATTTTTTCAAAATCTGTGAATCTCTTGCCATTAAAAAACTTAAGCCCTTGAAGAGACCAGACCATAGGTGGGTGTACATTTTATGTGTTTTAGAAAGAATCAAGATCTGTGGGATGCTCTTATTGCATTTTATTTTCACTACTTGGATAAAACTGATAAAGGGGATTATTTTTCTTATGTTGAAGCTGTATACAATAAAAGAAATATTTCTGAAGCTCAGAAAAAAATTGTTGAAGGGGTGTATTCTTGCTTGCATTCCCAACAACATACAAAGGATGCTTTAGCTCGGAAAAAAAAGAGTACTAAATGGGTTATTTGTTATGCAAAACAAAACTTTATTGAATATAGCAGTATTACCAGAGTTCAACACATATATTAAATTATTTGAAACAAAAGAACCAATGCTTCATTTAATACATTCCAGTATTTATAAATGAATGGCAAATTTTCTCTTTTTTTTATGAAGCCAGAAAATATATAGTGCACATCTTATAATGATTATTAAAGGTTGATGTCACAATCCAGAATTCCATCTACCTAGCAAAGTAATATTTACTGGTGCAAAGCTTCCACTCTCCTAAGAAAATATCAAAAAATCATCCAATAGCAAAAGATTCCAAATGTTCTCTGATGAAAGCTATATTAATACAGCACAGCATATGAAACAGAAATTACCCTTTAAAAATTCATATCTAATTATTTTTACAGCATTAGATCCCAGAGCTAAGAGGTAAAACCACTACAATATTAGCTTTTGAAAAATTATCATCTTTTATGTACCATGTTTTTAGTGATAATGAAAGTTAAAAGGAAAGCTGAAATAAGGTTATACCAGAGTGATATTGATATCACAAAAGAATGCTCTACACATCTGATGAAAGTGGAAATCAAGTCAAGTGTACAATGATAAATATTGGTCTAAAGTTTTTAATTTAAAAGATCATTTCACAAAGATTATAAGTATCGTACATTGGCTAATTGGTCCAAGCCTGCCTTAGCTGCTTCCATGGCCCATCAGTGAAAGTGCATTCAACTTAATGGATACACTTGTCACTGACTATAGAACCTCTCTTAAGATTGATTCCCTAGATGCAATGCAGACTATTAATATGATTTAATGGCTTCTCAAGAAACCTCATGTGAAAAATATGGCTAAAAAAATCCAATGACTGATCCAATTCACAAAGATCCTCTTACTGAATATAACAGAAGTTGGAAAACATATCAAGAGGACTTTAAAAACATGTATTTCAGATGAATCACCTATAAAAGTCTCTGAAAAACCTTCTACATTAGCAGAAAAGCAAACTGCTTCTACCTCTGCATGTGCAGTTCTCGAGGAAATTCATCAACTGTAAATGAGGAAAATAAAAGTCAACTTTCCTGCAATTATGAAGTTCACCACAAAAGAAAGACAAGCCCACAAACGTCAGAAAAAAAAAAAGCAGCAAAATTAGATATTTTTTTTTAAAGAATTAATTCAGGTAATTTAAAATATTTACATAAAATGTAGTAGTTTATATGTTTGAAAATTTATGGTTATTAGTTTTGCAAAAAAAGTAATTCATTGAACTTTTATAATTAGGTCATTCAATACTTCATAATTGTAATTTTTCATTTCTCTCCCCCCCTTCTCGAAACTCCAAAATGTCGGTAGTAACTCCGTAAAAGTTTCAGGGGATTTTTTGGGGTCCCACAAACACCCCTGGTAGTGACAATTTCAAATCTTATGTTGACATGTGTGCAAAGTAATTATCTTCATTTTAATATATTGTTTGTGTTTTTATCTATCCAAGTTGCTGTTATAAGAAAGAAATAATTTTATGTTGCTGTCTTGCTTTATTATATTAAAAAAATTGTAGATTAATAAAGTTTAATTTACTTAAATATTCTGTTACTTTTTTTTTTTTTTTTTTTTTTTGCCTTATCAGCTATTGTTAGTGTTAGACAGTTTCAGCTCACTATATTAATCAAATGAATCGCTGATTCATTAAAATTTTTTTTTAGATATTTACTTTCTTATATTAAGTATATTCTGAGGAAATTTGAACTAATGTGGTTAAACTCTTACATTTCTCTCCTAGAGATGAAAATCAAAAATTTGTTTCAGCCGTCAAACCTGAGTGAAACTAAAAATTTTCTGTGAAACCTTCACAATTGTATGATTTACTTATTCTGAAGGTCTCAAGTTGCCACTGGTGTTAGAAATCGTTCATATGGCCCCAAAATAGCTTGTTTTTTTCAATGTGGTAAGAGGAGCTAAAAGGTTGAACACCTCTTTTCTAATAAAAATACTCAGAATTGGTCACACTAGAGTGACACTTAACTACCTCTTGAAGGCTGAGAATGAGCCTGTTTGTTTAAATTGTAATGTTTGTCTATCAGTCCATCATATTTTAATTGAGTGTCCATGTTTTAATAGTCTTTGTCAGGAATATTTCAATAGCTGTGACTTACCTCTCAACCACTTAATTAGAAGAGAGGTGTATTTTAATGTCTACTACTTGTGTGCTTTTACCTTGTCTTCATGTGACTTCATCCTCTGTATTTGGTACATTTGTCCACCTTCTTATTTTATTCACTAGTAATTTGTTTTGAATTCATCAAACTAGACCATACTACCTCACGTTTGGTGCATTATAATCATCTTTGGTTTAGCGCCAATAATCTCACTCATCCCATCCCATCTAATAAAAGCACACTACAAAAATATCCACCATGTTGATTCAGAAAGCATTTCAAATATCTTAAAAAGGTTTCTAAAATGTTTTTTTGAATTTTCTGAAACTTCTAGATATAGAATTTTGTCATTATAGATGGTTAATATCAGACATCAGTTATCTTTAGTTTCTTGTTGTCTTCATTATTGAATAAAAATTAATGGATTCTTCTTAATATCTAATTGAAAGTAATTAATCTTTAGATCATCTAACTGAATAAGAAAGCATATATCCATATTCTGCATGTTATTTTTAATACCCACAAATATTATTTTAGAATTCTTTCATAAAAGCAAGGAATCTCTAGAAACATGAATGTGATAATGCCAGCAGAGTGGTGCCAAAGAAAAATCAAAATATGCATAGAAATTTTCATAATTGTTGTTACTGCCATTCATCAATAACCTCTGTGATAAACTACAGAATAATTTTAAAATGTGTATTTCATATTTTATTGCCTAAATCATGCTGTTATTTAAATATTTTTCCACATTAGCCTCACTCCACAATAAGTATAAAGAATATACTGTTGTTGTTGTTATTAAATTTCATGAATGTTTCTAGTGGCATTGTTTTGAAGTTTTGTGTATATACTTTCACATTAAAGTGATTAAAAAATAAAAACTCTCACAGTATTTTTTAAGTTGTCAGAATATTCGTGCAAAACTTTGATTGCTTTGAACGGTACGAAAGGTTTTCTCTAACATACATACATGAATATTTAGACTTCTGTCTGTATGATGAAAATATTTATAATTTCATTTTATAAATAAAAAATAATATTCTAATATGCATTGCAAATTTTGCAGAGGCTTGTTACCTGTTAAAGGACAGCAACACGATCTAACGAGAACACGTTCGTTTCGTGTACAGGCAAAAAATCAGCAAATATTCCGGCCATCAGATTTAGTATTAGGGAAACTTCTTGGAAGAGGTTTTTTTGGCCAAGCATTCCTTGTGAGTAATACGTTATTGAAGTAAAATATATTTTAAATTTAGTGTAGTTTCTTATTTTAAACATACTGAAATAGATCGTAAAATTATTGTATGCAGTAAGTAAACAATTTATACAGCTGTGTGAAAATTTTTGGTTTTTATTGGTCCTTCTTTTTTCAAGTTAATCAACATTTCATGCTCCATATTTCTTTTCTATGCTTCTGTACAGGTTACTCATCGACATACTGGTCAAGAAATGGTTATGAAAGAGCTTTATCGCCTAGATGAAGAAGCTCAGCAAAATTTTGTAAAAGAAATTGCTGTTCTTCGTTCATTACAGCATCGCAATGTTCTACATTTTGTTGGTGTTCTTTACAAAGATAAAAAGTTGCATCTATTAACAGAATATATATCTGGTGGTACTTTACAAGACTATATTCATAACTTGAATATTGATATATCCTGGTTACAAAGAATCAACTTTGCTAAAGATATTGCAGCTGGAATGGTAAAATTATTTTAGAAATAATAATAAAAAAAAGCATCTAAATTTTAAAAATTTGATTTACCACACAATATGTCATAAAGTTTTTATTTTACTCCTTTTTTCACATAATATTAAGAAACTTTTTATTACATCATGTAGATATGTGTGTGTATTATATATATGTTGTATATTCTTAGATCTAATTGATTCCACACACATATATATAGTGTGTGTATGGCTATTTCTGTCTTTCAATTATTTCCAAAATTTTCTGCATTTGATGACACAGAGTTGAATACCAATGAAAATGTCTGCTTTTATATTGTGGTTGCTATTCTATCATGGGGGGAGGCAGAAAAGCTTTTAATTAAAAAACAGTTTTCTCCTTTAAACAGCATGTTCATATATTAATCATGACTTCTTTATTAATATTATGATAAAATGGTGATTATCTTAACCTACACTAGTCTGCATAAGCAAAAATTTGACAGTATAAGATAAATTCCAGATTTTCATTGTACAGTCTCAAAGACTATTGGGAACAACAATGACATGTAGCCTTGCATTTGTTTAAATGAAATGTTACTTGGGTATTTTCTGACTATACAAGCATTCACAAAAAGCCTCAAATTCAATGGCAACTTTTTGAACTTAAAGGAAAAAGTTTTATTTTTATGGCTCATTAGTGTTGTTTCGTCTTAAAGAATAATAATAAAAAGAAGCATCATATGAAAAGCAACATATGTATTGAAATTCATAAATTTCGCATAATTTAAGAATTGCTATATTTTTATGATATATACATACAAAGTCATTTTTTAATGCATTTTTACACTGTGTATAAATAGATTTGGCATTAATCACCATTTTACAGGCTTTAAAATGGCTTCAGCTTGACAACATTTAAGTTGGTAATTTGGCAATTCATGCGTATTTTTAAATATATATTACCTTTATGTAATATTATTAAAGTTTTGGTAATGTGGTAGAATTATATGGAAATATAGCATATATCTTCTAACTTCTTTGCTTGGTGATTTTTTGAAAGCCGTATGGCAAAATTTCGTCAAGCCAAATTGGAAACCTGATCTGGATTGATGATTACAAAATTATCATGTAATATCAAACATGCAGTTAAATAAAATGTGTAAAAATTAGTTTAACCAATATTTTCAACTAGCTTTCAGGGTGAGTCCCCCCCCCCACCAATTTTAAGGAATTATGCAAGAGAAATACTTATGTATACATATTTTATATGTATATGTGGATGTGATTTTCAAATATCTCAAAATGGAAAAACCAGTATTGGAAAATATACCTACAAAACGTGGATCAAATGTTAGAAATCAGCAAGTCTTAAAAATCTGTTATCTTGAAATAGATATAATTCATGAGTGTTTGTTTTAATTGAAAAAAAAAAAAATATTGCCTTAAATGCTTCAGATCATGTTAGTCTTTTTTTAGGAATATATTTCTTGATTTAGATGTTGCAAATAAATAGATGTTCTGTATTGGTATTTTTCCATAAGACTTTTTTTTTTTTTTCCTTTTTTAAACAAATTGTTTGTTATATATTATTATTTATAAGAGAATGTGTTATTTTGCAGTGTTTCATAAATTGGTACATTTTTTCCAGGCTTATTTACATTCCAAGAATATCATCCATAGGGATCTGAATTCTAATAATTGTTTAGTGCGAAAAGTAAGAACATTATTTTAATATTGTGCTTATAATGTTATGTGTTTAAAGATACAGTAGAACCTCTCTTAATGAGGTTTTTTTTTTTTTTTTTTTTTTTTTTTTTTTTATTTTATTTTGTGTTAATCAAACTGTCAATCAGTTTAAAGAAATCATTGGCAAAATGTGAAAGTATTAGAAAAATACAGCAAGATTTGGTAACATTAGCCAAATAAATTTTTTTATTAATTTTTTTAACTTTATGATCAGTAATGGTTCCTGTTCCTGTTATACATTATGATAAAACTAGTGGTTTACATGTGTTAAAGACATAAGTGTTAATGGACAAACACCAACTGGTAATATTATAGATATATACAAAAACATCATTTTGCATACTTTTAAGTATGCAAAATGATATTTTTGAGTGGAAAATATAGGAACAGTGAACAATGTTCTCAAGCTTTAAGTAGTATAGGAATAATTTATGCCATAAATTTGAAGAATAACAAAAATTATATTGAAAGTGATGGCTAAGGTAATAATGAAATGGGCAATGTCAAAATTATCAATGGTGAAGCCTTAGGCAAAGCTGTTTGTAGAGCAGTCTTAATGCTTCTCCTGTGAATCTTTTGTTGATAGAAATTCGAGTGATTTTACAGTGGTTCATAGACTATAGCAAAAAAGGGCAAAATTTCACTGACGATTTAATTTACAATTTATATACTTTGTACTGTACTTTCAATTACAAAAATGTTTCAGATGACCCAAATTATTGATAAAACATATGCTGGTCCCTCTGTCATAGGGACTGAAAGAAACATAAGATGTTTAGATTTTGTAATTTTTATGAGATTGATTTCTTTAAATTTGAAAACAAGAATTTGTGTCAACTGGAACTATATGTCTGCGACCAATGCTTGTGAAAATAAATGCTATGTAAAGGCTTTTGTGAACACAGTATATATACTTATGTAATCTTGTCTGTGTTTATGATGTTTTAGGATTATGGGCAGATAATTTCATTCAAACGTTTGTACTGTAATGTATTTTGCAGTAATTGACAAAACAGATAATCTTCTTAGTAGAAAATAAATTTTATTTTTAGTTTACGGAAATAGATAATTTGTATACAATTCTTAAGTGGAAAAATTTTCATACATCTGCTAGCTGGTCAAACTTCAGAATAACAATTTTTAAACAATTTCTTCTGTTGCTGAGCAACAGTTACATCATATAAATATGGCATTGCCACTTTAATAAGTAATATAGTTATTTGTTAAATAACAAGATCTTACAGTACATTGAGTTATCCATAAATATTTTTTTAAATCTTTTTCAGAAGTTTCTTTTTTTAAATATTGTAAAGTTTATTCTTATATATTATATAAGTAATGATCTTACAATTTATTTTCTTACTGGAAGAAGTCTGCTTTTGTGCTTTCCGCTTTTTATAAGTTTTATTCAGTTCACTCCCAATTATTGTCTCTGTACTCAAAAGTTTTTGTGATTTTTAATTTACTTTACTGATCTTTACTGATATATTTTGATATTGTACACAAACTGTTTGTGAATTACAATACTATGCAATGAAGTGATTTTATGAGTTTTAAATAAAATATTTTATAAAAACTTATTTTTATACAGAAATTTATTAAAACTTCTTAGATATCTGTGTTATTAAAAATGTACATGAAACAAAATATCTGAAATAGGTTTTGTTTGCTTTCTGAAATTGTATAAATGTTATTGAAACATTACTTCCTCAGAAAGAAAAATGATAACTCCATGAGATATATTAAAGTAGTAAATTTATAATATATTTATTTCACAGGATAAAACGGTTGTTGTGGCTGATTTTGGATTAGCAAGAGTTATGCTAGATAAACAGGTCAATAGAAGACAGAGTGGTGGCAGCACACGACGTCCAGAAAGAAAGAAAAGATATACTGTAGTTGGTAATCCATATTGGATGGCACCGGAAATGATGTCTCATAAGAAATATGATGAACGTGTTGATATATTTTCATTTGGAATAATCTTATGTGAGGTAATTTAACATAGTCATAATACTTATATGCTTTAAATATATATATATTATATATTTGTAACGAAAAATGGAATGTAAAACTGCGTCTTACAAAATTATTCTACAATTAAAACTTTGCTTATGATTTTTATTAATTAATTATAAACAATGTTAAAGGATCAACAGTTGCAAGAAAAACAATACTTAAATTATAAAAACTCCCAGAGCTGTGAAGCATGTAAATAATATATAGTATTGCAATGGAGAAACATCAATGTTGAGAAAGATTTAGCTTTTTCTTTAATTTAAAAAAAAAAAAAAAATTCCTTTTTCTATTAAAAAAGGAACAAATTTATATTTGCAAAGAGAGAATAGCAATTATTACATTCACAGAAAGTTTGCTTAGAATGAAAATTTTTTCAGTATTTTTCAAATTGGCCACCATCTGCTGCCATTTTCTGCAGTGTCATTTGTAATATTCCTGGCAGTGTTTGCATACATGTATGTGTATATCTAATTCAGTTAATGTTTATAATTGTATTAACTGATATATAAATATATTTAATTAATATAACATTTAATTAGGTAATCAATAGATTACATTTTCAATTGATTCACTTTAACATTTATGAACTTATTTTACAGTTTGCAAAAAATTATGAGTGCAAATAATGTTTCTTTTTAATGAAAAATTGTATATGTGAAGGTAGATTGAAATGTTCCTGAAATGGTAAGGGAAGTAAAATAAAATGGTTTCAATTAATATTTTATTTTCCTTTGAAGCTGAATATCACTTAGTTCATTGTTTCTAACTGTTTGATTTGTGTTTGAAAGTGACTTTCTTCAGGCCCTTCAAAATCCCTCTGTAAAGCCTCGACCATTTCTTCATTTGACAAAGGTCAGGAAATATTTTAGCTTTAGAAGTATGTGAAAGCCTGGGGAAGCCAAATCCGGTGTACATGAAGGATGTGGAAGTATTTATAATGTCAAATTTGACAGTTTTTCTTGAGCAGTTACATTTGAATGAGCAGGGGCATTGTGGTGATGAAACGCATTTATCTTTGCAATTTCTATAGGTTTTCCCAACCTGTTCCTGCCATATGTGTGTGTATGTGATTATGGCACAACCTCGAAGGCTATCTGCCTGAAGGGAGGTATGCCTTCGTGGAGGACTTTCTAAGGGAAACTGGCTCGTATACACGTTACAGATGGGGAAAACCATGAAAACGCCCATACAGCCAGCCCGTTCACAGGATTTAAACCTCGGACCAAACTACTGGTGTTCAGCAACTTTACGACTCAGCCGCTGGTGGGCTATTCCTGCCATGATAAATAATGTTGTAATAATATTAATTAAATTTAGGGGCTTTGTATTTGTGGATCATATAAAATTGCTATAGGGCCACCAGTTTGAGACTGCTGCATTTGGCAGGTTCATAGATGCCGTTACATATTCCACATGTCTATGGCAGCGTGTCTCAAAACTCTGCATAAAAAGTTGCAGCGAGATAAAGAATATCAATATGAACCATATTCACAAGCATGATCAGGTATACTACCCTCAGGATAAAGAAGAGACACAGAAAATCAAAATACAGAAAGCAATATAAAGTACTTTTTTAGGCAGACTTTAATAGTACTGATTATTCACGAGAGATACTGAAAGTTCTGACCATTTACAGTGATGGACGTTTGACAACAATCTCACATGCATTGCTGAACATTTATAAAGATACCTGGAGTTTCACGGATATTAGCATCAGTTATGGCAATTCTTGCCATGAAGTCTATGTCAGAAGCAACTGATGTTTCATATACAATGATCTTAAAAGCCACCCACAGAAAAATAAAATCAATCCTAGGTAAATGATTTGAGTGTGGATGCTATGCATTGGTACCCATTCCATTTAATGTCTAATCTAATGATTCAGTGTCCATCCCATTGATTCCTAAAGGTCAGTTCCAAATATTCATAAATGACATATTGAGCATTTCTGACTGTTCCTTGTCATATTGGAACTACAGTCAGCGATGCAAAAGCATGGGAACATCATTCAGTAAATAAAAGAGAACTCTTCCAAAAATCATCCAGTGCTTTCAACTAACTATTCAGTGGGGTAATAGGTATGGGCTAACTAAATAATTACCCATGATACTCATCCCACATTAATGGCAAAATAATGCTATGAAATAAGTGATCTCCTAAGCATACATACTCCTAAGCCCATATGTGCACTTTATGAGGATTGAAGATGCCCTTCACAGGAAAAGAATGCTTTATCTCTAAACAGAACACAGTTTGGGAATTACAGGTCTCCCGAACATCACTTCAAAAACCACACATAACCGTTAATTTTCTTTCTGCAGTGAATGTGTCTCATGTGCTTGTTTGTGTATATCAGATATGCACATATATGCAACACATCCTCTCGCATGATGGGAGTTCAAACCAATTGTGTCTGGCTGTATCTTACATCCTTACTCTCAAAAATGGATTTTTGCATAGGTTTTGATGCAAGTGCAGAATCATTTGGTGTTGTAATACACACCTCATTAGGTACATTTCCCAGTATACTCTTACAGTCACATATTCATTATTCTTTGCTAATTTATATACAAAATGCATGTTTGGCAATTCAACATTCATAAAATGGTGCATGTTCCATATGTGACTTCAAAAGCTTTAATGGGGAAACTTCAACTGTTGTCATATAAGTTTTATTTTATTATATTTTTCTGCTTTAAAATTTCTATTTATTTAACTGCTTGTGTATGCTAACATTCAGTGATCCATTTGTACATTGCTGCTCCTTTCTTTGGAACTATCACCCACTTCATTTGTATGTATTTTTTCCTTTTCATGACAGATTCATGCACCCGTTGAGCTTGTCTGAAATTTTGGTCTGTAAGAACTCTCTAATAATTACATCTAGCTTTAACTTATGCCACAGGCCCACCAGTGGCCGAGCAGTAAAGTCACTGAAGACTGGTAGTTCGATCCGAGGTGCGAGGCTGCCTGCATAGGCGTTTTTGTGTTTTTCTCCGTGTGTAATGTGTATACAAGCCAATTTTCCTCAGAAAGTCCTCCATGAAGGCATCCCTTCCCGTAGGCAGATAGCCCTCGAGGCTTTGCCATAATCACACACACACATACATAACTTAATGCCACGCTACCTGTCACCACAAATTTATCATTTCAATTCATGGTTATCCTGTTTTACTGGCTGATGTCAAACCATATTCTCCCTCAGTCATCCATTGTATATACAGTTTCCTTGTTGTTTTGGATATTTATTCAATGATCTAAGTAGAAGTTTATCAATGATAACTGAAAAATATGTCTTCATCTACATGTAGTTACAATTTTCTATCATCCCTGTAATGGCATCATTCCCATAATGATTGCTAATGATTTAAATAGTCTGCTTTTTGAATTTGGAAGTAAATGCCTTTTAGTAAATTGTGTTTTGGCATTCCCTTCCTCCTTGAAAATTATTAGTGATAACTTTGTTCCATGGCCCATAATTGCAAATAATATTCCCATCTTATATCCTTTACTCCAATTAAACTATCTAGGCATAATTTCAGTCTAGAATTGAAATATGGGGGAAAATTGATATGTGTGATGTAGCCGTTCCTCAATAGACACTAATGCCGGCTAGCTCTAAAAGGATTTATTAACAGAGCACACAGGAACGGTTACAAACAAAAGAAATACATAAAAATGAAACATATACCAAATGGAACATCAAACAGTTGAATAACAGAGACATAGTAAACTAACATCATGGCGGCTGGAGTTCGACTGACGTTTTTTCATATCGCCACGAGATGGCGTTTAAATAAAATAGTTCAGTTACAGTTCATGAGTTCATGGCGTGAATAAAATAGTTCAATTACACTTAAATAGGTCTGTTACATCCTCTCCCTCTGACTTCGTAGACGTCTCGGCAAGAAGTCAGGAACTGACATTTGTCTACTTTGTGCAGCGGGCGGAGAATCAGATGGACGGCCTCCAGTTTGACGAGGAGTAGATTTTGCGTCACCAGCACCTTGTGCAACAGGTGCAGATTCGGATGGTATTACACGTTTCGGGCGTCCTCTTTTCTTTAAGGTAACCATTGGAATTACACGAGCTGAGTTTTGCTTATTTCGATCTTGATATGGTTTCAAGGCTGAAACATGATACTTGCCGAGAATTTTGTCTGGTTCATGAGGATTGGCAATATCATAAGTGGTTAGAGATCTTGTAGTCACTATAACATAAGGACCATCTCTCTTGTTCATGAATTTAGCAGTTTTCTTCAGTGGACCTTTGCTGATTGGGTGGAGGGTGACCCAAACTTTATCACCAGGAACGAATTTCGGTGTTTCTCTTCGTTTTTTGTCAGCATATCGTTTCTGCTTATCTTGATGCATTTTGACTCTTTTTCGTACCTGTTGTACATTTCTTGCAAAACGTTTCAAATATGGAGTAATTTCGGAAACAAAATTATCGTTCTCAATTACGGCTTTTATATCATGCTTTACATCATCTAAGGTTTGTAACTCTTGTGCAAATTGAAGAAAAGCAGCAGAATGTCCAGTTGAATCACATTTGGCTGTATTCAAAGCAAACCTTATTAATGGCAGTTTATCCTTCCATGACTGATGGTCGTTACCAACAAGTATTGCTAAACGTGGTTTCAGATCTCTATTCTTCATTTCAACTGGGTTAGATTGTGGGTGATAGACAGGAGTAAGACTGATCAATGTTCAAGATATAGCATAGTTGTTGCATAACAGCACTAGTAAACTGGTACCATTATCACTTATTATTTTCCTGGGTAACCCAAATCGAAGGGCGACTTCCTCCAAAAGAATAGTGGCACATTCTCTGGCCGTGGCTTCCTTTAAAGCAAATAGTTCTGTCCACTTCGTGGCACAGTCCTGCACAATAAAAATCCATTTTTCACCAGACGGTGTTTCAGGAAGGGGACCAAAAAGATCAATTGACAAGGTCTCAAAACGTTGAGCATAGACTGGAGTTTGAAGTAAGCCAGATGGCTTTTGATTAGTGGCTTCTCCCCCTACTTTGAAGACAGTGTGATATTTGTTAAGCAATGCATCAGTTGCAAGCCGTTGGGCTGTAGTTAATTGCTGTCCTTCATTTTCTCGTAGTCGGCAGTTGTTTACAACAACTGGGGTTTCTTCCAGTACTTGGGATTGATGAGGTTTCACGAAGCTATATTTTCTTCGAGGTTCATCAGAAAAGTTCCACTTATTTTCAGCAAGATTTAAAACAATTTTAGCTTTTTGAAGAAAGTCAGTTCCTAACAGAGTCGAGTTATTTTTGGCATCAGGCAACACAAGGAGCGGAGTTTTGAACTCTCTGCCTTCGAGAAGAATGATTTGTTCGGTGCGAAGTACCTCTTTTTCAGATACCAAACCATCAGCGAAAGACACCTGTAGTGTTGTCTTTTCAAATACTGCATCTTGTTTTGCAGAATATGATAGAGGGATTCACTTGCAATTGAGTGACTAGCACCAGTGTCGGCGAAAGCTGTACCGGAAACACCACCAATACTAATTGGAAATACAGCAGTCCGAGTGGAAGATAAACAGGATCGGATTTGGATAGTGCCAAAATTTGATGAATTTGAAGTCTTTGGGGGGTTACAGTCTGGACATTTAGACTTGATAAAACCAGTTTTTCCGCACCCATAGCATGTTAAAGGAGGTCGCTTTTCCTCTGTTTGTTGCTGAACCACGATTTAAAAAGGTTTTATGAGTTCCCTGTATGTCACTTGTTCGATTTTCTACTTTGTGTTTGGATGGATTAGTCGGTTTGTAAGAATAGTTCCGCCTGCCAGGAAGTTCAGTTTTATAGTTCGTATTTTTAACACGTACAGCTTCATAATCATCCAATTTCTGTACTAATTCAGATGAACTCTTTATTTTTCCCCAAGTATCAATAAAATGCTCCTTAACGTCACTACTGACTCTTCTTTTAAGCTGATCCGTCAGGACCAAGTCTTTGAGTGATTCAAAGTCTGTAACATCGAGACTATGGAGCCACTCTTCGAGATAATTGTTTAATTCGTAAGTAAAATCTTTCCATAAAGGACCCAGGGTGTTTTTGGTGTGTAGTAAGTTTAATTCGAAATGATTCAGCATTTAATTTGAATCTTTGTAGCAGAATCTTCTTGATGTAAGAATAATCTTCTAATTTGTCTTTTGGTTCTCTTAAAATAATTTGCGAAATGTCTATAGGCAGAAGAGGTAGGAGATGAGTGATGTAATCTATTTGTTTTATATTAACTTTCTCACATTGTCTTTCAAAAATTTGCAGGTAGGTTGCAATGTCAGAAGTTCCTGTAAATTTAGGGATTAGGTGTTGAATATTTGTTCCAATAGCTGCATTTGAAGCAAAGGCGGCATAGTTAGGGTTTGAGCTAGCAGCTGCCAGGTTTAATTTTAAACGTTCCAATTCTAATAAAAGTTCTTGTTCTTTTCTTTGACGTGTCTCCAGATCGTTGCTTTCACGTTGTTTTTGTTGTCTAGTTTCGATTAAAGTTTCCAGAAGATTCCTGGTAAAAGCCTCATCATAAGTGTCAGAATTGACAATAAGATCTTTAAGATCTATTACTCGCATAGTGTCGTTTACAGTGAAACCCAGTTCTGCAGCGAGAGTTTTTAAATCCTCTTTTCGTGCTTTGGCAAGGTAAGCCATAATTATATGAGAGGTCAGGGGGGAGGGAAAAGATGAAGTTGAATTTGTTGTTATTTCGATTTTATTCACAATACAGTATTTTAGAATTAATAATTATACCTTTAAGTAAAATGTATATACCCCTATTAAACAGTATTTATAAATGTAAACAATAATACTCACAAAGTTTATTATTTCGGAGTCGTAAAAATATCATAAAATGCCCTCATAAATTCAACTTGTATCAAGAAAATAACATATAATAAATTGCTCAAAAATTGTTTACTACTTAGCAAAACATACAAAACATACATAAATGTCTTACCATAAGCTTTTATATTTAAGCTGAATTCTTCGAAATCTTAATCTTAACAAAATATTAAGCTGATTAAGCAACACACACTTAGTAACTCTTTTACTTTATTTAAATAGTCATTCGATTTTATTCATAATTATTTTCTTTCGCTTCAAGAAATATTTTCAAGACATGCATTCATTAAAGGAAAACAATCGTATTTTCTTAAAGTATTATACTATAATCATTTTCTCAAAATGTTCGTCGAAAGATAAATCAACAAGTACAATATTTTATTTTATGTAGAATAAAACATTTAATAAGGAACAACAGCACTCAAAGGAAATAAAAATAATAAAAGATTTGACGTAAACACATCATAAATCATCGCTAGTCTAAACATTTCCGCGGGGGGAAAACATCTGCTGCTGTATGTCAGAATCGAAACTAATAAATTCTAATGAACAACGTCCATGAATATATTCAAACTTTAACATCAAAACATGTATTCAGTGAAACAATATTATTCACAAATTAATTTACTATGCGCATTAACATTTTAAAATAACAAATTACAATTCAAGAAATAACGTTTGGTTAACAGAAAGCCGTTTGCTTTCGTTTAATACTCTTATGTAGTATCAATAAATGAGATTTCAGTAAAGAATTTACATTTGCTTTAAGAAGCAGCTTATAATAAATAATCAGTTTAAAAGAACTTTAAACTCAGATTAAACGATAATGTAAACGAAACTTATCTTTTCCGTTGAAATTGTCCAGTTGATGATTCGATGTGCTAGCAGCACGGTATGACAATTTTAATTCCAGAATTGGTTTCCAGAATATTTGACCAGTAGTCCACACCTGAAAAGAAACTGAGCCGATCTCCAGCAACTAAAAGTTAAATTCGGGAGGGAGTAAGAGCTTGTTAAAGCCAAACAGAAATTCTAAACATTTTGTTGCGCCATTTTGGATTCAAATTTAGTTGGGCGCCAATGTGATGTAGCCGTTCCTCAATAGACACTAATGCCGGCTAGCTTTAAAAGGATTTATTAACAGAGCACACACAGGAACGGTTACAAACAAAAGAAATATACATAAAAATGAAACATATACCAAATGGAACATCAAACATTGAGAATAACATAACATAGTAAAAACTATCATCATGGCGGCTGGAGTTCGACTGACGTTTTTTCATATCGCCACGAGATGGCGTTTAAATAAAATAGTTCGGTTACAGTTCATGAGTTCATGGCATGAATAAAATAGTTCAATTACACTTAAATAGGTCTGTTACATATGTTATTTCAGAAAAAGTCTGATTTTTTGTCAAAATACCTATATTAGAACAATGCTATATGTAAATCTAATACGTGTCCTAAGTCATGCTTTTGGGACATGAAAAATGCAGTTTGAATTTTGTCAGTCGGCCCAGTAGAACGAGAGATATAGAACTGTCGCCTTTTTTTCCCCTCCACATCTACTTATTTTCATTCCATTTAGATAACATCTTTTTGGTTTGTTGCATTTTATGTGATAGAAGGTATTCAAAATATATGATATTTCAAATTAAATTAAATTTTTAAAGTAATACATTAAATTTTCCTGTGAATTTTTTGCCAATATATTTATTCATTCTCAATTGTTAAATTAATTCACTTATGAAATGTATGATGTTTATCTGGTGTGCTACCAATGTTGTCAAATAGAAAATTTCTGTCGATTGAAGTAATTTTAGGTTTCAAAAGCTTTTGTGAATACTGATACTGGAGTACAAAACTTTAACCTTGTTACCTAATCAAATGTGTTGTCATCTTACCACCCATAGTCTTGTGAGGCATTCATTCAATGAGTTGTTTGTTTATCTCTTGACTGCAAAAGAATAATGTCCAGTTGCTAAAAATAACATAATTCGGATAAAGTTGCTAATAGCTGGTTTTCCAAATGAAATAGTAAATACTTGGTTGAATTTGTCACCATCGTTTCTTGAGTAAAGGAGGACATACAGTAGAGGAAGTTCTGTTTCATGATCTGGTTATTATTTCTCAGCATTATTCATGCTGTGACATGGAGCTTTAGTAAAAAGCAGTATTTTTGCACTCATAAGAATGTGTCTAGCTGCCATAAAGGCAATATTCTCAGTTTGTGAGCAAATTTCATTTTGTAGGAATGATTGGTCAAGTGCTTCCTAAGAAAATATTTCCCAAATTATCATGTTCTCTGTCTGTATGACTGTGCTAATTTTGGAATATCCAAGAAAGTAAATTTTAGCATAAATTTTCCATGTGAAATTAGCCTTCTGTATAGCGAAACACGACCGTATATACACAGGAAATGTTTATGATGAGAAAATGGCTGTGAGCATAAGCACATGAATGCATCTCTGACCCAGAATTCCTTGGATTTTTCCCTACTTAAAAGATGATAATGAAGCTTGAAACCAGCTGACCAAATTCAGGTGGGGATAAGATACCAACCAATATATTTCTACTTTGCATCATTGTTGAGGCTGTTTGACTTCCATCAGAGCAGGATATGATAAAACCAAAATAACTCTGCCCTCATTAACACTTAAATCACTGATTCCTAGTTACTAGATAGACCTTAAGTGACGAGCACACTTGAGGGATTGCAGTAGTGTTTAAAAAGTGTATATCTTAAATGAGGAGTTAATTTTTGATAGAAAGCGGTTTTGTGTGAAAATCCTACCATATTGTAATACTGTATGTAATATATAGTGCATATTTCTTATCTTTTTTTTTTTTTTTTTCCAATTATTACTGTTTTAGATTATAGGAAGAGTGCCAGCCGATCCTGATTATTTGCCTCGTAGTTCTGATTTTGGGCTAAATGTTGCAGCATTTAAAGAAAAATTTTGTAATGGTTGTCCTGAGGCCTTTTCTAAAATAGCATTTCTGTGTTGTGATATATCTCCTGATAAAAGGTACAGAAATCTCAGTATTTTTTACAATTTTAATGCAACTTTAAAGTATCTTCTAGGTGTTAATTATCTTTTCAGTGAGTGTTAAGTTTACTAGTAAAGAAAAAAAAAAAAAAAAAAGATTATGATATCATACTTAATTGAAGAGAACAAATTTAGTTACTTGTTCTTGAATTATCAAGAAAAATGTAAGGAAAGCTTTTATATTAAAATTACAAATTACCTGAAATTACATTCATTATTTATATTGCAGTTTTTACTGACTAGGATATACATTCCTCTGCCTGAGACATATAACACATCTAGGTTGAGTGTGATGCTCGTTTTGCCTCTGAGACTAGATCCTTAGATATTCGATCATATGCACAGTATCCTATTTTTCAGTCTCAAATTCAGTTTAGAGGTGAAGGGATGAGTTGTCCAGGCTTATGGTATGCTCTTTTCATAACAGTGTTTTTACAAGTAATCCACTTTTCATCGCCAGTTGTCACCTGGTCAATGAGGGGTTATTTTTTTTTTTCCAAGCAATGTGTACATGTGATGACTTGACCATGGAAATCTTGCTCACTTAATTTTTGAGGCACCCATCTGGAATATACATTTTTTTGCAAAAAAATAGAAGCACCATGAAAGAAGTGGTTGCTTTTGATGAAATTGAATATGTGTACAGCTCAAACATAGATAATAAAAGGATTAAAAAGTCAAGGTCATACATAGTACCTGTTCGCGGCTCACAATCACCCATTGAGTGTTCAAATTAGTAGTTGATCGAACTGCCCCTGGCGGCAATGCATCCTTGAATTCGTCGAGGCAAGAAGTGGTAGAGGTTCCTAATGTTATCCTGCAACACATTCTATCAAGCATTCATCGGTTGTCGCTCCAGATCTGCGATATTTTGTGGTGCTTGAATCTGGCGGTCTATCATGTTCACGCATGTTTGATTGTTAAAAGATCTGGTGACCTTGCTGGCCAAGGAAGAGTATCAACTGTATGGAGACAGTCTAGAGATATGCGAGCGATATGTGACCTGGCATTGTCTTGTTGCAAAATGGCCCCAGGATGACGTGCCATGAAGGGTAATACAACCGGCTGCAGGATGGTATCAGCATATCGTTGCGCTGTTAAAGATATACGGAGGATGACTAAAGATGACCTGCTATTATAAGAAATAGTGCCGCACACCATCACACCAGGGGTTATTTGGCTGTATGCCTTTGTAAAACAAAGGCTGATTGAGACTGCTGTCCCCGTCCTCTCCAGACACGAACGTGGTGGTCATCTGCTTCAAGAGTGAAGTGGGATTCATCCCTGAACACTATACGATGCCAGTCTAATGGCAGCCATGAAGATCGGCTGTAACACTATTCCAGACGACTCTGCCCATGTTGTGGGGGTCTTAAAGGCCTCTGTGAGCATAACCTTGCCTCAGACAAGCGCCGTGAGATGGTGGATGGTACCACAATGATGTATAGAAATGGCTGTAGTGTGTTTAATAGTTGACAACGATACTATTGGGGCAGTTTGGGCCGGGCAAACAATCATCCTATCTTGCCTCGCATTTGTGCTCCTTGGCCTTCCAGAGACAATTTCGTTGGCAATTTCGGCCTATTGCTCGGTATGACCACCCAGCTTCACGCAACCCTATAATGCGACCATGTTCGAAGTCCTTTCGTTGTCTGTAAGATCTTCGATATCATCGTAATGACATTTTTAGTTGTTTCTTTACGAAATTACAATAGCAGCAACTAAAAAAGATAAATTTTCCGCTTCTGTTACTGGTTTTATACTTCAAGAATTGCACACTATGATCACAGTTCCTGTTCATTTGCATTGAAACTTTAATCATTTGCATGTTCTATCAAGATGTTTTTGCATACCAAATTTCATCACAATCGCAAAATTCTTCTTGGTGCTTCGATATTTTTGCAAAAGAGTGTATATAGATCAAATGTAGTTAGCAAATATAGTCCGAAATAGTTAGTTGAACTGAGTTAAGCTTTTCTGCTCTCTCCAGTGTTGTTATAAAAAGGATCCTTTTTTATCATAGTCTTGTCAATATCATTATTGATGAAAAATGGCAACTCAGAGTGTAGCTTATCATTTTGGTCAAAATCACTTGCTTGAGTTTTTCAAATCATCTCTTGCACATTCTAGTTGAAACTGTATCTCCACCCAAAAATTTCAATAAATTCCAACACGCCTGTGTAGCAATTGTTCCTTGTTAGAATTCGTACAAAATGTATTGATGTAAATGAATTTTTATGGTAGCCATGTTTACACCATCACATTTCACGTAATAATGAAACACTTTTGTTTCAGTTAGCTTAGAAGAGTACATGTGTATAAATGCAATGTTAAGGAAAGACAGCTTTATACATCTCAAATGAACATGTGCATGCATGTCAAAACTTGAAATAACTTTATCAGACGAAGCTTTTAGGTAGACCATACAGATTGCATGAGAGGGAACTTCATTAAGGATCATTATACAAAAGGTTGATATGCTTACGGAGACTGTACCTACATTATATTTACAATAAAAGGGAACATGAAAAATGAGAAAAAAAAATCTGAAATGTTTCATATTTTAAATGAAGTCTAAAGGGGCGTTTTTTTTTTTTTTAATGTTTTGTGTCTTATTTATTAAATATCATGTTTGCACTTAAACCATAAAATTCAGTTCAATGGTAATGTTGCAAAATAATTTTAAAATGAGCATATCTTTAGAATTTACGATACACAGTTCCGCACGCTAGAGATAAAAAGGTTTTTTCCCCCATAGAGTGTTGCTATTGCTCGCTTTTAAATCGTTGGGTTTGTTACTCAAAAATTCGTTAAAGTTTCACAAAATATGAAATCGATAATAAAACAAATTCCAAATTTCAAATTTGGTCTTCCACATGCCCATATTCGTAGGAGGATTACGTCATTCAAAGTTCGATGGCTCTATATACCGTTGTTTTATCACAATGCAAGAAATAGACGTACATTTATGCAGATTTTTCATTATTTAATTTCTTCAAATATAATGCAGGACATTTGATGGCAACAGTTGAGAAGTGAAATGGACATTTATAGTGATTCAACGCAAAATCGTAAAACAAAAACAATAGTCCTCCAGGGACAAAGCCCCTTTGGACTAATTACCATTACCTGAATGCAGAATACCATTTTATGATAGGGTTTCGTTTACCATTATTTAATTGTTGGGAAACACCCGTAGCTAAGTTCACCGCTTACTATAGCATACAATTGGATCGACTATTATCTGTTCACATACATCTCAAAAAGTAATAAATTATCTTGATCGATCTGCAGTTTTAAACTAGTGTGTAGGGTTTTAACTAATTTTCTGGTGCACGACACAAGAACGCTGTATAAGAGAATGACTTAGGGACAAGGGGAAGAATTAGATATGGCCACATGGAACACATTACATAATTCATTGACTGGTGGTTGATTGAGAATTTGGGAAAGAATCACAGATATCCTTGTCTTTTTCTGGTTTGGAAATTTCTTTTATCCAGGGTCAGTAATGTCTGTATGATTTGGAATGGATTTGGATTTTTCAGGCATGTATTTCTGCTTTTTGATCATATTATTTCTATGACAGCTTCAGCATATCTAGATGTTGTTGTATCAGGAGATCATAACTACGCTATAATCCCTTTCCTGTTAGATGAAAGTTACCAAAATGATAGAGCTGCATTCAATCATTAATTTATTCAGATTGCTGATTTAAGGTGCACCTGAACAGTGTAGTGACCTGAACAACTCCCATGCTTTCAAAAGGCCTCAAATATTAGGCATGTAATGGACTTAATTAGGGATAGAAAACTACGATGTGAGAATGTTTATTACTGTATCATCTGGCACAGATGAAAACAGGCCTCTGGTATCAATGAATTTTTATGCCACTGGAAAATAATTATCTTATTTCCTCCCTGTTGTTTTGAGTGTGAACTTCTTTATGAACAAAAAATAGTCCTATAATAAAGAGTAAGCATTCTTTCAAGCAGAGTAGTATATGCACAAAATATTAGCAGTGAAATTACTAAAACTTTAATGAAGTTAAAAATTGGATAATTTATTAAAGGAACATGCCATGTAATATCAGTATAAATGTCAGCAAAAGAACATAATAGTTATCTCTTTTCTTCAAATGGTATTCGTATTGACTGTTTCACTTCATAATTCTTTAGAAAAGGTATTTGAAATTTGGAAGTATTTAAATTTTTTTACTCATTTACTCCTAGATTATACACCATTTTTGTAATCTTATAACAAAGATGAAAATGGTACCTTATGAAGATCATAAGCATATTAGTATTTATTACATCAGGGCTATGTAGTGTGCAAAAAGATCATGTTTCAAACTGCATCATTGCAAAATTTTCGCTGTTGCAGCTGCTGACAGACAGCTGATGTTATGCGTTGTGATACATGATCACATTTGTCTTCATTTGCTGCAAATTTAGGTTTCTTATTTATTCTATGCATAGTAGTTTTGAATTCATTTAAACTCCATTATGAAATCATCAGTGTCAAACTCTGTCAGTTCAAGTGAATTTCTTTTTTACTGCAAAAAATAGGTATTTTCTTGAAACACATTTTCTTTTGTTTTTCAATCCAGTGATAGATCAGTGGATCATCATTGTTGAGAATGTGCTGTGAAATTCTCATATCTATTTTGTAATGTTTCAGGAATTGGACTGATTTATTTATGTATCATGCTTGACTAAGTAAATAAATTATTTAATAAAATAATTGTCACTTGAATCAATAAATATTTTGGGAAACCTCATGCACAATCTTTATAGTATATAAAATCATTATATAATGTGATCATAAATGGATTTATAGCTATACGTAGTAAAGATGAACACAGTATGTAGCCACAATAGACTGTAGCTACATACTATTATGCTCATCTTTTGTCAAGGCATTCAGCCATTTGAATATGGGCATGTGTGCATGATGTTGATTGTTAACCAGTTTGGGCATCATCATTACACTGTTCTTTATAGTTTAATCATGGATCATTTTAATGTGTATTGTATACCTTCAGACTTGGTTTCAGAAAGTATATTCAAATTAAAATGTCAGAAGTAACAAAGGAAATTTCAGTATTCAGTAAATTCAATCAGGAATAGATAATAATAATATAATAGAATAATTACATTATCTATGGACTTCTCTTCTGTGATGGAGCAGGGTCTTTATAATTGCTCACTGAAACTGAAAATTTGGCTGGCTGTACGCCAAACATTATATATTTTGATGATGGAGAAAAATATATTTAAACCTGTGGAAAAATAGTGTGATAACCTTGCTGCAGGAGGAATCTTCATGTATAAACTTACATCATATCCCTTTCTGTATAAAATACTTAGCATAAAAGCATCATAATTTAATTATGAAAGAAAAAATATGATTGTATAGGAATTGATGAAACATTATTAATCAAGTGGCATCCTTGATGCAGCTTACAATTTTTGTAGTAGTATATTATTTATCAGTGTAACAAAATGAGCCAGTATGTTTCTTGATATTATTTTGATCTCGATCACAGAGAGCATTTTTTATGCTGTAGTTTTCTTGTTACCTATAAATAACAGTATTATAGTTATTTATACACTCATGTCCATAAATTAAGGATAATGCAAAATCAGGCAAAGGAAGAGTTAGAAGCAAAACAAATTTGACTTATTTGTAAAGCTTATTTATTAAACAAAAGGTAAAGAGCAAAAAAAGATGCTATATGTTTGATATTATTAAAAAAATTAGTGATTTTTTTTCTCCCTGGAGCAAATTACAAAAAAAAAACTATTTACAAAAAAACAATATTACATGGTTGGTATGATTGTTAATACATTATATGGCTCCCAGATGATGCAATACAGTCCGTACAACGCCTAGGCATGCTGAGTATCAAATTATCGATCTGACCTTGGGGGATATTACACCACTCAAAAAGCAGTGCTCTCCGAAGTTCCAGTAGACATGTAGGAGGAGGTTCACAGGCTGCAACTCATCGGCCAAGCATGTCCCACACATGCTCTACTAGATTCAAGTCCAGTGAGAATGCTGGCCAGTCCATACGGGTGATATCCTCCGATTGAAGGCATTCGCTTACGATGTTTGCACGATGAGGACAGGCGTCATCCATAAACACAAATTGTGCATCCATGGCGCCCCGAAACAAACGTACATGTTGTTCCAGAATGACGTTCTGATAGATTTGGCTTGTCATGGTTCCAATTTGAACATGCAGGTCAGTTCTGGAACCCAGAATAATTCCACCCCAAACGAGCACTCCTGCACCACCGTAACGGTGTCGTTCAATGATGTTTCCTTGGTAGTAACTGGTATCTGGAGCTTTCCATATGAAAGTCTGGCGAGAATCAGACTGCAAGCTAAACCTGGACTCGTCAGAAAACATCACACATGCCCACTGTTGCGGTGTCCGCAATGCATACTCTCTACTCCAGGCTAACCGCAGGCGACAGTGAGTTGCAGTAAGTGGAACGCATCTGACAGATCTACGAGCATATAGACCAATCTGCCCTAAGCGTCTGTACATGGTCTGCCTTGAAATTGTCATACCAGTGGCTGAAGAGAGCTGATGAGACAGGTCTGAAGCTGTGCTCCACCTGTTTCTTTTGGCAGTAACTGCCAAATAGCGGTCCTCATTCGGCATTGTAACTCTGGGGCGACCTGTGCTGTAATGTCTACTCACATTACCATCATCTTGGAATCGTTGCCAAAGCCTGGAGATGACACTCTGGGCAATTCCAAATTCGTCTGATACTTCCAGTTGGGTACGCCCACATTCCAGACGGCCAATAATTCTACCACGTAAAAAAGCATCCAAATGCGTCCTTTGTGTCATAACTATTTGGTTATTGCACTGAAATGCTTATAAAGTGCCTGCGAACAATTTTACTTCTTTGCCTGTATTCCTTATATATCACTCTTTTACATTCTCATCATTGTGACGTACCATCGGTGTCATCTGGTTACTTCCTGAAATTTGCATATGATTCTTGAAGATGTGTGTAGTGATTTTGCAGGTGATATATTTATTTTAGAGTTTGATTTCTGCATGACTCTGAATTATCCTTAATTTATGGACATGAGTGTATTTGTCAAATGCTTTCACATAAAAAATTAAGGAACAAATTTTAAATGATGATTGGAAATGTTACCATAGGCAGCCATGTTATTTTAAGTTATATGTTTTAATTATTTTTATGCTATAAAATTTTTAAGATAAGTATTTTTAATCATAATGGAAAAAAATTTTAGGCCAGTGTTTTATACTTTGGAAGAGTGGTTGAAGGGAATGTCAATGCATTTAGGAGTCAGAAATGAGTTACCTCAAGAGCTCGTTAATGCAATTTTCAACTTCAATAGTCAAGTTCAAGACAATTCTAGTCCAGACTCTAGTCCAGAAGTTTTTTTTCGATCTAATTTCCCTCTCCTGAGAACATTTAGTGAACAGGGAACATGTAGACTCTCGTTGGAATCCCCAGCAACTGCAGTGGAATTATAATAAGTATTTTGTAAATTATTATGTACTTTTCATTTTATTTATCTGAGTATTTTGTTTTATCAGTGTTTTAGTTGTTGTCATCTTGTTGTGTATTACTACACCCTTTGTTTATTGAGCAGACTAATTTTTTATGAGCATACTCTGATTGCCACATACAGTAAAAAGAAGTAAAACCATTAAATTTTATAAACTGTATATATCATATACTTTTTAAGTTTGCATTTATCATTATACACAGAAAAGTATATTTAAGAAAATTCTGAAATAGATCACATCTGGTTGTCCTGTTAACATTTTAAAAAATTGTTAAAAATGTCCAATATGTAACTGGGCATTTTTCTTACCTTTAATGATATGTTAGTATTAAAGTGGTATTCAAAGCTCCTTCTTGAGTTTAGGAGTAAAAGCAGTTTCATGATGATGATTGCTGAGTGATTAATATATACTTTTGTATCCAGTGTATTATGTGACTTCTTATTTTTATTATAGTGAAGTTCTTAGCCGGAAAAATTATTTTAGAAATTGTTTGAGCCCTGGTGTATTATATATTTATAATTTTGTTGCTTATAAATATTTTATATATTTTCTAATTTCAAAAATCTTCTAAAATAAATTATTTTTAGAGATTTGCATAAACAAAATTGGGAATGAAGTTCATATGTAATTATTTACTTATTTTAGTAATTTTGGATGTTTATTACTTAAGTTCTTACAAACAAAATGAATGAAGTATGGTTGGTAGTTGATAAAATGATCATTTGTTGTATTAACCATTCCATTATAGTGACCAATGTAAAATTTTCTCAGACAACTCTCAGTTCAGTAAAGAATTAGACATTCTCTCAGTTCAGTAAAGATTTGCAAAAGATTTTTCAATTGTATCTTTCATTTCATTGGGAATAAGAAAACAATTGTTGTAAATTTAAAATATTTCAAAACACAAATTATGTGGACATAAATGTTTTCATGTGTTTCACTAAAAGCATAATTTTTGTCAATAAAAAATTAATGGAATATGCTTTATTATATATATAATTTTCTACTCTTCAAATAGAAATTTAGTAAAAATTTAACACAATGATATTGTAATGATAATATTAATTTTAATTCATTAGTAATAAAACATGTATAGTAGACTTTGAAACATTAATTCTATCTGTGTAAACAAAAATAACTTCTTCAGTAAATGGTTTTTATTTTGACTTCAACAGCTGTCCATCCAGACAATCATTTATCACATGTGATACCATTGGCATATAGTAAATTCATCATTATGAGAATATGCTAACACAAAATGGCATCAACTCAGTTTTGACATTTTTATCAAGGTCACATTGAAGCGGAGAAAATATGATTATTAACTTCGCTGTTATTAGCAGATGAGATCATATGCACTTCCGGAGGAATGGGATTGAAGTTATTGTTGCAGTTTTATTAATCTTCATATAATATTCCTTGGATTCCATCAACTTGAAAGTCTAGTTCCACTAAAATTTAAACTTGTTTCTCATTAAAAAAAATATCTTTTTGGCTTCAGTAATTTAAAAATGAATAGAAATTACTAATTAATTTTGCTAATGTACTATTCAACATTTTTCAGGGAAGCAAAACTGTTAATCAGCTGTTTTGTAAAAACTAATATAATAATGAAAATGTGTGTAGTTTTTCTACCATTATTTGAGTTAAATTAATGGAAAATCATTAAACTATCGACTTCCGAGATATAAAGGTACTGGTATTTAAGATTTTAAGATTATATTAAAAGTTTCACTTTTCAAAAAAGGAATTACATTTGAGGAATGAATGCGTGCTAAATAATAATTATACTATCAGATTATATCCTGATCATTTGACTGAGTTTTGTCAATTTGTAATTAGATTCCAAATATGAGTAATTTCTGAAAAACTTAAATAATTCCAGATGTCTTAATTTTTTTTCAGTTTTAATTTTTAATAAATTTTGGTTAGTTGATCATGGCATTATGAAGAAACCTATGTTATCTTTTTAGAGCTTAATATTTGTGTGAAAGGTAATAATATTCTTGGCAATCAATATTTAACAAGGTGCAGTTTTTAAAGATTACAGTATTTTAAACTGTGTCTTATGTTATAGGTAATTAAATTCCTTGGTGTGCTTGATTGATAAATGTTTCAGCTTTTTTGAAATTTTTGTTTCTAATGAGACATAATAGATTTATATAGTCTTTAGCCACATGGGAGATACTTATACAAGCCTGTACTCGTACTCATGTCTATTTTCCTGTCACGTATAGTATTTCACAAAGGCTAGATATTTTCCCTTGAATGGCATCTTAATTTAATATGGGTATTTTCTAGATATGTTCATATTGTAGTAGTAAAGATAATATCAATTTTAAAATATTGTCTACTGTTTATCCAGTTAAGGATAATGGTTAGTATTAAAATATTGCACAGTGAATATACATTTTTAATTAATTATTATCATTATTCTGTGTTAAATGTAATGTAAATTGCTAAAAATTAAAATTAAGCTAAAATTTTAAACTGTGTGAAATTTCATGAAGTTTTAAAAGTATAAACCTAATTTTTCTCTCCTCCAAAAATTTATGAAACCTTTTTTAACAACCTGATTTTATAAACTAGGACAGTATAAGTGGAAGTGATAATGTAATAGTAATAATGTTTTTTAGTTATGTAAAATGTAGTTATTTAACATTATTTTGCATATATTTCTAAATACTGATTAAATATGTAATTATTAAAGAAAACGTTACTCATGAAAATTATTAAAATGCTTAAATTCTCCTGGCAGACTTTGACTTAAGTATTTTATAGTTAATGTGTCTTTGGGTATCTTAAGATTTGAAAAATATCCTTCATTCTGTATGTAGAATCTGTATTCAAAATCTTATTAATGCCTGCCATTTTCCTTTATTTGTTCAACATTATTAAAAGAATTATAAAACTTTGCTATATAATATATTTTTGATAAGTAATTTTAACTAGTTTCCTAAGATACCCTGATAGCCTACCAAAAGATTTTTTTAAAGTGAAATATCATTTTAGGCAAAATAGTGTATTTCTAATTATTTTCATTATTATCACTGTCCTTCCTTGCCACTAGTCATTCCATTTTTTAGTATGCTTTCAATGTAAAATGAACTATGTGCATGGAAGCAAGGTAACTATTCCTATAAGTAAATCTTCAATAATAATTGAATTTGTAACTATTATTATAACATAAGATGTATAAATTGCAGACCAAAGGTTGCCTGAACCAAAGAAAGAAACTTGTGTTGCCTTTTTAATCTTCTGACTTCATTTCACATATGTATCTTGATAGTAGTCTAAAGATTTTTAAAAAAATGTATCTTCTTGTATGTAATCATTATGTACAAAATATTATGATAAATAATGGACCTATCAGAAAATAAGGTTTTCTGCCTTAAAGTTTTCTTATCTTGTGTAATAGAAATATATATTCTGTAACAATTTTTTAATACTGTGGAAATTTTATTTTATTTTATTTATTTATTTTTTTTTTTTTTCTTTATCCTTTATCCTGCTCAATATTATGTGCTTTCATATTACCCTTTGATTCTTGTATTGAAAATTTCTTTATGGGGATAAATTAATGTATTCAATTCATAGTGCTTAACAGTTCTGTCTTTTTCCTCCTAGCCCTATTTTAGTAATTTAATTATAGGCTAACAATAAGACTATTATATCTGATTTATTAAAAGTTAGATGTAATTGAATACTTTCACTAAACATACTTCTAAATTTTTATAACTATACTTTGTGATGCAGTTAGATGAATTAGGAGTTTCCTTTTTAGAGCAACAGTATTTGATAACTACCAAAAGATTTATATCAAGTATTATTTATTCATATCAGAAGTTTGTAATATACTTTGTTTGTAAAAGTTGTAAATATTTTGTATTTATTTTTGTATATGTTTAGAGATGTCTTGATGGTTTGTATAACGTGAGACTTTTTAAGGTTTTAAAACATGGTGTCGGGTATTTTAGGTAGTTTATGATATTCTTGATAGAACTGACTGTAAAGAAAATGCATGTTTGCTTTTAAAAGTTTGAAGAAGAGATAAATATGATTTTTTCTATGTATAATACCTTTGAAATCAGGAAAATATGAAGTTAACAAGTAGAAAACTGTACATTCTCAACTTATATAGTTTTATACTGAAACATTTGATACAGCCATGTAAAAATAGTTAATATTATGTCCTTTATGTGCTTGCTCATTAAGTAACAGTATATTAATAGGTGTGTAGATGGATGGATGTTTGTACAGTAGTAGCCCCATATACATTGGTTGTATATTCCAAGAATAACTGCAGATGAGAAAAACTGATGGATCATGGGAAATACTGTATTAAACAGGATATTCATATAACATGCATAATTATATATGTTTAATTGATGAATTATGCTAGTATGACATTGCTAAATTAAATAAAGTAATAATTAAAGTAGTAATAATAAAGTAATAGTATTTTACTGCAATACATTATATACTGTATTACTAAAACAAGAAATATAAAACATATTTTACTGTAGCATATATTTTATTTCTCATACTTTTGAAAATATGTTGCAAAGGATAGTGGATATAAGAATCATTCTTTTTTAATCACTAATGTAACTTCCTAACTTTATACCATCATTACTCTTAAATTTTGGAGCTTCTTAATTTAGTAAATATGAACTTTAAGAGTGGTCGAGCTGTGATATCATGTTACTAATAAGAACAGTATGAATTCTAAAAAGGTGAATGAAATTTTAAAAAGGAATTTCCTGTAGACTGCCTAGCAACTGGTAGTCGAAATTTTGAGCCACATATTTATGATTAAAGTTTGGGTGTGGTTCACTCAGAAGAACTCTTGTACCTGAGAATACATATGTGGCTCTGTATTGACCATTTTCATTTTCATTAATTAAACCCGAAACAGGCATACAGGTGCATGGGAACACTACTGGCCTTATTTAAGCCATTGTATTAGGGACTATTATAACTTTACTTGTATTTGGAAACTTACAGTTTATGAAACTTGTGTCTTTTTTTCCCCTTTTGCTGTTCTGAACCACAGGTCCTAAAACAAAAGATACAGGAACATCACATTTGTTCAGTTCTGTTTCATGGAAATAAAGTTAAGTCACATAATTTGTTTGGTTTTCTGTTTCATATAAAAGTTATATTTTCATTATACCTAGTGTAGTCTATTAAAGAGCAAGATTGTTTGAGGCTCTGTCAGCAATCAGATTTCTTCCTGAAATTATATCCTACTTTTAATTTAAGATGAGAATAAAGTGATGACTCCTTTCATGTAGACAGTTATAAGCATTCAAATAATTATTACTTGTCTCCGTCATTTCATAAGGACAGCAAAAAGTATAAAATGTTACAAAATAATTAACAGTTTATATGTTAAGCGTAAAAAGTTTTTAGAAATAGTGTAATATTTAAGAATATGTGGGGTGAAAATTTTAATAACAAGCAAATAATAATATTTTAATAGTAAATAAATTTAAATAATACTTACTAAAATGACACTGAATTCTTAAGAGCTATCATATAATTATTATTCAATGTAATTATCATAAAAAGTTTAAAATAATCTGGGAATTATCAGTATGTGGCATAGGAAAATTAAATAAGAAAAATGTGAATGTCAAAATAATTTTTTGCTTCATGCTGGATTGCCACGAGCTTTGGAAAAAGTGCTGTAAAACAAAGTTTACCTAAAATAATATAATTTTCCAAACTTCCATTCTGATAAATAAAATAAAAATCAGTTGAATTGATCATATTCCCACTTTACTTAATCATCACATTCACTTAAAATGTTTTAGCTAGTGCTGACATTTGTTATGTAATAAATAAAAGAAAATAATAATAATATCTGCTATCTTAAAATATACTTTCCTATAGCCTCCCTTCTAAGAAAATTTCTCATAATTTTAGTATATATAAATCAAATCTGCATATTGTGTATATTTTATATGGTCAACCCATAGCAAAATTTGGCTAGTCTTATTACGGGTTTCATTGTTGGCTGCTTAAATTAATAGTATAATTTTAAGTTAAATAATTTAAGTTAAAGTCTAAAGTAAATGCATAGGATTTCACTAATTTAAATTCAGTTGAACAATTTGCATATATTACAAAGTTGAGATACATTGAATTTTATCCGTCATGTGCCATGTTATATGTATATGAATTACATCATTATTTTCATATTTTGCTAAAAGATAAGCATTCATACATAAGTGAAATGAATATGAATTCCTGTTGGAGTTTCCAGCAGTAGCTCATTGCAAAATTTTAAATGTTCCTAATTTTGACTGAATCAGAGTTTTAAATGTTCGTAATTTATAAATATTACATTGTTATATTCTAAAATTTAAAATAGCATTTCCAGATTTAAAACAATTTAAGAAACAAAAGTATACGTGTAGGCAGATATTAAAAAGGGGGGACATTCTCTGCTCCTTTTTGAATAGTGCAGTTTTGATGATGTAAGTTCATTTTTTAATTAATGTTTTCCTAATTCTCATAAAAAGGAAAAAATTCAAAGAAGAAGCATTTTAATTCTTTGTAAAATGTTTAATATTAAGAAATTCATACCTGTATCATCCAAGAATTCTGATATATCTGCTCTGAAGTAGCTTAGAAACAGGAATATTAAATTTAATTGGTCTTTATTTAATTTGAATTAGTGAGTTCTCTTTCTGTATTTTTCTGACAATTATTGGTTGTAAGAATTAACCCCTTATGTATTGTTGGAATGCATCAGAAAAAAAAAGGATTTTCTGTAATGTATATGTTGAGAGAAATCTCTAAATGCTAATTGGTTGTATTTTTGTTATATCTATTGTATTGGATGCTTGTTGAATTGTTTTAATATTCACACCCTATATCAAACAATGAGTAGTATTCTTTTATAAAGCAAATGCACAAAATTTTAAGGTTTATGCAAAAGTTTTTGTCAGTTCCTGTTTCTATGTGTTTATAAAACTGTATTTTTTGGTTGCTGAAGTTTATGCCTTTTTTTACTTCCATTTTATGTGAAGTCAGAACAAACTTCCCAAAATGTAACAATGCTTTTGTAATACATTTATTGAGTATAATCAAGAATGTAAACATGTGATTCATACTGTGGTATATATTGATTAGTAGAAGGAAAAAGCAGAAATGCTATTCTAAACTGGGTTTTATAAAATTTTGTATTTAGCATAATATAAAAAAGAAGAAAATATCTTACATTTAATTTTGCATGAATTTACTTAGATTTATACCTATTTTGTTTGTACCTTGCCATGTTGTGTTTTGTCATTGTAATTTATTTCACATTTCATTTTTGTTTATGTCTACCATTTACCATCAAATATAGAATCATTCCAGGCAATTCTGCTTAGCTGTATATTGAATTTACTTTATTCAATCATTGTATTTTGGCATAAGATTTAAAATTTTGAAGTCTGTTATTTAAATTTATATATTTTAAATTTTATATTGTATTTTTTAAAAAATAGAGTGATAAATATTATATATATATATATAACTTGGTAGTCTTTTCTGAACTTGGAATTTATGTACACTATACAATTAAAAAGAATTTTTTAAAGTTAATTGTGTTATCTCACCTTTATGTAAGTTTGAAAACTTCATTTATTTTATTTTCTTCAGAGGAGTTAATTAGAGTTAAAAGTAAAGGAAAGTCATTGGATTTTTTTTTTTTTTTTTTTTTTTTTTTTTTTTTTTTTTTTTCAAATTAGTGTTTCATAGATTTAGTCTACACTTAAATGAAAAGAACTATTGTATTGACAAAGATCATTATGATTCCTTCTCTCGATTTCAGTTTTCATCTATTAAACTAGTCAACCATTGTAAACGGGGAAGGAGTTTAAAACTAAAAGAAAGTGCTTAGTTTTTCTGTCAGAAGAAAAGAATGTTCAGTTGCATTGTTATAATATTTTCAATGAATATGGTATTTGGTCAATTTAATTACTTTTTAAACTCTGTAAATTTTGTATTGCAGCTCACAGGAAATCTAATATTTGCAGCTGTTGAAATTTCCTGAATCCTAATAGCAGGGCCGTACCTAGGCTGCCCACATACTTTCCGAAGATTACCGCCCCAATTTTTTTTAAGTGCTCATGATTAATAAAATTTTTATTTCATACTCACTTACAAATGACAAATTTTATAAAAAGTACTTACGATGAATTAAAAATATTTAGGCGTGGTATCGCAAGAGTCCGGGCCACCCACATACTTTTACGTGCTGCACCCTACTTGGAACGGCCCTGCCTAATATACATCTCCTACTGTCATGAAGATTAGATGTCGCTACTATTATTATCTTCGAAACATGCCCAAACATTCAATAAATTATGGCCATTCCTAATCTTGGTATATGAGCGTGCCTGCGTAATATTCATGTATGTCCAGGTCACTTCATAAATAATGCAGTATTTTTATACCTCTTTTATTTTTCAAAATTAAGATAGACATAGTTCTTTTTTAATCTAAAATATAGTTGCCTTCATCTTTTCTTAGTTCCTCAATAGTTACGATAGAATTTTGTTCCAACAGGGTTTGCAGGACATTTCCGTGAAGCTGTACAGATCTTCCAAGACGAGGCTCGTGTTTTTGGCTGTAGGTGCTGGCTCGGAATTTCTGAAACCACCATTATCATGCTTATTGGCTTGATTCCCATGCACTGCATTAATATTCCTATTAATAATTATTTAATTGAACTCACGGAGAAAAATATTCGAACATGCTCTTTTCTCACTTCCATTACAAATTTGGAAAAAACAAAAAACTATGTTAAAATAGCACTGCATTTTTTAAGATTTGCATGAATGATAATAACATGATATAATTTTTTTTATTATTTACTTGTTTTTATAGCTGGTAGTTTATGGTTGATGCAGTTAGTTTATCCTGTCCCCTTCCGATTTTTAGTTCATGCAAATGGAAAAATCTCATTATTTATGGGTTACCCAATATATCATCAAAACCGGTTTTTTATAAGTAGGATATCAGATTCCATTGTAATTGCACGATTTACTTGGACCAGGATCTGAAACAGCTTAACTTATAGGTTGTTTATATGCCATTTGTTTTTAATATGTAATCATATTCACAGAGATGGCTTATAAACAACAAAACGAGATGGAAGGAGTATCAGTTGTGACGTATGAGTTGGCAAACAACGAATTAACGACCATCTGGCTTGTCAACCGTAACGAGGTTAGCAAATTGGATTGCACATTATGCACAGCAACCGCTCACTTCCAATTTAACAAGTCACCTGCGGATACAATAGACTAATATTCCGTATCTCATAGTTCATTGAATTGGATGGACTCAGGCCAGAGAAGGAACTACCATTCTGTGAGCAATTCCCCCCCAAACATTTTAGGACTTATTCATAGTAAAATAACTTTAACAATTTTCATATGGATGAAAACTGTTGTGGTTCTGTTTCTTCCATTCATATCAACCGTGTAACTTACTGGTGGTAGCCGTTACGAAGAGGACCATTAACCGTGCCTTATTGCCAGCGCTGTCAAGAAATTCGAAGAACATGACGGTAAATTTCATTTAATAATATGGCCTTCAAATTCACGGAACACAATCCCAATCAAACACTACATCACCACAGCGACAAATGTACTGGAAAACTTGTCAAAAATTTCGATCTAATACTATATCCCATGGTAATTATCGCCTTCAAAATAAATGGGTGCATTGCCAAATGGTTGCTATTCTGCAGTCTAGTCGACGTCCAGCATCTCACTCGGTAGGTAGTTGTAATATAATTGAAAAATTTTTTTTAACAATTTTGTGCTATTCCTGCTCTTTTGTTAGAGGAAGACCACCTTTCGTTATAAAATTCCATTTGAATCTGAGCTTACAATATTGCAAAAAAATCGGTTTATTGAATTTCACAAAACTGCAGTTTTTGATATATTCCACGTTCAGCAAATTTTAGGCGCCTTGAAAGACTTAACCTAGATTTTTCATACATTCCAAGTATTTTTTTTTTTAATTAATACAGTTTCTGACTTTTTTCTGGATATATTTCACAACTACAGGATTTCATTCCAAGATTTTTACACTAGTCTACTTCAATCAAATGCTTATTCATAAGGATAGTTTCAAACAGCAGTAACTACACACACTGGCCAATGAATTAGAAATCTTTGAGATTTCCATTTGAATGCGTGCTAGGGATGAAGTATGCAATTTGTTTGTATCGTGTGGTTAGAATGCTAGTATAAGTAAGGTGTAAGAGTGCTTTTCACGATAAATGAAGTAAAATAGAAAAAAACGACAGATCTTTCACCATTTGAAAAAAGGGCTTGCTGTTGGTGCCCGTTTAGCAGGGGCTGTAGCAAATAGTTTATCCAACAGATGGTGGCAGTATCTTCCAAGCTCCTTTGGTAATTGTCAATGCACATGCGCAACTTGAGTGTAGAAAAAAGTATGTTATAGGAGAATGAGCTTTCGTTAAGAATGTTGCTGTGCGCTTTCGCTATGTAAATAAAAGTATATTTTTGTAACATGGATGTTCTTTACTCTCTAATGCGAAGCACTAGGTTAATGCACGAATCTCGACTGATTCAGAATCCTTTTTCAAACCGTGGATCACCAGAGGGGCTTTGATTTCGAAGATCACTGGATTCGAATTTCACTAGATTCTCAAAATCAGACATATCAAAGGTTTTCAAAAGTTGGAATCAGAACCCATAGTCCTTGTCTAGAAGAAGTAACTGCGGTTCGAACACAGTTTTCCAACAGAGTGATCGACGTCGTCTCCGACGAATTGTACAGCAGAACATGGACCCTACTGTGCTTCAACTGACAAAAATCGTCAACCAAAGCTTTTACCAACAGATTTCAGCTTGAACCATGCGCAGAGGATAGGTCAGGTGCCTGTGAGAAAGCCACTCATTTTTGCCCTACATGCAAGAATTCATTTGCAGTGAAGTCGGGAAAGAAGATACTGGACATCTGAGGATTGGAAACGGGTAATGGGGTTGGATGAATCACTCTACACCTTATGTTGCACTGATAGAAGACGTCAAATTTTGCGATAACCCCATGAAGCCATGAATCCATCTTGCCTTACTCATACTGTGCAAGGGTCTGGTGAGAGTATCATGATATGGAGCATGTTCTGCTGGCATGGAACTGGTGCCCCGGTGTTCCTCGAGGGTAAACAAACAGCCATGAGATACCTAGATATACTGGCAGATCAAGTGCACCCTGCAATATTGCATATTTACCTTGATGGTGACGGATACTTTATGGACGACAATGCAACTGTACATCGTGCCAGAAGTCTTCAAAATTGATTCGCTGAATATCAGTCTGACTTCCAACACCTTACCTGGCCACCGCATAGTCTGGATCGTAACCTCATAGAAAATGTGTGTGATGTGGATTCAAGATGCATCCGACAGTACTCTCCTCTTCCATGTAATTTACGAGATCTAAAATGCATGGTATTCTCTGGAGGTAAATGCACTCCAGAAGCATGTAGACTTGATGCCCAAATAAATCAGAGCAGTTATCCGTGCATAAGGGGTCCAATAAAATATTGATCTTTGGTTTCTTATTCATTGATTAGTGTATGTATATCCAAAGAGCTTTCCCTCTGCCCTGAGTCCGGATTTTTAGGCATGTGCAAACGAACCCATAGGTTAATTTGCTTATTTTTCGAAGAACATTCCGGGTCTTATATCCCTTGCAGAAATATGTTAATCTCCTTACCCCCCCCTCCATTTTGTATATTATTTTTTAAGCATCCTTCTAACTAGAACTAATAACAGATCGATTTTTATTTTTAGTGTTTTCCTTATTTTTCTATTTGATGAATTTGGCCGCACCTACACACTTCAGCTGAGAATTTATATGATATGAAACTTTTTTCCGTGCCTTACTAGTTTAACTTATTTAAGTGGGTCACTTTTAAAAGTGCAGAGAAGTCTAATAACTAGATGTGCTACTTCGGAATTGATTCAAGGAGCTCATTCCAGAAAAAGGTAATTGGAAACGTGCCCCAAGAATATAGACCTGCTATTCGTTGATGAACTGACTGAATTTACTGAACGAGCAGCTCTTGTTGGAAGCGTATCAGGAATGTCCGATTTCAATGTTAAGGAAGAAAAGATTGCTTATCTTCCCATGTTAAAAGTGAGTTTAATATTTATTATTTACCAGCTTTTTGAAAAAATCTTATTCTAGAATTTAATTATTAGTTCTGTGTATAAAGGAGGTTTTGGGGAATCTCAAAATTACAGTTGAAAGAAATTAGTTCAGGGAATCAGCATTTGATTGAGTGGATACACTCCTCGTTCAATTCTTTTTGCTCTTCGCTCCAACCTTACTAACCGTCCCAATCCCACTGGTAGATTCTTTCTGCTTTTAGCTTCATTCTCGCTAACACCTCTTGATTCAAGTCTCGTTCCTGATCTTTTCATCAATGTTATTGTTAGTGAGCGGCGAGTTATGAAAAAGAACTGATTCATTTCAGTAAGCAAACAGTTCCGATCCGATCCCCTAAAAGAGCGGTTTTGCTTATGCTTATCAGTAATCAGATGGTTTAAGCAGTTGTAAAAAAAGCATGAAGTTTCAATATCAGAAAGGATTTTAGCATGAGAACGTCAAAGCGTTTTCAGAAAGATATATAGTAAAGTATAAACACTATTCAAAAAGGGGAATGTGGAATTGAAAGATCTTAAAATAGTCAGATAAATTACTACAACCTTCACTATATCACAGGCTAAATTTATAGTAAAGATTACATATGAAAGGTCCAGACTGGAGCTGATTACTTAAAGATACTATTACGGTACATGTGAGACACATTCAATGAAAGGTTTATTGCAGCTTTTAGGCTAAGGGCAAGAAGAATTGTATATTGTGGTCCTCTTATTGAGATGAAGTATTCTACCTCCGATGGCAAAATGAGATGGAAGGAGTATAAAGTTACAGATAGTTTTGCCAAAATCTTAGTCATTAATGTTCTAAGTAATAATAGTTCGTCGTTAATGACCTAAGTAATAATAGTTCGTCGTTAATGTCCTAAGTAATAATAGTTGTACTGGCAACTATTTCGAATTAATACAAATGTTCATTTAAAGTGCAAGAAATTTGAGGGGATTGTCTTCTTTATATTACTGCAAACTACGCTAAGGCTATCTACCTAAGGGGAGAAAGAGGCCTTTCTAGCTAGCTTACTAATGCTTAGCGAATTTACTACTCTGTCGTGAAATTTGTGCGGGAGACAGAGCTAAAAGCAGTGAATAAATGGTGCAGGTTTGCGTGTGCAGTTATGAAATAATAGATTTGCGTAAAGGAGGACTAAGGCGCCAAAATACTGAAACACACTTTTTAAGAGTGCTTTTGAATTTCTTGAATGATACCCTCAGATCCATTGTCACGAAGTTCTTCAGCAATTGTTGGAGGTTTATTCTTTTCCTGATAAGGAGCCTGAAACACCGTCGAAGTTCTAGTTTAGCCATGGATTTTTCAATTTAAGGATTGTTTATGATTCATTTAGGTAATATGATACATTTAATTTCTTTTGCTCTTAAAATACTGTGTAAATTTCACAGCATAGTAAAAATTCAAGCAACAGAAAAATTTGTAAACATTAGTTATTAGTATTGTTACGAATTTTGTAGACAGATAATATGATTTTAGTGCGTGAAATTTTTGTATTTTTCTATGTTATGTAAGATGAAAAATCTAGAGAGACAAGCTATGCAGGAAAAATAAGAATACAAGGGCAAATCCATTTGACTTTGAGTAAATGGATATCTCGGTAATTTGGCGAGATATCGCCAAGCTGGCAACGGTTTTGGCGACATTTTGATCCGGTTCTTGTATGACCGCAATAGATATTGCAATTGAATAAATATAACTGATCACTACATTAGTTGTAGCCTTATTTCGACCATCATATTGTCTTCCAGTAATTTCAAGAAGCAGAAAGTACTAGAAATATATCGACGGTCGGATGGAAACTGTATCAGGCCGGAACGAGCATTGCTCTTACTTGTTTCTTCGAGTTGTTAGTTTAGCTTGAATACTGAGATATCTCCGGCTTAGCTTTCTCTTTTGAAGCGCTTTGCATTTGTATGTGTTAACGTTCTTAGTAGTCTAAAGTGTAACTGCTGTGCAGTCTGTGTTACAGTGAACACGTGTACGAGTATTTCTGTGGAGAGTTCCAGGACTCTGAAGTGTTGTTGCGATAAATAAATATTATCAACTTGTCATCGGATTTGTGGACATTCAATCTATTATGAATCCGTAAGCACACAGCAGTGTGAACTTGGATCAAACATCTGCGTTAGTGTCAGCTAGATAAAGCTTCGGAACTATGTTCTTACTGAAAGATGGAAATGCCTATCACGTCTGGCGCAGGTTTTTTTTTTTTTTTTTTCCATCGCATTAAATTTTGATATTGATCTGCCACACATTCCGTTGCCTAAGCTTCTGCTGCCTAATACCTCCAAGGATTGCAGACGATTTTAAAGCATAAGCACTGTTTTACAGAAAGATAATTAAATGACACTGTGAGTGACAAGATGGGAAATCTGTGTAATAGCAGAAATGTAGAAGATTATTTAAATTAAGACAACGAACTCGCACTGTGAATTAAGAACTCAAAGAAGAGACTTGGTATGACCAAGAAAACAGAAGTGTTTTCTCATCCAAGAACATCTTGGAAAGACCATGAAAAATATAAACGATGACATATGCTTTAAAAAAAAAAGTACTATTTTAAAAGAAATAAACTATAATACACTCTTTTGCAAAAAAATCGAAGCACCATGAAGGAAGTGGTTGCTTTTGATGAAATTGAATATGTGTATAGTCTATACACAGATAAAAGAATGATTAAAAAATCAACGTCATAGTACCTGTTCACAGCTTACAATAACCCAATGAGTGTTCAAATTAGTAGTTGGTTGAACCGCCCCTGGCGGCAAAGCATGCTTGAATTCGCCGAGGCAAGGAGTGGTACAGGTTCCTAATGTCATCCTGCGAAATATTCTGTCAGGCATTCATCAGTTGTCACTCCAGATCTGCGAATATTTTGTGGTGCTCGAATCTGGCGGCCTATCATGTTCCACACGTGTTCGATTGTTAAAAGGTCTGATGACCTTGCTGGCGAAGGAAGAGCATCAACCGCACGAAGACAGTTCAGAGATATGCGAGTGGTATGTGGGCCTGGCATTATATTGTTGGAAATTGGCTCCAAGATGACGGGCCATGAATGGTAATGTAACCGGACGGAGGATGGTATCAACATATTGTTGAGCTGTTGTAAGATGTACGGAGGATGACTTAAGATGACCTTCTGTCATACGAAATAGCGCCCCACACTATTACACCAGAGGTTATGGCTGTATGCCTTTGTAAAACAAAGGCTGATTGAGAGCGCTGGCCCCATTCTTTCCAGACACGAACACGGTGGTCATCTGCTCCAAGAGTGAAGCGGGACTCATCGCTGAACACTATACGATGTCAGTCTGATGGCAGCCATGATGATCGGCTGCGACACCACTGCAGACGACTCCGCCAATGTTGTGGGGGTAAAGGCAAACGTTTTAAAGGCCTCTGTGAGCATAACCCCGCCTCAGAAAAGCTTCGTGAGATGGTGGACGGTACCACGTAACGTATAGACGTGGCTATAGTGCGTTGAATAGTCAACAATGTTACCGTTAGGGCGGTTCGGGCCTGGCGAAAAATCATCCTATATTGCCTCGCATTTGTGCTCCTTCCCCTTCCAGAGCGTTCTTTCATCGGCAATTTCCTTGTGGTAACCATAGCTGCCAACATCTTTGCACAGCAGTTTCTGTACACTGCAGGTGGCGGCTTATTGTTCGGTATAACCACCCAACTTCACGCAACCCTACAATGCGACCATGTTCGAAGTCGTTTAGTTGTCTGTAAGTTTTTCGATATCGTCGCAATGGCATCTTTAGTTGCTCTTTACGGAATTACTATAGCAGCAACAAAAAAAGATAAATTTTCCGGCTCTGTTACTGGTTTTATCTTTTGCGAATTGCGTACTAGAAATGCGCGCTATGATCGCAATTCCTCTTTATTTGCCTTTGATAATTTGCATGTTCGATCAAAATGTTTTTGCATACCAAATTTCGTCACAATCGCAAAAGTCCTTGGTGCTTCGATTTCTTTTGCAAAAGAGTGTATATCAGTACTTTCTTATGTTGATACAGAGCATTTGTCTGCCCTAGAAAAACTGTAACGCCCGGAATGAACAGTCTTGCAGAGGAAGTGTTGCAAATTGACGTAATGCTTGCCTAAAATTTCTTTAAAATAAGTATCTGTGTCACCCGAATACAGCTGTTTTCCCTGTTTTTAACATTTCTTTCGAACATTTCTTTTTGAATAAGATTAGCATTAGTGTGTAAAAAATACGAAACTGTTTTTCTTGCGTGCTGATGCCAATTTACTAATTTATTATTTTGATTAATTTGAAACAATATACTTTTGATATTCTGTGATTATATTAATTTACTTCTCAACTCAAATTTTAGGAATGTTTCTTAATTATATAAAAAGCTTATAATTGTGCAAAACAGAAATTTGCATTGTGAAGATCCTCTTAAATTTCTATGAGAATTCGAAATTTAGGAAATTTCTAACCTCAAATAAATAGTTTTAATCAGAGATCACGTGACAAGCAAGGTCATTCTTCCTCTTCTTCTCTTGTGGAATCTCATTATATCTGATTTTAGCTCAGAACAAGCCAGATTCAGCGATGAACATTCTCGTGAGAATGTAAACAAATGGCAAAAATCATTTGGAGATCAATATTTATAGTTGATTCTGTTTAGCAATTAGTTTGACGTGTAACTGTAAATATTTAAGCAATAAAGTCTGCTGTTGAAATTTTAAACATAAAAGGACTGGATGTTCATTTGTTGTGTAAGTATCCATCCCTTAATAATGGCTTTCTTTCTTAAGTAAATATTTATAGTTTAATTTTGTTGCCTCGTTCGTGGTTGGAAACATGATCAGTGTCCATTTCGGTTAATCTTCAGTTGGGGACACGATGTTGGTAATTTTTTCAAAATATTTATTCTGCAACAGCTATAAATGCAATATCCAATAATGTATGGTAGTTACCTTTAGTATTAAATAAACACATATCTTCGGTAATATCCAAATGTCCGTTAATACTCTTAAAGTCAACCTCGTATATCCAACTAAAAATTAATGTCTAGTTTTCAATGTATTTTCATACTCATCTGCATTTAAATTATTCATTATTTGTAGAGAAGACATGAGATTCCGTTTTAGCCTCGAAACGGCATTTTGCGTCGAATCAATAAGAGCATTGAATCACTTTTCAAATTGTTGCCACCAAATATTATCGTCCTGTATTATATTTAAAGAAATTAAATAATTAAGAATCTCCATGAATGTATGTATTGTTTTCGCATTGTGAAAAAACAGTAGTACTCAGAGCCATCAGATTTTGAATAACATAATTCTCCACTCGGATATGGGCACTTGGAAGCCAGAATTTTTGTTTTATTATCTAGTTCATATTTTGTAAAACTTCAAAAAGTTTTTATTAAAAATCTCGACGATTTCAAAGCGATCAGTGAGTGGCAACACTGTACGGCGTAAAACATTTTTATCTGCAACGCGTGAGACTGCCTATCAGAAATTCTAAAGGTATGCTGTCTCTAAATATTTTCAGCTCAAAGGGGAGTTAGCCCAAATGCTTTCGAAACGTGTATGTGTGTGCAAAGCGGGGAAGAAAAAATCCCTTTGGGCGTAATATAAAATCTAAAAGCTTTCAATTTTGTTTATTATTATTATTATTTTACCTTATTCTATTTAAAATTATTTTGGTTATTGAAAAGCAAAAATGAATGAACATTATGAAGACAAGTAATTTTCATATTCGGGGCTAGAATTCCAATATAATTCTGCTTAACATTAGCATTCAAACTGATGAATTTTTCAAAAGGTTAGGCGTGGTATAATAAGAAGTTATTTCAATTTGTTTTCAAAATAAAAGTCAGGAAACTGATGGATATCCTAGTAATTTAGACATCGTTTTATTTCGAAATTGACTTTAAAAATGCTATATTAGTCATCGTTTTTGAGAATTAAATTGTTTCTATTGAAAAAGGCATTTTTAATCAAAAACGAGGTTTAAAATAAACGTTTCTAATTACAGTTTCAAAGCTATGATGTGTGTGTCTTTCACGATTTCAGATGCTATGTGTTGTGTCTTTCACGTATGTTAAACTTAGATTAAGAGTAAACTTAGGAACAACGGCAGTGCCAGAAAGCTTTCATAGGTTTGAGAATGTCTCGTTCTAAAGTTAAATTTTATTTTTAACATTGTGTTGTAAAATGGAGTTCTGGTTGGTGACATACGAAGGGAGTTTTTCAGTTTGCTGCGTTTAGAAAATGAAGTTTAAGTTTGTGATGTTCGATTATCAAAATTTTCAAGTTTATAAAAGATTTATTCTCGACATGCAGATAAGTAGAGTTTTTATGTCACTGTAGGTGTGCCTAATTTGTAAATATAACTGTAAATAGAATTGCATTAAATCTTCAAAAAATCCAGAACTGTATTTTAATTTGTCGTAATTGACTACTCATTCTATGTCGAAGACTATTGCAGTCAAATGTGTAAAGAAATAATACTTACCAATAAGAATATTTTTCGAGTTTCGCTTACGGCGCTATCTTTATTAAAGAGAAGTTAGTCTTCGAACTTGGCAAATTTGGTAGAAGCAAATTTTAAATGTCACCAAAGGCCTATGCGTTGGCCGTTTTAATTCGAAAATATCTTATAATCAGGTACACAGGCACCATAAAATAGGATACTTGTGTTAATAGTAGGGAACAAAGAATGGGGGGGAAAAGTGCCAAAAAGGGCAATTTTGAATAAAGTCCTGCTTTGAAGGAAGTAAAGCGCTCTATTTAATCAGCCACGATTTCTGGATATATGGAACATTTAATTTAGAATTTAAATTTTATTTGTTTCTTAACTTACTAATTACACATATTTAGCAAGCCTCAAAAGTCCTTAATGCTCTTTAAAATATCTTCAAGAGTATATTAGTTTTGCTGTCATCAACAGAATTTATTTTTCGCCATTTGGCATTTTCCTACAATTGTCCTTTCTTTCGAAAGTGTGCCTAGTATTTTGATTTATGAAACACGTTTAACTTTGATGTATTCAACTGTTTCTTACTTTGCTTGTAGGGTAAAATTTTTTAAATCTGACTATTAGATGTTTCGCTTATTTTATCACTGTTTTCCGAACTGCTTTATTAAAATCAACTTTTCAGCTTAAGAATATACAATTCGATTTTAAACCTCCTTTATATTACCGTTTGTTTTAGGTGCCATAGTATAACCAATAAGGTTATTAAATTACAAGAGAGTGGATAAAAAAATATTATTTTACGAAACAGGCTGGAAATGCCCGTCATGTTTTTTAACTCGCAATTCCACGCGACAGATATTTCTGAAATAGAGGTACAACTCCAATTATTCGAACTATGACTATCCGATTCGCTGATTATCCGATTAGCTTTCAGAATTTTAGAATTTTTCAAATCAACCTGAAGAACGGAAGGAAAAAGAAGCTCGAGAAAAGGAAAGGGAAGAGACAGGAGAAGATGAGGAGGACGTGTCACTTGAGGAATTAGAAACATTCTTTTGAAAATTCCTGGATGTTCAGAAGTTACCGCTGAGGATACAGCGGAATAGATGGTGTGTGATTCGTCAGACCCTGGGTTTCAAATTCTAAATGATGATGAACTTATTGAAAGTATGATAGAAGAAAGCGTCGAAGAAGAAGGTGGATTTTAATTTCGAATTTGAAGAACACACGGGACCATCAGCTAGTGAAGCGTTTGCCGGTCTTTAAACTGCGTTGAAGTGAAACTGCGCCAGCTTGAGTGAGACCACATGCAATTTCTCATTGTTAAGCTGGATGGGCAACTTGGCTGCTCGAAAACAGATGAAGGCAGTCAAACAGCTTACTTTGACCGAGATGTTCAGCAAACAATGACTTTCAGTAGTAGTAATTACTGTGCAGTACGCTATGAAACATATACGTTAAAGTGTGCCTTTTCATGTTAATTAATTAAAACCTCTTTTTCTTTAAAAATAGTTTTATTCTCGCATTTGCAACATACAATACATACAGTAATTAATTAAAGTGTACGTAGACCCTTTCTTTGGAAAAATTCAATTATCTGAATGGGGTCCGGTCCCAATTGATTCGGATAATTGGAGTTGTACTGTATTGCATTTGTGACAGTTACAGCAATGCCCACCAGAACTAAGAATCTGTGTCCGAGAAAGGTGGCTTTTCTTCGTCACAGCTTCGGATACAAAGAGTTCTTATTTTTTTTAAGAGCCTTTTTTCTTTAATAACAAGAGCTCTTGTTATTGAAATCTCATTGTAATATTAGATAGTAAAACACGTTTTAATCAAGTCCTTTGAATATTGTTTCATTTCAGTCATCAAGATGATTGCCTGGATCCAGATATTTTCGATACTCTCGATGCTATTTGTTTCAGAAGCGGCAACTTATACGAAGAATATGTCGTTGCCGAAGCTGAAGAATATGTCGTTGTTGAAGCTGAAGAATGTTTCGAAACGTCGACGCTTTGCCGAGGCCCAAAGTTATCTGGCAATCGACCTGTATAAGAAATCCCTGGTTCCACGTCGACTACAGGTTAAAGGTAAAGCCGAACAGAGTTCCGCTATTGCTCCATTGAGTATTACTGGTGCGTTCCTTGCTCTTCAGGATGGCCTTAATGAACACAGAGGAGCAGATGTAAGTTTGCTGTTTATTTATTCATTATTTTCAATGTTAAAAAATAGGGCATAATACTCAGATACTATTACAGCAGTACCTGACAGTACTTGTGGACATTTTCCAAAAATTTCATGCTTTTGCATTTTTCATCCTGATTAAACATTTTATATGTCAATCGAAATGATCGTTAATTCTTAAAATGATCACTAAAGTAATTTTTATTCATTAGTCGAAAGATAATTTAATGAAAAATCTGCAATACGGAAAAGGTTATCTAAACTAACGTAGATAGAAGTGAATAAAGAAATGGTTGGAACTATAGACTTTATTGACTATCATAATCTTTGGTTTAGGGGACGATCGATATTACAAGATAAGTGAATAATAATATCTCAAAGTGAAGGAAGTAAATTTTGCTCTTTGATTTTTAATAAAAGACGTCTATGGTTGAAACTTCGCACAGTTTGACACAACAAAAATACTTGTATTGCTTAGGAAATTTAAAGTTGAACACTAATAATAAATGATTTAACTAATTCTTATTCCTGATGAATAATTACTCAAAGAGTATATATTGTATGTCCAGATTTACACATGCACATTTTTATTGCAAGCGAATCCCGATTTAAAGAATAAAGTTTAGCTATTTTCTCAATTTGAGGAAATTATTTCGCTTTCCCAGCAAAGCTAGACCATTACTCAGGTACTAATAAGAATCTTAAAAGCAGGCATGTACTGGTTTCTTGAATTGAATAATTATCAGAAAAATCACCCTGATCTGAAAATTGCCCGAATTATATTAAGGCAATTTTGAGAAAATACAAATTATTTTACGAATAATAGAATGGCATAGAAATGTGTAGTTGCTGTGACTCGTCTCACTTGTCTGCCAGTAACATCAGAACAAGCCCACGAAATTTATCGTGGCAAGAAGTGCAAGAGAGCGCCTGTCGTTGGCAATAACCTTGAGCTCCATACAGATGACAGTACGAATTTGCTCAGTTCCGCCCCCAATTCTGAAGGAGAGCATTCCGGGGGATGGTAGGGTGTTCCACCCCTCTTTCCCTACCACCAGCCTCTCGAGAGGACTTTCGTCTCTCCGCAAATTTAGAGTGTCATCAAGCAGCACAGACACTGCGCATTTACAAACTATACATTTACAAGCTATAGATATTACAATACATTTACACGCATCAAAATGACGTAAGAATGCAATAAAAAAAACTATTTCACTGTGAACGGCGGTATATCTTACAGAAATGCAGAATAAGTAGCATCTTACACACTTTTTATAAAGAAACCTAAGAAAAGGATTTAACAGTGTAACCCATTTTTAAAAATATGACTGCTTTTATAATGGTTGTGAGGATCTTAAGTTTTACTAACGTTTATTTTATTTTAAAACTTTACTGTCCTCTCTTATTTTCCACTTCCGGCCAGAATAAACAAGTGAATATGTTTATGCAAATTGTACTTGCTAACGCTTAAGTTGTGGTTTTTCGCCAAGAACAGAGTTAGATGGAGATAAAATGAGCTTCCTTGCCACTGTATTCCACGCGAGCTTTCAATCAGTTGCTGTCCACCTTTACGGCCAGATGTTTAGTCCTCTCGATATTTAAAACATATTGTAGTTTTCCGCAGTTTTCGCTCTACATATGTAATAAATAAACTAAAAGGCCAAACTTAGTGTTAGTCATCTGTATCAAGTACTCAAAGTTAGCTCTTATTTAAATTTTATTAGTTAGTAGTTCTTTATTTTTACGTTCAGACCACAAGTGGTTGGTCTTTGTATCGCGAAGTGCAGGAGCGCCTGTAATATCGTAGAAAATAAAGGGTAGTTAAACCCTTCGCATCTTAGACATCTATTTTACATTTCTACAGAACATAGCTTCCAGTAAGCTGCCTATTCCCATTCAGATAAGGAGGAATAGTAGTCCTGATAGGGTTTCAAATAAAACAAATCAGATACATTATGACATCTTTTTTGGGTGGAACAGCAACTTTTCCCCCTTCTTTGATTATTCAATACAATTTTCCTCCTTTGTCATTCACACTATGCGGTTATTCTGTTACCATAGATTGTCAGAAACCACCACATCTAGCCTTCAAGAAAGGAATATAATACATAAATGACTTCCTTGCTGTCCTGAAGATGATTCTTAAAAAGACCCCCAAACATAATGATTTTTACCAAGAAATCAATGGGCCCTACCTACAAGAAATCCCGTTATATCGGTAGGTTGCATAGATCAGATAAACAATTTATTTGCACGAAAACTTCAGCGGATTCAAATACATCATAGCTGCCAGAGATTCAACGGATAAGTCAATCGGAAGATTCAACGGATTTGCCAAGTTCAAACTGTAAATAAATTTGGGGAAGAATCAGTTAAAAGAAAGGTTTGTGCAGCTCTAACTGAATATAATTTAAATGTTCTTACAAGATAGGCTCTATTTGTTTTCTGTCGATATAAGGGGATTTTCATAAAAATACAAGGATCTTTTGAGTTCTAAGCCTCAAAGACTTACTTTTCAAAACATGGAAATAGTGTGCGTAACCTAGCATAACAGATAAATCCATGATTACTTCCTAAAGATGGTCACATATGTTATTTACTATAGTCTGTAATTTTTGTTTAATCAAGAATGAATAAAGATTGTTAACTCACTTTTAGAAGTGGATACAGGTATTTTAACAATCATCTTTCTGTGTCATTTTATGTGCACCTTTTGCCCATTTCTGCCAATAATTAAAGATTTTAATGTCTTGTGCAGGGTAATAGAATCCATGCTTAAAAACTGATCCCATTATCTACAAACAACCAAGAAACTCAAACTCAGTCATCTTGCTGGGCCTGAATGACTTTAGGACGCCTCGAGCCACTCTAAAAGAGGTTATCACACTTGGCTACAGTCCCTGCTAGACGGGTCCCTGCTAGACTGAGAAACGAGATTCTGGTAGCACTGGTTTAAACGGGAGGATTCCTAAGAAAAAGAGCCCCGCCGGAAGTAAAGTCCCACCTAGCTACGGAAACGATGTTGCGGCTACGCCGGATTTTTCAAACCTCAAGAAAATGTCTCAGCTGGACCTATGTTCCGGGTAGAGACAACCAATCAGCCGAAAGTTATGCTTCTGAAGCATCACGTGATCCCAATCTGAGCGATAATCGATTAGTGTTTGGCGTTCAAGTTTTGTAGAAAGTGAAAATGGTAACCTAGCTACGTGGGTTTCCTGGAAATTGCGCTGGTTCTTAGAATTGTCCCTTTCGACGTCAAGTCCCGCGTAGCCGAAACATAACGTGATTGAGATTTTATAGGCTCACCATGACAATTCGAAAATGGTGTACCAAGGTTTATCGTATGAAATGACTGTTCCGCGTACAATAGTTCTCAGAAATATACTCCCGTAAAATTCTTTGACTGGCGATATGACCAAATTTGCTAAAGAACGCATTTATAATTCACTGTATTTGAACAATGGCAGTTGTTTCGCATTGCGAATAATGGTAGCTCCTCTCCATTGAGCTCATTGACATCATTACAGAATAGATTTTTAAGGTGAAAAAATTTTTTTCAAAATGCGACAGAAAAGATTCTGAAAACAGTAGTAAAAAACGTGTCATGAAATTTTGTTAAAATGCCTTTACTCAGCTCTAAAGCACTTATGTTTGTACCAAGAAAGTTGTTGAACGAAGATTTTTGTCTTCATTAAATCTTGAGTAAATAATAATTAGACACTATAATAAATAAAACAGGTGTCAATCTTTAGAGGATTTGTTGCGGATTATCTTATACTAGAGGATAAAATGTCTATTACTATGTCTCTACAAATTGCTTTCAAGATCTAAAGAGATATCCGGAAGTATGTCTAATGCTTTTAGACATACTTCCGGATAAAAATGGCGACGGTAATCCAACCAAAAAAATACTTAGTTTACCCAATTTCTTTTCTTACAACCCCTTGAAATTTTATACAGCAATTTAAATGCTGTCCTTTTTTCATATTTGTAATGCATACAAATATGTAAAATATGCCATTTATTTTCACAAATAGAAATCTATTTGCAGTAACAGTTATCGATGTTTTACCTCAGTACAGCGCACTCGGCTATTCAGAACGCCTTTCCTTAGAATGTCCCTTTAAGGTCCCCCCTCATCCTTTCCGTGCAACTTGGTCAAGGTCAATCAACTCAGAATCCTTTGCAATACTGTCCTGGCATTTAGGTCCCATTACGCAAATTTATTACCTCGGTTAATAAAGCAAACGAAAAGTCCAAGGATACACAAGTAGAATTTTTACAAACACCTTTATAAGAATTTCTTTATACAAATTGAAAATTCAACCCTTATAACAATAGCTTGTAGCACACAGTGAAGTTTTAATGCATGATGGTAAGATGATTTTTTTTCCCTCAAACAACGGCTATTTATTTTCCTTTTAAAACTTTTACTTTCTTTTACAGGAAGTCTGGATGTTTCTAGGCTATGAAAGAAGTAAAATAAATACTGAAGATGCCCATGCTGAGTATACTAGATTTCTAAACGAAGAGCAGCGACCGACGTCTTGGCCTCCACGGTATGTGTTGGAATTAGGCAACAACATTATATCAGATACCAGTTTGTCTCTTCTTAAGGAATATCAAAGAAAAATGGAAAACTACCATCGTGCAACCGTGAAGCAAACTGAATTGTTTCACGATAATCCCGCCTTACTGAAAGAGATGAATTCGTGGATCAAAGAAAAAACTCGCGGCTCACTTAGTAATATTATTGATCCCTTCAAATCTCAAATCAAGATGATGATATTAAGTACTTCTTACTTTATGGGAAAATGGGAAACTGAATTTAATCCCAAGAGAACTATAAATGCACCATTTCATTGTAGAAATAGCGAAGTTAAGTAAGTTTTGACAATGAGTTCAAAGAATTAATTTTATGTCCATGTCCTTTAAAACAATATTTGGGAAATCATCAACAATGCATCTCAATTTGCAATATCGATTTTCTGTGTTGTCCACCATAAACTATAATGAATTCTCTCTGAGATTAATAAATATATTGTGATGTATTGGAGATAAAAGTTGGAAATAGAATATTAATTGAATTCTGGCGAAAGAAAGTTTTAGTTTCTTTTAATGGCCATACGGATCTCTCGCTTATCTGATAACGATGGTCGGTAACTCAACATTCTTGAGTTAAAGAAAGCAGATCGAGCTGCATAAGATGCTGATGATTTTCCATACTTTGGAACAATGTTCATAACTAAATCATTATCATACGAACATCTAAATTTTATTTCTTTATTATTAGAGGATTAATTAGGTTAATTTCTTACTTAAATTGAGGGTTTCTTAAGGCTACAATTTTTTTTTAATGTTTTCAAAATAAGATATTCGATTCAGTCTTTCGTAATTTTAATTTCTATGTAAAGCCCATAGGCCGAGAAGGAGAAGGAAAAGCCTGGCCAGGAGAATAATTAGTGTGACGTAACGATCATTGGAGAGCGCCGAGTGTTTTGTTGGACGGAAGTAGTAAAAAACAAGAAAAAAAAGTAGAGAGAAAGAACGAAAAAGGACAGTGAGGGCAAGGAGACTTTTGACCCTGGAAGTCGGAGGAGACGGTCAGATTTTTTTTTGGTTGGAGGACCGCCGCCATTTTATTTCTTTTTGTTATGCAGAGATTGTTTTCTCATCCGGCGGGGACAATGCCGGACTTACCTATCCACAATTGTACCTATAATATATAACAATCAAGAATTGTTTTCTTATTTAAGTTTATTGTTAAACAAAAATAAAAAAAATATCATCTAAGCGTCGATCGATAGTAACATGTGTGAAGGAAATGAAACCCACGCTTACAGATATACAATAATTCTTATTTCCATCGGTAGACTACGGCAGTATACCACAATCTAATTTTGTAAAAAAGTATTAGTCATGGACTGAAAATAATGAATTTTTCAGACCATTCACACCGACTACCAAAAACAAAGAACTACTTACGTAACATGACGTAAGTCGCCTCTGGCTGTAGAAAAAGCTTAGACGTGGCTCTTTATGTTTGTTACCACTAACAGAAAATCCCTCGTAAATTGTCAAGTTGAATGATGATACTTCTAACACTTTCTGAAACCTAAATGTTCGTTTATATTTACATTGAGTAAATAAGCTAATCATCATAAGTAGACTGAATGTAGTTGGAGCCGTTCCTTAACGTAACGCAGACGCCTGCACAATACACGCCTATACACTGAAGTGACAAAAGTCACGGGATAGCAATATGCAAATATACAGATGCCAGTAGTATCACGTAGAAAATGTATAAACGCGAAGTGCTTTGGCAGGGCTTTCATTTGTGTTCAAGTTATTCATGTGAAGAGGCTTTGACGTGATTATGGCCGCACGACAAGAATTAACAGACTTTGAACGCGGAATGGTAGTTGGAGCTAGACGCATGGGTCATTCCATTTCGGATATCGTTAGGGAATTCAACATTCCGAGATCCACAGTGTCAAGAGTGTGCCGACAGTATCTAATTTCAGGCATAACATCCCACCATGGACAGCGCAGTGGCCGACCACCTGCACTTAACGACCGAGACCAGCGACGTCTGCGTAGAGTTGTCAATGTTCACAGACAAGCAACACTGCGTCAAATAACCGCAGAAACCGATGTGGGACGTACGAGGGACGTGTCCGATAGGACAGTGCGGCGAAATTTGTCTTCCTTGGGCTATGCCAGCAGAAGACCGACTCGAGTGCCTTTACTGACAGCACGACATCGCCTGCAGCGACTCTCGTGGGCTCGTGAGCATATCGGTTGGTCCCTAAACGAATGAAAAACCGTGGCTTGGCCAGATGAGTCACGATTTCAGTTGGTAAGCGCCGATGGTAGGGTTCGAGTGTGGCGCAGACCCCACGAAGCCATGGACCCAAGTTGTCAACAAGGCACTGTTCAAGCTGGTGGTGTTTCCATAATGGTCTGGGCTGTTTTACATGGCATGGATTCGGTCCTCTAGTGCAACTGAACCGATCATTGACTGGAAATGGATACCTTCAGATACTTGGAGATCACTTACAGCCATTCATGGACTTCACGTACTCAAACAAAGAAGGGATTTTTATGGATGACAATGCGCCATGTCACCGGGCCACAGTTGTTCGCGATTGGTTAGAAGAACATTCTGGACAATTCCAGCGAATTATCTGGCCACCTAGATCGCCCGACATGGATCCCATCGAACATTTATGGGACATCATCGAGAGGTCAGTTCGTGCCCAAAACCCTGCACCGTCAACACTTTCACAATTATGGAGGCAGCATGGCTCAATATTCCTGCAGGGGACTTCCAACGACTTGTTGAGTCCATGCCACGTCGAGTTCTGCACTTCGCCGGGCAAAAGGAGAACCGACAAAATATTAGGAGGTATCCCATGACTTTTGTCACTTCAGTGTATGTTAGACTACCAGTTATTTGTGTCCCCTTTCCCCGAGGACTCAGAGCTGCCCGTTTATGTTTTGCAGGAGAATATGTCTCCTCGACCACTCAACAATGGGCTTCTGTTCTCCTCACAGAATAGTCCAGGTTCACATGGGAGAGTAATTCAGGTCGTCAGCTAATCTCGAGGGAACAAAGCACCAGATACAACCAATCCCACATTGGGAAAAGATACAACTACAGAGGTGGTGGTGGAATGTGGTTTGACCTGAGATCTCTCTCGATGTCATACTGGTCTGCATGTGTTCCATGAAGGAACTTTGACCAGTGTGAGATATCGAGACGAGATCCTTGATCAATATGTCAGGCCATATGCCGCTGCTATTGGTCCTGGAATTTCATCTGACGGACGACAATGCGCAACCGCAACGAGCTCGAGGATTGCTGAAGAATATTCTTGAGAGGATCACGGTATGGAGCGGATGGAATTGCCAGCTCAATCCCTCAGACCTGAATCCGATAGGAACATCTTTGGGACTACCTTGGGAGACAGGCTGCTCCAAGGCTAGTCCCAAAAGTCTCCTCCTTTGTCCTCCTCCAAGGTCTGTTAGATAAGCTTGGAACAAGGTCTGGTCTTTGCTTCCCATTTCACTAACCGACAACTTAATTGACAACATTAAACGTTGCAGCCGCCAATGTATTGCAGCTCGAGGTGAACAAATTCCTTATTGGAACCCATTTTTGTAATGTTACCACCACATTTTTCCTCGAAAAACTGTGATATGCTGTTCTCTGCTAAGAGTGCAATTTTTCGTTGTAATTCATGTTTGTGTTGGTCTTAAAAAGCATTCTACGTCACATTCAATAAAGAACTGTTAAGTGAACATGTCAGCTAAATTTCTTATTTCTATGTTGCTTTTCTCAAATTAGACATCAAAAACTTGTTGTTCCTTAACTTTTGGAGGGCAGTGTATTATTTAGGCAGTAATTACGTCAAATGGTATTCCTAAACAAGACCGAACAATTAAACTATTTATTTTGGCCCACCAGCGGCCGAGCGGTAAAGTCGCTGAACACTGGTAGTTCGGTCCGAGGTTCGAATCCCGCGAACGGGCTGGCTGCATGGGCGTTTTCGTGGTTTTCCCCATGTGTAACGTGTATACGAGCCAGTTTCCCTTAGAAAGTCCTCCACAAAAGGCATCCCTCCCCTTAGGCAGATAGCCCTCGTGTGCTTTGCCATAATTAAATACACACACAAACTATTTATTTTAGTTTCACGTCTTTTATTATGCGTTAAACATACTTTCCTCAATTTGAGCTGAATTATACTTTGCATCGAGTAAATTAATGTACAGTAATGCTTTTTTTTTTACTGTAGTTTAATTTTTTACATTATAGGTCTGTGCAAATGATGCAAGTTGAAGCAATTGTTGAATATACTAAGAATGACGAATACTTTGGTCTGGAGGTGCACTTTAATGGGGACCGAATTCGAATGCTCATCTTGTGTCCCAAAGATGCAGTTCGTATGCGTAAGCTCGAAGAATCTTTGACATTTGAGCAGTTACTCGAAATTCGCAAAAGGATGACTTCGCAGAAAATGAGGATCATTCTGCCGAAGGTTAAAATTGCGATTAATCGAAAACTGAATAACGTCGCTAGCCAACTGCAGCTAAATAAGATCTTTATCCCTGATGCAACTCCCTTTGGAGGAATGACGGAAAAAGACTACATGTTTGTTAGCGATGTCCATCATTCAGCTGTAATCGATGTACACGAAAAATTCGTGATAGTTTCAGGCGTGACTGCAATAGCTGTTTCGAGAAGTAAGACTATAAAGAAGCGCAGTCCTAGGTTTGCAGATGATGGTAAATGCATGAAGAGGACACGCTTGTCTTCGAACTCAAGCGGGTTGCTTAGAGTGTATAGTGGCTATCGAAATAATGCAAGTCCAAGTCATTTTATATCAGCAGTCGTCCTGGATGAGAAAGATATGAAGCCTATGTATATTCTGGATGACACTAATACTTGGATAACAGATGACATTGAAAGTATACCTGATGCGCATATATCATGTAAACTTGAGAAATCGCCTGAAAAATTCAGTGTTAAAGCTGAAAAATCCAATGTTAAAGAAGTAAACATTAATCGCCCATTCCTTTTAGCGATTTTGCATTCAGATTACGATATGATTTGGTTCATTAGCCGTGTCTTCGAATGTCCAGAGGCATAGAGAACTTTAGTTTTAATTTAATTTATCTAGGCTTGATAGTAAGATATTTTACATTTGTACTTTTAGGCTTGCAGATGAACCATTTGTGCTTTTATGATAAGTGTTAATGAAAAAAAGTTACTTACAAAAATATTAAAATGATATTATCATACTTTATGATATACTTATTAGACATGTGATATTTGAATCCACAGATCTTGAAAATTCGAAAACTCGTTATCTTTGCATGCAGTATTTTGTCATTTGAACGCTTCGAATTATAACTGTCGAAGTTTTTAAACAGTTTGACTCCAAACTTCGGAAAGTACAATTTCATTGACGGTCAAGTAAAAGTGTCCAATAAAAACAAAGGAAAAAGAAAGAAAGATTTGATGTACGTGTGAGTAACACGTGCATACGAAAATATCCCTAACATTAACTAGGAAAGCCGAAATCTTAGTTAAGATAGACATGTTACAATTAATAATCAAATTTAATAAGGAAAAGTAACAGTTGCCGGGTACATTATAACGGCTTAAGAAATTCAGAGCACAGTACAGATGCGAGTACACAAGTTCACATATCTCGGCGAAACAGAGACGCACACATTTGTTGAAGTAGTTCCCCTTGACTGCCGGGGAAAATTCTTCTCTCCCCGTCAGCCTGTATGTTTGCCAAACGGGTTTACTGTTTCACCAATTGGCGCTTTTCTGTACAGTTTTTAAGTCCGTATCGCCTGTTTGGCGCTGCCGCTGCATACTCCCTCCGCAGTGTCAACGAAATGTGACATACCGATGCGGGGGTCGGATTAATCGTCCAGAACGGGTGATACAAATGTCCGAAGTTTTTTTCACACTCTTGGAAGCAACTTGAAAAGAGTCCATGGTTACAAAAGCGGGTTTCAGTCTATCTATGGAGATCGTTTGCTTAGTCCCTTTTATTTCGAGATCAAACGTTTTATCTCGTCTTTCTAGCACATTAAATGGTCCATCATAAGGAGTTTGAAGTGGTTTTCTAACTCCGTCGTGTCGAACAAACACATATGTGGACTTGTGAAGGCGTGGATGAATGAAACATGTTCGCTGGACCGTGGCTAGAAGTCGTGGTCGGGCGGACACTGGCAAAGTGAGATTTTAAATCCTCCACAAACTGTTTGGGGAACGCATCCGGAGGTGTCGGATTGAAAAATTCTCCTGGGAGACGGATAGTCTTTCCATACACCAGTTCAGAAGTGGTTGCTCCTATGTCCTCTTTGAGAGCGGCGCGGAAACCCATCAGCAGCGTTGGAAGGGCAGCCACCCAGTCACTGGTATCGTGCGCTTTTAAGGCAGCTTTCAAAGGACGGTGGAATTCCTCGATCAGTCCGTTTGCCTGTGGGTGGTACGGAGACATCCTGATCCTCTTGATTCCCAATAATTGGGAAAGGGCTCGAAATAAGCCGCTTTCAAACTGTCGCCCTTGGTCGGTAGTAATAACAGTCGGACAACCAAATCGAGTAATCCAGTGGTCATAGAAAGCCTGTGCTACTGTGCGTGCTGTTATGTCTGGTATGGGTACTGCTTCGGGCCATCTAGTAAATCTATATATCATAGTTAGACAGTAATAATTATTTTGAGAAGGAGGTAGGGGACCAACAAGGTCAAGGTGGACGTGATCAAACCTCTGTGATTGGTCTGGAAACTTCATTAACGGGGTTCTAGTATGTGCCTGCTTACTTTTGCTTTCTGGCACGGAATGCACTGCCGTGCCCATTTCGCGCAATCTTTGCGGATGGAAGACCAAACAAACCGTGAACATACTAACTTTGTTGATGCGCGAATGCCGGGGTGAGACAAATTGTGCAAGGTGGCAAAAACTTTCTCACGGAATGCCGGAGGAATGTAAGGACGGGCGTTACCTGTTGACACATCGCAATATATCGAAAAGCTACAATTCGGTAAGGTAACTTTTTTGAGATGTAGAACTTTTGACTCTTTAAGCAATGTTTGTAATTCTGTGTCGATTTCTTGCATTTTAGCGATTTCCTCATAGTCGATAGGGTTAGGCATGCTTATTGCTTCTATACGCGAAAGTACGTCGGCAGCGATATTCTCCGAACCTTTTATATGGCGAATTTCAGTGGTGAATTGTGAGATAAAGTCTAACTGCCTAGCCGGACGAGGTGAACACTTATCCAAACGCTGTCGGAATGCATACGTGAGCGGTTTGTGATCGGTGATTAAAGAAAAGTTCCGTGCTTCCAACATATGCTTAAAATGCCTAATAGCAGCATAAGCTGCCAATAGCTCTCGATCATACGCACTATAGTTCCTTTCCGCCTGCGAAAGCTTTCGTGAGAAAAATGCGAGAGGCTGTAAATTTCTATCAACTATTTGTGATAGCGTTCCACCGATCGCGAAGTCTGACGCATCAACCTGTGAAACCAACTGGGCATCTTTCTTCGGGTGTGCCAAAAGAACAGCATTACCGATTAGCTGTTTGCACTTTTGAAATTCACTCCGCGCTTCCTCAGACAAATTCAGGATTGTCTTATCATTTTTCTTAGCCCCTTTTAAATACGAAGTTAAATGTATTTGATTCTGGGCTACGTTGGGTAAAAATCGACGGTAAAAATTTAAAAATCCTAAAAATCTCTGCAAATCTTTTACCGTTTTAGGAAGTGGGTAGTTAAGTATCGGTTCCACTTTGTTCGTCAGAGGCTTGGTACCATCTTTATTGATTATATGGCCTAAAAAGATATTTCCGGAACGCCGAAAACACATTTCGAAGCGTTAATTGTCAATCCATATGAAGTTAATCTTTCAAAAACAGTACGTAGGTGAGATTTATGCTCATCTTCCGTATGACTAAATATCAAAATATCATCTAAGTAGACGTAGGCGAATTTTAGATCTCCAAGAATTTCGTTCATAAACCTTTGAAAGGTTTGAGCTGCTCCGCACAGTCCGAAATTTAAAAACGGAAATTCGAAAAGACCAAATGGGGTGCAAACTGCAGTTTTCGGTATATGATCTGGATGGACTGGTATATGATGATATGCCCGAACGATATCAATTTTTGAAAAAATTGTCTTTCCGCTAAGCGTATTATTAAAGTCTTGTAAATGCGGGATAGGGTATCTGTCGGGTTCGGTGCACGCGTTTAGTTTTTCGGTAGTCTCCTACTGGCCGTATGTCGCCCGAACTTTTAGAAACTACATGAAGAGGTGATGACCATGCTGATTTTGATGGTCTACAAATACCTTGATCTATCATAAATTGAAATTCTTTTTTTACTGCTTCGTATAACTTAGGGCTTAACCTACGCGGTTTACTGTGCACAGGAGGACCGTATGTTTCGATGTAATGAACCGTACTATGTTTTACTCTACACGAATCGGATTTTAACTTCAGTACTTTAGGAAAGTCTTTCAAGATTCTGTGATATGGTGAATCACCAGATATTAACTTTACCGAAAAATAATTTTTAGAATCGGAAAGAGAACCAATACGAGTTAATTTCGTAGTATTATCGATAAGCCTACCTCGTTTTAAATCGATTAAAAGATCAAAATGCCTTAAAAAGTCGGCTCCTATTATAGGCACTGGTACATCGGTGATTAAAAACTTCCAAGAAAAGTTTCGTCTAAGTCCTAAACTCACAGTTAACAATTTTGTTCCATACGTAGAAATTCTGGAATTATTCGCGGCAAATAATTGAAGCGAATCAGGATGCATTTTCCTAAACTTAGAAGTCGGTGTCACATATGAAACATCCGAGCCCGAATCAATCAAAAAGTTTAAATTTAATCTGTTATCGTAAACATGTAAACGACATGAATGCGCGACTGCCGATGAATTTCGATCGATAGCCGCTACTACTAGTTTTCCTGGGCCGTAGTGTTCTGAGAAAAGGAACAAGGTGCTCGACATTTTCGTGCATTACTACCGAATCGCGAATGAAAATAACAATAATTGTTCACACGCTCTCGGGAATGCCCACGCGAAAAACTACGTGCTTTGTTATGTTGATCCCGGGGGAAATTATTCCTCGTTTTTCCGCGGGAGAGTCGCTCGACTTGTTTACTTAGGGCAGAGATTTCACTCCTTAAGGCCTTAAGCTCCTCGAGGGGGGCACCAGAATCGTTAGGGTTTCTGGGGGAACTGGCCGAAGCTGCCTGGACCGCGAACACGCTGTTGTTCGTTGGCGTGCGCACTTCAGCTATCTTATCAGCCATTTTTGCTAAATTGTCTAAGGATTCCAAACTTATTGATAAAATGGCATGCACCTCGGAAGGTAACCTTTGCAGCCATAATGATTTTAAAAATTCGTCAGTTATACAGTTTCCACCTAATTCTCTCATTTTTCTCAATAAGTGAGATGGTTTGTCGTCCCCTAAATGCAATTCAGAAATAAGTCTGCGTATTTGCTCGCTTTCCGAATCTGAGAATTCTCCTATTAACCTAGCTTTAAGGGCATCATATTTAGCCGTCGCTGGGGGATTAAATAAAATATCTGATACTGCGGAAAGAGTTTCAGGGTCTATCGAAGAAACCACGTGGTTTGTTTGTACTATCGCTACTAATCTTCGCTAAAGCAAAGTTACTTTCAACTTGAATAAACCAAAGTTTAACATTATTTTTCCATAAAGGGGGAATTTTAACTGCCACGTGTGAGATTTGTGGCTCCTGAACCGCCATATTCGATTCCTCGTTGGTTTGGCCTTCCGATCCTGGCATGGTTGCCAATTATAAATATATCGTAAATCGTAAACTTAATGTTTTGCACTATACCTTATCAAAACAGTATCAATTTAGAATAAAATAACGAAGACATTCAATATCTCAATAAAAGTGTGAGCACAAATATTACTCAAAGATCAATTTTAAACAATCAATAATTAAATTAAAACTATAATTTTAGAGCAAAACATATCACAAAAACATAATTAAGACCAATCACAGATAATTAAAAAAATTTGACCACATACCTGTAAATCCTCCTTAAGTGTGATAAACCACGTGTAATCCGTACGATAAAATGAGGAGGAAATGAATAGGGTGGAGCCTTTATCAGTCATAAGGAAGAGCATTGGCATCAAAAAATAAATATTTTTAGTTTTTTAACAAAGATTGAGACAGATAGTCATTAGGGATCGAAACAGAAGGAGCGAGGGACAGGGTCACCAATGATGTACGTGTGAGTAACACGTGCATACGAAAATATCCCTAACATTAACTAGGAAAGCCGAAATCTTAGTTAAGATAGACATGTTACAATTAATAATCAAATTTAATAAGGAAAAGTAACAGTTGCCGGGTACATTATAACGGCTTAAGAAATTCAGAGCACAGTACAGATGCGAGTACACAAGTTCACATATCTCGGCGAAACAGAGACGCACACATTTGTTGAAGTAGTTCCCCTTGACTGCCGGGGAAAAATCTTCTCTCTCCGTCAGCCTGTAGGTTTGCCAAACGGGTTTACTGTTTCGCCAATTGGCGCTTTTCTGTACAGTTTTTGAGTCCGTATCGCCTGTTTGGCGCTGCCGCTGCAGATTGTTTCCTGTAATTTTAAGGAAACTAGATCACTTACATCACCTCGTGGTAAACAAAGTAACCAAAACAAAGATTGTGGAAAAACGTAAAAATCTTAACTGTTATTTAAATATTTTTTGTTGTATTTTGTATTGTTTGTTTGTTTGTTGAGAATATGATTTTTCATGAGTTCTAATTATCTACTTCATTTACTGAAATAGGTAGAGATGTACTTTTGAAAACTGTACGCCTTGGTTACATTTTCATTAAACACAAAATTCAAATTATGCTTTAATTAAGACTTTTTAGCATTAAGTATATTTTTCTTCTTTTTGTTTTACATTTTTTCTCCTTTTTACTTCTTTGTACGAAGTAAAGGAAGCATTGTAATCCGGAAAAATTTTCGGTATCATATTTCCATTTTGAACATATCCATTTTGACCGTTCTCGAATCCATTTGAACAATGTTTTTGCGGAACATCTGCACGTACGGACAAAATCCATTTTACAATCCGTTTTGGATTCTTTTTTCCAGAACGGATTGTAAAATGGATTCAGAAGATAGTTTCTTGTGATGCCTGTACGATATATGTATAAGCTCACTCTGTTACCCGGCTCGGTGAGCTCAATATTTTATTCTTATATCTTATACGTTGGTAAATTGTGCATCTTTTGTTTAAAAGTGTTTGAATTATGTTGTTCTTATGTTCCGGTTAAGGTTATTATGCCTTTAGTTAATCTGTGGAATAGTTGTAGAATTATCAACACTTAAAAAGTTGCTTAAATGTTACTAATCCTAATGAAGCCGCCGTTTGTTTACATTTGAAACTCTTAGTAGAACAGTGAATTAAGTCAGTTTGTGCACCAACTTATGTGTCTTTTTGCCCAGTGGGACCAAAAGTAAACTTTCAGTTTTTTGCAACGAAAAATCTGTGTTTCTGCCCCTCGTCCGATTTGTTTGTTTTTGCATGGAAACTAAAATTATGATATTTTTATATCTTCAACTTATGCTGGGAATGTACTTAAGAATTATCTTGTATGATAATCGTTCAAACCTCATATATAGAGTAATTTCTTAGTATCTCTTTTTCAGTTTCGTAAGCATTTAACTGTGGCAGATTCGAATCATTTATTGCATATTTTTCACATGAAAGAAATTTATATTTATCTAAATAATTTAGATAATATTTGCAAAATGTCTTCTATATATATTTATCTTATTACTAATTTAGTTTTTGTAATAACCGGAATACTTGTAACATTGGATTTAGGATATAATTTTCGTATCGCATTTCTGCACACAGAAATCTGACGTATGTAGGAAATTTATCTGGAAATATATTTTAATCGCCAATAGAGGGCGTAAATCTTTCATGATGTATACGATGTATACTTCTTGTTCTTGGATCTGACAGTGCCAGTTGAATGCGTGTTAGAACTGAATAAACCTGGAAGTTTGAAACCTGATTCGAATGTTCATTTACCTACAAGAGTGAGACTTGTTTTTGATGGATCGGCCAGAGAAAAAAACTCATCTTCTATCAACGACTGCCTGGAAAAGGGCCCCAACACCGTCGAGCTCATTCCCGCCATCATGAATCGATTTAGATGAAAGAAAATAGGCGTTGTTGCGGACATTCATAGAGCCTTCCTACAAATTGGACTGAATGAGAGTGATCGACCATATCTAAAGTTTTTATGGTGGGAGAGTGGTGATTCTGCCAAACCTAAAGTTTTCCAGCATAGATGGGTTGCGTTCGGACTTTCATGTTCCCCGTATCTTTTGGGAGCAACCATTCGATTTAATTTACAGAATGCTTCTCACCGTTTTGAAAAAACAGCCACCAAGCTGTTGGAATCCTTTTACGTGGATAACTGTGTGACCAGTGTGGAAAATCCCGAAGAACGTGAGAATTTATTGAGGAATCCAAGCTGGTTCTTAGCACTGCCAAATTCGAACTTCGAGGGTGGGAGTATAGTTACAATAATCAAGACCCTTTAGGGCTGAGTGGAACTTAAAGAATGACTTTTTGACAGTAGATTTACGAGAAAATGTTGAAGACGATACGGCTGTGACAAAGAGAAAAATCATGTCAACCGTACATAAAATCTTTGATCCCCTTGGCTTCACTTGTCCTGTTACTTTGGGACCAAAAGCCCTCCTACAAGAATGCTGGGAAATTGAAAGTATCATGGGATACTGAACTTCCTACCACCATTGCAAAGAAGTTTGAGAAGTGGAGACGGTAACTTTCTAAGCTGAAAGAAATAGAAATTCCTCGATGTCTTATTCCCAATTGTGAAGTACCAAAAAGTCTAACATTGTATGTATTCTGTGACTCGAGTAAGACAGCTTATGCTATTTACGAAGGGAGACCGAAACTTCAATGACCTATCAACTTGTTCGAGCACGGTGTAGAGTTGCACCGATGAAACCTATTTCTATTCCAAGAATGGAAGTTCTCTCCTGCAACATTGGAGTTCGATTAGCTCAGAGTGTGACTAATGACCTAAACATGGAAAATGTGATGGAAGTTTTTCTGGTCTGACTCGGCAGACGCTTTGTATTGGATTAAGGGAAACGAAAATTGGGCTCCCTTTTTTTTAACTGAGTAAAAGAGATTCGTTCTATGACAAGTCCTGAAGACTGGCATCACGTCCCAGGTCAATTGAATCCAGCAGATCTTCCATCACGGGGATGCGATGCAGAAACACTACGAAAATCTCGATGGTGGGAAGGACCATCGTGGCTGATAAAACCAATGGAAGAATGGCCAAGTTCTAACGTAGTTCCTGATTTCAATATAATAGATTTAGAAAAAAGGAAGACTATTGTTAGCACAGTTAATCACGAAATTCACCCCCGGAAAAATATTATGATAGATTCTCTTCGTACAACCAACTACTTAGTCACTGCATGTATGTATCGATTTTTTACCAATTGTAAGATTGAAAAGTCTAATCGAATTTCTGGAATCTTGACGCTAGAAGAAATAAATAAGGCAGAGATCGCGTTGTTAAAAGTTGTACAGAAGAAATCATTTACAGGCCCGGATGATAAACGCTTGAAAACGATACAATGTTACGCTGATTCTAATGGTATTTTGAAAGTTAAAACTCGAATCTTAATGAGGAAAGATACAAAACATTTCCGATATCCGATAATACTACTCTGTAATCATCCAGTTACAGAAAAAAATCATCTGGACCACACACATGCTGCTGTACCATACAGGAGTTCAAACCCTGATGAACAATTTAAAGAGATTTTTGGATTCTTAAATGCAGGAAAACAGTAAGAAATGTAATTAGAAACTGTGTAATATGTAAACGATTTAATTTGTGGCCTAAACCGATCATCGAAGCTTCTCTCCCAGAAGATCGCATAAAGGAAGCTGCAGTTTTCGAGTCTCAGGAATGGATTACGTTGGCCCATTAATCCTAAGAAATAATCAGAAAGCTTGAATGGTTATATTTACTTGTGCCGTTTACCAAGCTATACATCTGGAGTTGACAACATCTTTATCGACAGACCATTTCTTCCAAACTCTTAGACGTTTCATCTCTCGAAGGGATCGACCTTCCATCTTTTACTGTGATAATGGTTCTAATTTTTCAGGAGCTGAGAATTTGCTGAAGAAAATTGATTGAGACGTCATTTCCCAATATAGCGGATCTCAAAAGATCATTTGGAAATTTAATTTAATGCCCCATGGTGGGGTGGGTGGTGGGAACGTCTGATAGGTATAATCAAAGGAATTCTACGAAAGGTTCTAGGTAGAAGCTCACTTAATTTAGAAGAAATGAACACCGTTATTTGCGACATTGAAGGTGTTATTAATCAGAGACCTTTAACTTATATTTCGATATACGTTGATGATTTAACTCCACTTACCCCTTCTATGTTTTTGCATGATCTTAAAGAAACAGGAATCCCAGATCTTGATGTTCTGGATTCATCGTTAAAGAAAAGACAAGTTTACCTAGTAAAAACATGATGAACAAGTTCGCCTAGTAAAAACAAAATTAAAAAACGGAGAATTTCTCCGCCCACTGCTTAGGTTAATACCTCTTGAAGTGACTGATAAAAGTGACCCCGTTATACCTGGAGCAGAACAGGATTCTATTCTCAATGAACCGAAGACTGATGAAAATCGTCTTTCAGAGACCACTTCTGACAACCCAGTACTAGCTCAAAAGATACTCCTTCTAAGCAACGAACTGTTAACGATTTTTTCCCAGACTGTTCCTGAAAAAAAAAAAAAAAAAAAAAAAAAAAAAAAAAATCCAGATATGGATAATTAAGTAAACCTATAAGTAGGGTTTCAGATTCCCTGGTACGAATCTCAAAGGGGGGGGTGTTGGAATACGTGATACTTTTCCGCCTCTGCGCGCGCATAACGATTGAACTGATTACGTAAGTTTTTAACCGCGCGCTCAACGATTTATGATGTAATCAGTGTTCTATTTTTAGTTTAGTTTGTTTATGAATGCCTTGGGAAATGGATGCGTAGTTTTTGATCTCTTGTAATAACCTCTCTTTTATAACTTGTGTACAGATTAAAGTTTTAAAAAGCTGAACCTGTGCGTATTATTTGGATATACCTGAATGAAGAACCCGATGATTCAGGTCCCGATGATGAAAGTGCTATTTTGCTTACCTCTGTTGGAATGCTTTACGCATTGGTTAATATTATCTATTGAATAGTCGCAATAAGCACTATAATAACTTGATCTGAATACAGATAAATAATAACTGTCTATAATCACAAAAACATTCTGCCAGTAATTTTGTTTGAGTAAAATAAATCTGTTTTAACCCTTTGACGGGCGGTGGCACGCCAGGCGTCCCACCTTTTTTATCACCCAGCTAAAAGCTGAAAATTTCCATTTAAAATACGTACAATTATGCCTTTTAGTTCTCTAAATGTATAACAGATGGCAGCATTAATGTTCATTCATTGAAATAATGTAAAATAAGAAATTTTCGCAGGTCTAATTTTGAACCAGTTTTTTTATTTATTTCTAATGCAATTTAAATCGTCTGAGCAACAACTTTTGGTGTTAGAATGACTATTTTTATGTGAAAGTTTCCTTTTCTAAAAAAAATATTATTTGAATTAATATATATTAACTAAGAATGGTTGAAATTAAAAGGTGGGACCAGATACGTCTTACCGCGCATGTAGGAATTGCTGCTACAAGATGGCAACACCGTTCAAATATTTTAAAATTCAAGTGTCATGTTCGTTTTACATGTTGATGATGCAAATTTATATTTTTTAATAAATTGCAATAATGTTAAAACTTGAAAAATATTTAGTTTTTCCCCCCAAAGAAATGAAAATATAACTGTGTAACATAAAATGTCATTGAATACTGAATGGATATGCAAGTGTGATTCACTGTAGAAAAATATTTTAAGCAGAGGCAAGAGAGGTGAAATGTAAATCATCACGGCCTTCTAAATATCTTCCTTCCACAACCCTGTAGCAAATAAAGTATTGGAACGAAAATCTTCTCTGTTTCAAATCTATAATGAAATCATTAAAAAAATATCTAAAAAGTCATACAGAGAGCATTTTTTTTAAATTATGTATTTTTTATTTTGCGATTATGATCAATATTTTCTAGATAATTATTCAAGAACTATTTTTATATCTTGCATTTTCATTTTTGGTTGCTAAAACTAGCACTTCTCTAGGTGCACGGTGGGACAAGCGGTATTCCATCATGTCATGAATTACCTTAAAGTTTTTTTTTTTTTTTGGCATGAAATAACATTGTATTAGGGGCTAGTTATCTATGTGTAAAGTTATTTTTTCCAAAAAAAAAAAAATTTTTTTAATTAAATGTTTATGCAGTTCCCCCTTTTTATTCGTAATATCAAGACTGTTTTAGTGCCATCCGCAGATATAATAACTATTTGTATGGTGTTAATCAATGTATATTACGTCAAACTGCAATAGTTAAATCCACGAAGCATTATTAATTCATCTCATTTTCTCTTCCAGCAGATAGTTAGTTGCGTGAGGTCTCTTATCATTTTCTCGTATGCCATCTAAGCCAATTTTCATTAACAAGTCCTTCATGAAGTCATTATTTCGCTTAGGTAAATAAGGAAGCTGGCTGAACAATGAAAGTGAAACTATTAAGCGAATATAACACTCCAAATTGCAAGCCCAATTATGCATTTTTGGTTGAAAATCTTGAAAAATTCTCAATTCCATCAAAAGCAATAGAAGTTGAAGTTTGAATTTTCAGTGGTGTTAGAGATATTAATTTCAAGCATTAAGTGTTATAGGATATAAATGGAAAAATGTGTCATAATTTAAAAAATGAAACATTCTTGATATTCATCGAGCTGTTCTATGGATCACAGTGATAAGTCTTTTATATGTATTGAGGGCAACAATATCATATACATATCCCTGAAAAAGGCAAGAATTTCATTGAGTCGGAATGACTGCTAGGTAAGCGAAAGTTGTCAAAAAAAGTATATTGAATGTTAAAAAGAGTTGCATTCAAAAAGTATATAGCAAGGACTAACCAAATTATGGCAGAAGGCAACACTCAACTATTTCTTCCAATACTGTCTGTCGGGAGCTTTACATGGTATTCTTGGTAGGGAAATTAATAAAGAAAGTCGTTGATAACTAGTATTATGCTGTTAGGAGTGCAAAACTCAAATAGCACAGAATGCAAAATGTGCATTTTTGAGAAACAATCTATTTTGGCTGTTTGACATACTTCTGGGAGGGTTTATGTGTAGAGCTTTTCTTCAGGGACAAAAGAATCCGGATTTCATGGCCACAGAGAAGCATGAAGTGAATAGGTGATGGTTTAGGCTGCAGTATAATGGAAAACTTTTGGAACGCTAACTGCACTTGGTTGGTCACGTTATTGTCAAGGAGTAATAATAAAGTCGAAATGACTGGGTCCTCCCAATTATTCAGACATTGTATCAGGCAGGAGACGCTTTGTTTTAGGATAACAATGCACGAGTTTATTTCCGAAAATTTATAAAAAGTCATTTCATAAACGTAAAAGTGAGATTGAAATCTACCATATCTTGCGCAATCCCTTAATCTAAATATCACTGAGCCTGTCTGAAATATGCTACAGGACAGAGTGGAAAAATGTTTTTCTCCTCAGCCATGCAGTGAAAGCCATTGTTTTATAAGGAGTAATAACTAAAATGATTTATACAGGACTTCTATATATCATTTTCACGATGAATCATTGCAATTTAAGTCTCTAAAAGAAGACCTATATTGTATAAAGTATTACACTCAAGATGTAGGTATTTTTGTTACATTGTCCACCCCTTCAGAGTACACCTAGCGTACTTAACCTTATTAATAAATTCAGCTTCAAGTAAAAGTCATTTCTCATTCCCAATTTCTCTCTTTCAGGGAAGGATCGTTCTGTAACACTCCAATGTCATGCCTCGCTTGAAACTCTCTCGGGTTTATTGGAAATTATTACAAAAGTAATAAAAATCCAGTACAGTAATTCAGTCCTCCATTGTAGTATCATAGAAGGTTATTGCTAATTAGTAATCAATTATTTCTGTTTCTTCGGGGGAAAAAGTTGGATTTTCGTTGAGTGATTTTCCTAGCTGTTTCATAGTTGGAAGTCACCGCTTGCCATGAGAAGGCAAATACTATTAACTTATAGTTAGAATATTAATGAATAGTGCGAATTAGATTTTAGAGAACTAAAGGTGACAAATGCAAAAAGTAGCTTTTTTTTTTTTTTTTTTTTTTTTATTTTTATTTTTTTATTTTTATTTTCTTTAAACAAGTTTCAACTATGAATGCTGCTGGCAGTTTCCCTTTCGCTGCTCTTTCCGATATGGAAGTCCTAGAATTGCAATAGTATGATTATCCTGTTGCCTAAAAAGCGAGATGGACTAAAAGCTCTCGAAAAACCCTTACTCGGGAGAAACTGGCCTCCATTCGAGAGCAGCTAAATGTCAGCAATGTTCGAGTTCTATCTTTCCAAATTTAAGTTGGAGTGTTCTGAGGAACTGTTTGAACACATAAAAGGAATAGGAGCCAACAAAACGTTCCAGCCAACGTACGACTTGTCTGTAATGCCAAGTAGCAAAGAAATCTACGTTAATCATAATCAAGTTCTGCACGAGGCAGTAGTAGAAGTAAACGTGAAAGGCAGTGAAACATCAGCAGTTACTGGAGTTAAAGGCCCTTTCAAGCAAGTTCTGCACCATCCTTTACTGCTGATCATCCTTTCCTCTTTGTTACTGCGGAGGAAAAAAGGCGATACTATTTATGGGTAGTGTAAATATCTTGTAATGCTATGAAATACTTTAATAAAATATCATTATGCAGGAAACTGTCTTTGATTTGGATTTCATTCTCGGGGGAGGGGAAGGGACATTATTCATAAATTATAATGTTACTGTATTTTTCGATATACGGAGAACATGAATTATGACTTCACAATTTCATATTCCTATCTCTAAATATCTCATTCATAACATTCTGCTACTCTCCATCCTGTTCTGAATTAATTAATTTTCTCGCTTTTTTACTACATGTATGTATTCTAAAAAAGGGCTATACTCAGTTATATTTCTGAAAATTTTTAGCTTGAGAGACAGTTAATTAGCATCTTGAAAGTAATTAAGGTACAATAACACGCCGAACAAATTTGCGCTTTTGCAGCTGAGGGTGATGGTTCGGTAAAACCATCGAAACTAGTCCTGTGAAAATTTGAAAATATAGCACTGATTTTTGTTGTTTGACTTCTAAATTAACATCTTGAAAGTATTTAACTTCAGAGTAAACGATGCATTTATTTGCAACATCGTAACCATTTTAATCTCTCATGCTAGTAAATTATATGATGTCATGGTAATGCCGAAAGATCGGGAAACTCCAGCCCAATACATGTAATGATTACTTCATTAATAACCCCAACAGTACAGTGTGGCAATTGCTAAGATTAAAGATAAAAAAATCTTGGTTGATTAAGGCAGAGCACACGAAAGGATATCTGCCTAAGGGAAGACTACCTTCGTGGAGAACTTTAAGAGTAATAGACTCATCTTTACTCATGAAGAAAACCATGAAAACTGAAAAATCATGCAGCCAGCCTATCCACTAACATTTGACCTCAGATCAAATTACCTGTGTCTACCGCTATTAGGAATGATTCTAATAATTTTTTGTCATCCCACTCCCTCTTTCCATCAATGACAAAATACCTCAAATTCTCCACAATTTCAACTTTAATGGCATTTTTTCTCACCTATGAGTAAAATTTACTATTCGATTTTTAAAGATCTGATCTCCGATTTTAGCTCTTGGGGATATTATAGCTAACTTTTTGACTTGACGATTCCATTCATATGATAATAAAAAAGTGCAGATAAGTATTTTCTCTGTGACATTATCATATCACCATGTTACATTACTATTTCTAAGTTTCTTGCAGATCTTATTTTATTGCAACATCTTCCAATAAATAGTTTTTTTTATTACTGAATAATTTTTGCATCTTTTTGTTTCCAAAGTAATCTATACTGCAGTTAAATAATTTATTGAATGTACCATATATTTCAGTGGTCACTAAATTACATTATTTACCCCACACAAAGTAACAAATCATTGTATTTAGTTTCTTTATCTATTTAATCAAAATCAGATTTGTAATTTCTTACACCCATACTTATTCATCTATCCCATTAACTTCATTTGCACCTAGGCTGTGGTTTGCAGAAAACTTTTGAAAGGCTTTGACCCATTTCATTCTGATATATTTAAATCTTATCTTTCACTTCCATAAATATGCATGAGCCAAATCCTGGTTAATACTTCACTTGTAACAGTTCTATTTCAACCAAGTTGTAAACAAAGGGAACATTAACATATCAGCGTAACCATCTTAAGGTTTTTTTTTTTTTTCCTTTTAAATATATAAGAGGGATCTATGTTTGAATACCCTTGAAATCAATAGCTTCATTCAAAATCTACACCATGCCAAGGTTGCCCCTTCCCTTTTTTTTACCTAATTTAAAAAATTTATGAGAGGACTAAAAAATGAATTTATTTTTGAAGAAAAAATTTTTTTTGAAATAATGAAAACTGCATTAACTACGAGTTTTCTAGAGTTATTTAATTATTACGAACTCCCTTCCCATTAATAATATGCACAAATAGGAAGCCTTTATTATTATTATCTATTTTAACTGCTACACGAAGCTCAGAAAATTTGAGAGAGATTTAATTTTTACTTTAACGGCAATATTGCTGCTGTTTATGCATAACTAAAACTAAAAGGTAAGCTAACTTTTTAAAAGACAACTTTAATGTGGCTAACTGCATGATAAAACATTTTTTGTCATTTTGCTCTTACCAATTTAATGGCTGAGAGTGTATTATTTACCCCTACACTAGACGGTGCTGTATGCAGCAATAATTTCCTTAACAGGATCAGCCTCTTATTTAAGAACTATTTCAAAGGACAACAATAGAGGTTAACAAACAGATCATATTTATTTCATCAAACTCTTAAAATGCATTTAATGCTCTCAGCCTGTATGGTGATTTAGAGAGATTATTGTGTCAATGGATTTGTGGTAATCTCCAATTAGCAATTTTGGAATTATGAGTACCGTATTTGACGGCATGTAAGACGCACCCTTATTTAGAAGGCCACACACATGTAGATGTAGAAAAAGTTATGTGTGTCTAGACCTTTATCCGGGCTAAAAATAGCATTCAGTATTGAAAGTTAACCTGTGTCCTTCACGTATAAGACGCAGGTAATTGTTTTTGAGACCAAACTTAGGGAAAAAAGTGCATCTTATATGCGGTCAAATACGGTATATATTATGTTCACAAAGACCTGTTAATTGTGTGATTCTTGTGTGAACAGTGAAAAAAGGTACAGGAACTTTTAAATGTCCCCCCTTAACTGCATCCTATTACATAAATATGTATAAGTAAGCATACATTCATCAAATTTCTATCTGTTATTTTTATGATGTTAATTAATTATACCAATAACAAGAGTTTTACATTGCAACAAAAGGTACAAAACATTTTGGCAAATTTATTAGAAATTTTAAACAGGAGTAATGATTTATAACAATTATTTTAACAAAAATATTTAAAATGCTGGACACTTTACACAGAGACAAATATTTGCTAATAAAGTTGCAAGTATTATGTATAGATTCCAACATTCATTAATTGAAACATTTATTAGTCACATAGTTATTCACAAAACAAATTTCATATTTCTCATAATATTTTTCAGTTGAATACAATTAGCTATATTGCAAATGTTTTAAAGATATTTATATTAGCATGTGCTTATTATTGGCATAAATAAAATAATTAAATAAGAAAAGTAAAAAGAAATATATATATATTATTTTAAAATGTCTCATGTAGAAGACACTTTAAAAATTTTTTATACTCTCTTGTCATCAAATGAAAGAAATGGTAGCGTTGTAAAATTTTTAGCTCACATTTCTGTTCATCTTTGTTGAATTTACAATACTATCATTCACAGAAAACCATAAAATATATTTTCTTCGATAAACAAAACATATATTTTAAGATATGTAATTATTTTTAAGGCAAACCAATTATAATTATATAATATTTTCCTCATTATTCCTAAAATTATATTGTTACAAGACGAAAAACAAGAATTATTCATTTATGTCTTTTGAACAGAATATACAACTCAAGAAATATGAACTTAATTTTTTTCTAGTGCACGGCATCAGCAGTTGCCTTAAGGATGGGTGCAGTTCATTACTGCTTAATTAATTATCTACATGTGACTGGCAAAGGCACTCATGAGTTAAAAACAGATGAAACAATTTTCAGCTATCAACATTTTAAATTACATCGTGTTAAAGAGAATTACTTGTATCATGCTAATAAGCAATTATGCTCGTATACAGATAGAATAAAGTCTCATAAAATGTATTTTCTAAACACATATAAAAGAACTGTGTAAAACGGGAGGTAATTATTTTGAATTTCTTTCATGCAAATATAATAAATTAAATTTTTAATCAAGCATGAAAACAGCTTTAAAATTATTTACAAAAGTGCAAATATCATTGAATTCAAAGCAATATTCAAAAGAAATATGTGTAGAGAGATGATTAATAAAGTTATTCACGTATGTTTTTATTGCTTTTCTGATAAAGCAATTTAAGCAAAACAAAATCTCTCTCCACAGGTGGTGTAGAAGTCTTGATATGATGTGTTGGTCTTAATTTCATCAGTTTTGTGAACATTTGGCATCCAGTGCTAGAAAAATCTTTCTTTGTCAATACTGATGAGAGGCAGAAATGCACAGCTGTACAAAAACTTTCTCGGTTGTTAAAATTTTAGAGAAAAATCTTGGCAGTTTTCAAAGCTGAGTTCATGTCAAAAAGAACTTGAACACAATTTAGCACCCATGTTAAGTTCTTTTTCTCATGTGCTGAGAAGTCAACACTGGAACACAAATTCATGAAATTCCAAAGCTTGTATATGAGAGATGGATAAAGAATTACCTCTTTTTCCAACTCAAAAATTAGAGCCTTGGCTACTATGTATAGCATTAAACTGAGAGTCTTTATGCTCAAATATTAGTTCATGCTGTTATATTTGTTCATATTTGTTACTACCTACATAGATATGAACTATGAATTTGTACCATCAGTCCTTTGTAGTTGTCCAGCAAGAGCACAGGATAAGCAGCAGAATTTCGCATAAGTTGGATTGATGCAATAATTCTGCTTCACAATCATGGCACAACTTGTGAAAAATGGACTATCTTTACAAGTGGAAGGAACAGAAATATCTGAAACAAAACAAAACAAAAAAAAATTCTAATGTAAAGAAATTTAATTAAACCAATTCAGTAATTAACAGTGTTGTAGAAAGATTCTGTAGGCCTTAGTAATGATCATTATGCAAGTGCTTAAGTATGATGTAAGAAAATAAACTTGGCAAGAAATTAATGCTATTTTCAAGTACTAGTTTAACAAATAATAAAAAAAATGAATAATAATTGTTGGCCAAAAACCACATAAATATTTCACACAAAAGCAAATTTTAATGTGCAAAATGTTTTTGCCAAAATAGTTTTTCTATTTGTCAATTATTTCATTTTTCCTTTTAATTTTATTTGTTAATTATTTTAACCTGTGAACTTTAGACATAAAAAACAAGACTTTGTACCCAAATCAATCAATCATCAAGATTTGATTTTTTTCGAGGGCCTTCCAAGAAAATAGGGTCACGGAAGTTTATATTGGCTCTCCCTGCTCTCTATGGTACTGGTAATTAAATTACTTGCAATTTAAAAATTATTTTTATATGAAATATGAGTCATCCTGATATAAAAGAATTTGAGTGGCTGTTTTTCTGGATCTTTTGCCAAGACATGGTAGAAGCATCATGGTCATATGAGCTTATACAGTCAAAAGTCGTTAATTCGGACACCCATAATCCGGACTTAAAAGCTAAATTCTTTCTGCGCATGCGCCGCATTGACGCATGCGCATAGGCATTTACGCGTGCGTGCAAGACCTTTACTACTGCGCATATGTGTCTGCACAAGCGCAGAATACGTTTTCGCATGCGCGTTTAATGTATAACGGACGGTATAAGCTAAGCTAAAATTATCTATTTCAGTTAATGTTGATGATTGCATTGTTCCTTAATCTTCGAATTTGATCCGGCTTATTGTTTTTTGCAGACTGTAAGAGCAATTTTATAAAAGTAAGCTTGAACTTTCGATTATGTCAAATAGAATTTCCGATGCTGGAGCTCCCAAAGGATCTACAAAACGAAAGTATGTTTCGATGTCCATCAAACAAAAAGTGGAATTGCTACAAATATGGATAAAGACATATCCTTTGTTTATCTAACCGTTCCGAAATCTGTTTATCAATTTCACGCTGCTCTGTGCACGGGGAGGGGGAACGTCATGGTGCGCAATGAACTGGAAGCTGATCTGTCAGCACTATTGTTATCTTCAGGGCAGATGTTTTTATTTTATTCGGCTTATAATTCCTTACTAAATGTAGTATTTTATCTCGATGTACTCCGTCTTTGATATGATTTAAATCAAATTCCTCGTCATTATAAATATCACGAATACAAATCAAATAGTTTTCTGGTTGCAATTTTCTAATTTCGGCTGTGCGTAATGTATGCTTTGCGCATGCGCGCGTTGAGAGAAATGTTTAATAAAGTAAACAAATAAATATTAAGCTTCTTCTTTTGTAAATTTTGATACCCTTTAGATCATAATTGCTCATTATTTTATAAATTTACGGTTTCATATTTTTAATTTTATAATTTCTGCATGCCATCTTACCAGATTTAAACTGATGATCTATAATCCAGAAAAATCGATAATCCGGAATCGCCGAAGTCCCGACGAGTCCGGATTAAAGACTTTTGACTGTATTTAAAAACCATCAGAAAACTTTTCTCCTTTTTTTTCCTATGCCAAGAAACTAAATCTTGGCAGAGGAAGCTTCTAAAAGGCTAGGCAAATTAATATAAATGGCTGTATTTGAGCTGCAAAGGTGAGTTTCAGTTCTAAATTACTTCAGGAGAGACTGCCATTCAAACAATTAGCTAAATTGCATTTGGGAATTTACTTTGTGAGTAATATTGGTAATCTGCAATATTTTATCATATTAAGGATAAAGAGCAGCAGTGATTGCACCTCCAAAATCTTCCCAAAACTCATAAAACCCCTTGAGTCAGTCATTTACAGCTGCTATTTCATTTCTATGCATTCTTATTAATTGCAATAATTTTTCAAAACTAAGGAGATAATTGTTTGTTAGGCATCTTAAATAGAGAAAAGTGTCCTAAACGGTTGACTCTTAGAACATGCATATGCAGAGGGAGAATACATCTTGAAATTACATTTCAGAAACATGGTTCTCTCCCTTCTCCCATTTTTTTGTTAATTTAGAAAGTGATGTTATAATGCTGTATTTTATTGGCTTATGGTTAAATTTTATCTTCCAAAAATAACATAATTTCAATATAAAGCTATCACATTTCAAAATGAATATTTCTACATAGATCACTAGAGAACTTCAGGCAAAAGCTATAAAATTCAAGTGACAAATAAATTGATTAGTTAAATTACAAAATAATCTTTCAAGTTCTTTATACCCATCTTCGGAGTGAAATTACAATTAATGTTATGGAAATTATAACTAAAATGGTGCATAACTGGACTAATGAGAAGGTACTATTTAGAAAGAGAAATTTAAGACACTAGAAATAAGTAATGGAATGAAAAATCAATGGATAATTGGAAAAAGGTAAACATTTATATTTTATTGAATGGTTATCACATCACTTTTGACTAAGATCCTAGGTTTAGAAAATGCTTTATTTAATTAGGGTTTAAAAGGTCTTTGAGTGCATAAGACTAAAGCTACAAATATGTTAGTCAAGTGCATAGCAGTTAAAAGTTAAGTTAAATTATTGGTAACTGCTGTTAAAAAATGTGTTCTCATTTAGTGATGTCAAATTTTGATTAATTTGTACTTGAGTTTGTTGGAGTGAAAACACTTAAATAATCATGATAAGTGGCAGCCACTGGAAGGATGGGAGTTTAATAAAATCAACTACAATTGTCTAATTTTCTATCTTACCCTGAAATATTCTCACTAGATCATAGAACACATCACCCATGACAAGATTATTCAAGGACCATAGTTCTGTTGTGAAGTCTAGTTGACTGCAGGTGTGAGCAAGTTGTGAGCGAACTGTTACATAGTCTAGCTAACTCCACAACAGTTTTCCCACAACCTGCTGCATCTTCAGGATTTTAATGAGGTAACTGGCTTCTGGAATTCATGCAGAGATAAATTTATGGGGTCATGCATGCTGCAGTTACAAGAGGTTCCACATTCTAATGGGTGCTTTTCTATAAAACAGTAAGCATGCCAAGTGTGTTAAGACAGGGACCCCCAAAGGTTCAGCAAGATGGACGACTGAATTCATATATCTACCACAGGTTGCATGAAGAAAGTCCCTGCATGACAATATCCACAACTGCATTCTTCTCAATTTAACCACAGAGTATATCCATTTTAAATGCTGCAGAGAGCATCATATTTGGAATCCCATGGATAACAGTCAAAATATTTACACAAATAAGTCTGGATTTTGCCAAAGAAGCAACTTTTGGTGAATCTTTAGCTGCAGAGATTCTATGAGACCAGAAAGTCACAAAGACACAGTCCAGAAAGTCATAATTTAAAGATGGATGAATCATGGTTTGAGCATTACAAAACTGTTTCAGTGTGGGTCTTCAGAGACAGGTCTTGGATCTGTAACTAAAGCATTTTAGAGTAGCTACAGGCAATTACAATAATGCACAATGTCTATATTATAAATTTTCAGAACTCTATAGTCTCTTCTTAAGAAACTCTGGGAACTAAAAATATGTTTAAAGAGCAGCAGTGATTGCACCTCCAAAATCTTCCCAAAACTCATAAAACAGCCAGGCATAATCATGCATTTACATTAAAAAAACTTAGTTTCAAAATAATAGACAATTTATTTTTTATATTTTATACGTTACAAAAGCTTAACCATTATTTTCTGAAATTTTTGTGCTTCTATCTGGAAAACGATAGAAATTATGCTGTTATGTTTATCAACTGCTCTTAAATTTTTTAAGCTAGTAAATTTTCTTTCTATTTTAAGATTTAGAAAACAATGTTTCAGTTTATTCAATGTTTAGCATTTTATCACTTTCTTCATTCTAAATACTCTTGAAACGAACTTTAAAAAGAAAATTTCTAAATTAATAAGGGCACATTTTTAATAGGAAATTCTTTGAAATATTATCAGTTTCTTACCATGAACTTGAATATTTAATGATGCTGTAGCTTTTCCATGTTGATTTTGGGCTTCACAGATATAGTCTCCACTGTCATTGTATTGTGCAGAGGCAATAAAAAGTGTATGGTTGCCCAAAATCTCTCTATGACCATCTGATTCTAGGGGTTTGCTGTCTTTTCCTAAATGCCATGTAATATCCATAGGAGAAGTGCCAGTTACAATGCAATCAAGTTGCAATGCAGAACCTACTTGGTATTCGGGTGTGACTAGAGTTATGTTAACTTTTGTATCCTCTAAAAACACACACATAAGAAAAATCACAATTTGTTCAAATAAAATTCATGTTACATTTATACAAGCAAAGTTCATCTTATAATTATATAAGCTAATTCTTACTACATACAATGTAAAAATGCATAGGAAGTCTGAATTTTGATTTATTATAACTTTGAGGAGGAGGTTAATAAAATGCTGAAGTAATCATAAAATCAGCATAAAAATAAAGCAATAATACGTGCATTAAATATATGCTAGTATCATGTTTCTTCTCACAGAACTTTTAAAATAACTATTATAATAAAATAACATAAAAAGTGCTTTGTTAAGGCTGATCAATAGATTTTTATTATTGAAGGTTTAAATATCATGAATGAAGATTTAGCTTAAGCAGACAACATTTATAATAAAGCGCTTGCTAAATGCTACTTCAGAAAAATACTCGTACATATTTTTTTTAAAATAAGAAGCACATTTCAGGTTCTCATGAGCAGCACTTTAATAGCATGATAACACGTCTAACATTTATGATTTATGTGTGACATCTTTCAGTGCTTTCTCTGTGTGTTTAAAGAAAAAAGGAAATGTCATTTGAATTCTAATTTTTTTCCCATTAATTTTTTTTTCACCTAATGTATACTAAATTCACTGTATAGTAATTAATTTTTAGCAGAACATAATTTAGCTACATTGAATATATTTTTTTATCAGTGATTATCAGGTATCCAAAAAAGTTCATTGTATTGTAGTTTTCAGTGTGACCATTATGTAATTTTGTGCAAATTCATTTTATTCAATAAAATAATATCCTTCAGCTTCAACTGCATGTTCCCAACAAGTTACAAGCTTATAAATCCTGTACTTGTAAAAGTTCTTGTTCCCTACAGCCAAAAAATTATCCTATTATTTACGTGACATGATCTCAGTTTCAAAACTGTTGCTCTCACAAATGGTTATTCATGGCCAAAAGCAGGTGATAGTCGGATGGAGTAACATCTGGTGTATAAGGAGGATGAGGTAAAACTTCAAGTATGCCAATCACTTCCTTGGTCACTTTTTCCATATGAGGTCTGGCATTGTCTTGAAGAATAATCTCTGTTTCTGTTGAGTAGTGCTGGCTGCTGCAGTCTTTTGCAACTAGGACAAGTATACCTCATCTGTTATGGTTTTGCCACTCTCTAGCAACTCAAAGTGCACAATACCAGTGCTGGTCCACCAAAATACAGAACAGTTCCACTTCTGTTGATCAATGGTTTGTTTTGGGGTGAATACCACAGAACAAGGGAACAACTTTTTTTTTTTTTTTTTTAATTTATTGTACAACACCCATTTCTTGTCACTTGTTTATATCTGGCCCAGGAATGGGGCTTTCTTGTGGCATGACAGCAATTATGAACAAATGGTGAGCCCCTGGAGTTTGGTTTTTGTGATCAAAACCCGAGGAACCTATTATTGAGCTTCTGTGTTTTCCCAAGAGTGCGCTGATGTAATTGAATGGTTTTGTCTGACTTTCCAAAATTTTGTGCACATTCCTTGCATGTTTGATATAGATTATTATTAATGTCCTCCTTCATCAGGCAGCAGCTTGAAGCTTATCCTCGAGACTCTTCTCCTGACTAACTAAACCACTTTTACACTGAGTGCTCACTCACTGATGCTTCTCCAAACATGGAGCTTTTTTTTTTTTCTTTTTTTTTTGCAGCATTCCTTCCCAGTTTGAATTCAATAAAGTAACAGGCTACCACTATGAGGCTTAACATAGACACAGATCCTTTCAGCTGTAAATTAAGCTAACTGTAGTGCAATAAATTAGCAAGAACAAAATTTCAATTTTAAGAATCTAATAATATTTAAATATTTTTTGCCCAATCAACTAATATCTTTGACACTGACACGTTCACACTTTAAGATTATAATTTCTACAGAACTGATACATCTCACGAGTCACTGATGTTTGATAAGAGTATTAAGATTTGGCATTATTCCGACAGGTTTACCAACACCTGTTATTTGAACTTCACTTTGCATGTTATCAGCATAAACGTTTTTGGATACCTGGTAAATCATAACCTCAGGAAAATCAGATTTGTCAAAAATTTTATATACATAAATTATTATCTTCCGTGTTCTTAAATATGTCTCTTCAATCGAAAAAGAAGGTAAAAGCTTTTTAAAGAATTTTTTGAACAACTCGAAAAATTTTAACTTTCTTTTTTCTTTTTTTTTTTCCCTAGAATTCATCCAAAGAATTTTTAATTTCAGTGTATCTGAGCTTTAAATCTGGTTCTAAAATTTACCGTTTCTAATTTGTACTCTTAAATCAGAAACTTAGAAATTTTTTATAATGATTCAAAATTATAAGTTCTAAAATGTTTATCAAATAAAAATTTCTTAAAGAAATTTTCTTAAGTTTTCATGCAAAAAGAATATTATTTAATAAGAAAACATGTGGATTACTTACCAAAAATAATTAAATTAAAGAATCGAGTGACTGACTTCCCAATACCATTATCTGCTGTGCAAGCATACATTCCTCCATGAGAATAGACAGCAGACATTATATGCAAAGAGCCATCAACTGAAATTTTATAATCACCACCTTCTGTACTCAGAGGATGGTTTTTGTGAGTCCAGGTAACTTTTGGTGCTGGATATCCTTTCACAATGCATCTCAAAAGAGCTGGAGTGCCCAATTTGACAGCAATGTCTTTTCTTGCACTTAAAATCTGAGATGGTGAAGGAGAATCTAGAATAAAATGTGAAAAATCAGGCTCAAAGTAAAGGAAATAAAAACCTCACATTTCTAAAATACAATTATAGCTTATAATTAACACCTTAGATTCATAAATGCTTTTGTCTTTCAATAAAATGAAAACTAATTGATAAGAAGTGTAAATATTACATATTCTAATATCTACTTTAAAACTAAGACTATAAAACTAATTGTCCTACTTGTATTATATTATACAAGATACTGTTTCTAAAAATAATTTCTGGTAAGAAATTTCAAACAAAACAACAAAAAATTAATGGATAGTTCTTCAGATTTTGATGGTGAATACAAATGAAGCAGGACAAAAGTATAAGCAAATTCCTTTGAATAACATAAATACCATTTTGTATGACTTTTTGCTATCTCCGCAACAGATGGAAAGTTCTTTTCTTTCTTTCTTTCTTTCTTTCTTTTTTTTTTCTTTTTTTTCTTTTTTTAAAAAAAAGGGGGGATTTAAGAAGTTATCAATGTGTGTTTGACAATCTTCATAGAAGCAGACATCTGCCCATTCATACAACTTTGAAGTACTTGAAGAGACAAAAATCTGAGAGGGAGAAGGTCTAATAAATATGGAACATAGGATAAAACAGCTCAGCCATATTGAGTAAGTTTCTGACATTCATTGAAATGTGAAGCTGAGCATTGTTATGATAGAAAACAACACCTCGACACCCTCTGCTTTAATTTATGCTTTATCTTTTTTTAAACATTATTTGGAAACAGTATTTTTTTTAGTTTGATTTGATGGCAACAATTCATAGTAGTACACAATTCCTTTGTAATTCCACAATAAACACAGCATTACTTTTCGTGATGCAATTCTCTTCTCGATGTTTAATAAAGGATGTTCTTTTGGCTTACCCTATGATTTTTTCTTGTAACATAATTATATAGCAGTCACATCTTTTGCGGTAAAGAGCCATTTAAAAAACCTAGTGAGAGAAAGGGCTTCTTTATTTCTTTTGGCAAAGAATGAAATACTGAAACATCTGAAACTGTATTGAAGTATGGGATACTCATCCATCGTAGCAGTTTACAAACTCAGTCTTCTTCAAATGATCATTTACTGTACTTTTTGGAATATTTAGTGTGTCTAAAAGTTCCTGGATTTTCAGTGATATTTTTTAAACAGATTTTTGTTTATGGGGGATGATTGTTCAGAGTGGGCATCATCTTCGAGGCTAAAATTCCAAAACTTCTCAAACCACATTTCCAACTATGTTATCAGAAACAGAACTTTGTCTACTTACACCTCAAATTTTACAAATAGTGTAACTAGCATTTCTCCCTTTCTTGAAAATAAAAAAAGCATTATAAGACAAAAATGAACTTTCGGGTTTTTCATTTTTAGCACTAAACTGAAAAAACGTTATACCACAGCATATGCTAGAACTATGAAATGTAAGCAGAAAGATTGTATGAAACACCTTCTTTGATTAAAGACACTCCTTATGAGCAGTAACGAAATAATTAGAAGAGGGTGCATTTCAATTTGAAAAAATTGCAGAACTATCTTGGATGACCCAATATTTTATTTATTGTTTGGTAAATTGTTATGGAAACTTAACATACGTTTAAAACAAAAATAATATTAACATCATATTATTATTTTGTAGCTATGTTTAAAGAATTGCACTTTTTCTTTACCCAACGACAGGCATTACCTTACCTTACCAACAGCAGGCAACACTACATTCTATACTTTTGTATTAGATACATGAAACCATGTATGTTTTATAACTCTATGTGTATTATTCTGGATATGTGTCTCTTTGGCCCCCACCCTTGGTGATGGTATAAAAAGCTGCAAAAAAACTGCGAGTTATTTCAGTGCTAATATAGCCTACTGCAGACTAACATGCCACTGAGTTTATATACCCAGAGATTTTAAATGTTGCAGTTCGTTATATATATTTGTTCTTATCTTGAAGAGCAGAGAGAATCTTCTTTTTTGCTTTTAAATATTGTAATAATGTGAAATAGAAATGTATCAACACATTCCAATTTGGGAAAACAAATTAAAACCTTTTTTAGAAAAAATTTTCATTTCCAGCGAAGAAATAATGAGGGCGTTTGCAAAAGCATTTTAAAAGAAAACCATATTATGTGACAGATAAAGAGAATTACCTTCTAAATCTAAATAAAAATAAGTCAGCAATAAGTATAATACCTATAAATATATTGATTGCAACAAAAATTAGCCAGGTTATAAAAATGCAAATCATAAATTTTAAGCAATAAAAATTGTCTTGTAAGTTTTAATATGTTTACTCTTTTATGATTATTAAAATGTTCAATGTCTCACCTGCATCTTCTATGTTATTCTCAGCATCTGTTGTTTCTATATCTAAAACGTAAAATTGTATTAAAACTCAAATTTCGAGATTTTATTAATTCGTATATTAAAATAACTAATCATGAAATCATTCAATTAGCACAATAACACAATTTAAAATTGTATTTTGTTTTTACTTGACAAAATAATTTACAGACATTTAGGTAAGGTTTACAAGCATAAAGACACCTGAAAGTACTTGCATGGTAATGAGGAAAGGGGGACTTGAAATCATCCATTATACTCGCAAGAAATTAGTAGTGGACATTTGGCCCTTTTTTTTTCCCTGGTGAGCCACTAATGAAGAAAGAGGGGATAGAGTAACTAATAGTAGAGATGTGCAGGGTCATTCCTAGCGGGGGTGCATCGTGTAAAAGTACTCGGACAGCGAAAATCAAGGGCGGCCGGATTCTCGCAATACTACAACTAAATATTTTAAATTCATTGTAAGTATTTATCATGTGTAATAACTTTTATACAATTTGTCCTGTGTAAGTACTTATTGAATACATAAAAAAAATTAATCATTAAGCATTTTTTTTTTAAATTTTGGGGGCAGCAGTCCTAGGAAAGTACATAGGCAGCCAATGGCCTAGGAGGCCCTCCAGATGTGTAAAAACTCTGCTATACTTTTAATAATAACTGTAAAGCAAAAATAATCAGGCTAAGTATTGTGAAACTTGTGAAATAAAAGCAAGAAATGGAATACAGCTTCTCATGGCTGTTGTCATAGCCAGTGCAGCCATACCAAGAAACAGAACTTAGGGGCAGCAAAAGTTTTAGAATTTAGAGGAGTATCAAGCAGTAAAAAATTGTCATAGCAAAATTTTGAATCTAGGGTTGTGATAGGCAGTAAAATTGGGATCCACAGAGATTGCACTGTGTGGCAAAATGCCTAGCCACCAGTCCCTACATGCACCTTTTCAACAACATTGTGAAAGTTCAAAGAGCACTACAGCTGTCAAGCAAATGATGCAACCAACTAACTGCATCTTAAGAAAGGAGAGGTACATCTGACAATATTTGTTGCCATAGATTCAGTTTCTTTCCGATTAATTAAAACTACAGTTTTTCATGTGATAAAAACATAGAAATGCTCTAAGCTGCTATTTATGCATTGTGCTGCTATACAGAAATGTTTGAAGAGAGAGAGAGAGAGAGAAAAAAAAACTAAGCAATGTTCAGAATACCTTAACTTTTTGTCTAAAAAAGCACAGATTTAAAGTTTGCTTATCTAATAAATAACACTTCCCTTGTTTCATTTCCCAACTTTTTAATTTTTTTATAAGTTGTTAAAAAGGAATATAAAAGAAGACAGTGAAAAATAGTTTAATTAATTATAAGTATTTTGAACATATTTGTTGTATTTAACACAATTTCATTTAATATGGCATCCACTTGGATTAGTTGACTATGTTAATTGAGGAATTCCTCCATACAATTTTCATAAAGCAATGAAATGCATTAATATATAAACTAATCAACTAAAAATGATACATAATCTATTTACCAGTGAATGTTGGTAATACACATATTTTTGCACATGAGACAGCACAGCATTTTAACCCTCCTGGACAATCTGCATCGGACTGGCATCTGTCATGACAAGTACCATTTAAGAGATGCTCTGATGTAGAAGTAGGAGGACATTCACCATTCTTAGATTCTTGAAAAACAAAAGGAAAAAATACATTCAAATTGAATGAATTCTCACTGCATAGAAAATAATCTAAAGTTTACTTCTTGTACCATAATTTTACCTTGAAATTTTTAAATTTCATTTCAAAAAAGCAATTTCAGATAAAGCATTACAATCCCTAGATCTGGCAAGAATTCTGATAAATGTTTTCTTGGGTATTACTGTTAACTCCAAATTCAGGAGGTGTTTAAATTATCTGAATTAAGAAAGCTACACAACAGCACTGTTCTTGAACTTTGTGCAAGTTCTTTGAACAGTTCATAACATTTTTGGAAATTACTTGACCTATGATGTACCATTTAGAAGGTATCCTTCACTTTCAGAGAAAATGTCAATATAGAATTAAAAACTGGGCAAAAAAGCAGCTTTGTCACAGACATTTCAGGGATCCCCACCCCCTCTGAAGAAGTAGGACCTGCATCTGAATGTCCTCAAAATTGGCAGAATTATTCTGTGCCAAACTAAGGGTAGCTTTCTATTTTTTTGCTTAATTTTAAATAATCGAGATTAAATAATTATATGAGATTTTGAAAACAAAAATTGCATTTCAGTTATAAAAGAAAATGTATTTTGTAGGCCTTACACTATTAAAGTAAAACATCTGATCCGAATATAAAATCCTGCCAAATACGAAAGTTACCAGAAATGTCACCAAACACTCCAGCAAAGTTTAAATGAAGAGATCATTCTTTATTTAGTTAGATAACACAGAGATAATTATGGATACAGTAAATTTATTATCACATTTAATAAACCATTTAAATCACTTATTGTAATTTTTCATGCTATATGACTTGTTTATTCATTTTCAAAATCACTTATCATGGTTTTTATTGATGCCCAGATGCTGTAACTCTAAAAAATCTCCATTTCACTAACCATTGTCACTAAACCACACTGTTTGGAGACAATGTATACATGTTAATAGTATTTCAAGCTCTATGATGGTGTTGCAAGTTCCTCATTTACTAATTTTTAAAAAATTTTAAAATACTCTGCTTACCTGAACTTTCCAGCAAGTTGAATGCCAGATAGCTGAGCTTTTAATATATTTTAATCTGATTTTGAAATTTGCTGACTCAGTTTACTTAGTGCAGTTTGTATTTTTGAACTTTTATTAGGTTCCTATGATGATAGTACTGGGCTTTCAGCAAAACAGTCTTTGCTCATTGCTTAACTGAATTCATAGAACCCGTTTCAGATAAGATAGTAATCAAGTATATTTTGAATAAACTATCAATGGAATATAGCAGTTTTTATAATGCTTCACTTGAAAATGAAAGAAATTTATCTACATTTATCTCAAGATTAATGGAGGGGAAAACTCAGGTTGGAATTAGGGATCTAAATAACAGTAACAATAATTAATTTGCACTTGTGTCCAGTCAATTTAAAACTACAGTAAAGGCAATTAAAGGAAACGTTAAAAATGTTATTTAATATTTGTCAAAATAACATTTTAAAATGTTTAATCTGTGGAAGTTCTCATTTATATAGCGTTAATCCTATTACAACCCAAAAACCAAATAAACGAAATGTCACAAAAATAGAGAACAAAGAATATCGTTATACAATTTAATTAAAGATTTGACAGATAAAGGATTAATTACTCCTAAGGAGGAATTCATGTACCAACTTCATAAAACCGTTTCCTTTATAAAATCCATAAAATTTAAAAACAGTGCTAAATTTATCAGCTTGATTTTTGAGAAATATAATGCAATTTTAACATTTAATACTAAAGCTAAAATTGAGAGGGGTACTGAAAATTAATATTATATATTCTGCTTCTATATATAAGCCGTTTCCTTTATAAAATCCATAAAATTTAAGAACAGTGCTAAATTTATCAGCTTGATTTTTGAGAAATATAATGCAATTTAAACAATTAATACTAAAGTTAAAATTGAGAGGGGCACTGAAAATTAATATCATATTAAATATACATCATATTAAACCATTGAAATGATCCAGCCATCTTGTACAAATGTGCATAAAATACAACATTTAGAACAACATTAGCGCCCTCTTTCCTATATATCTGACAGATATACACACTGATATACCACTGAAGAACAAACATATTTTAGAGGTTCTTTTATTGAATTAGGTAAAAGTCACATGAACCAGAAATGAACAAACAAAGAATAATTGCTCTATTTACAAAGAAACCTGAACTTCTGGCATTCTCCGAATGTTCATGTGAAATTAAATATAGCATATCAGTTTACTTGAAGAATTAAGATTCCTACAAAAATTTAAACTGACTGCCAAGAATTAATAGACTGGATTTAAAAAGAAAAAAAATGGAGTGTCAAGGTACAGGAACCAAAAATATTTTTTTGTGAATATGAATTGCAGCAGGAATATTCATCGGTTATTCTCAAAATAAGAAAAAAATGTTTTTACTAAGTATATACTGCTGCAAAACTGAAAAGAGAACTTTTAAAACATGAACATAATTGACTGACTAAAATTAAGTCTTAACCCAAACAAGGGGAACTGATGGTATTTGTTTATATATATATAACTAATCTAGTTTTTCAATATTTGGGAAAATTGATGTTATTTATGTATAAAAGATTAACTGAGTTTCTTAGATCTGGAATCAGATAATATTGTTTATTATACAGATATTCTGGCACAGTGAATGTTCTTTAATTAAAATTATATGTGTCCTTTTCTTAACGTTTAATTTAAGTTTTGGTTTTAGCAAATATCCATCAATAAGCATGCTCACACTTCCTGTTCTCCTTAGCATAATATATTAACTTAAAATATATTAACTTAGCATTAACTTCATATTTCTGCTTTTCTTTTCATACAAAATGTATACAACAGCAGCTAATGCAGAAAGTTGATATACATGCAAAGAATCATACTAATTAAGAATAAACTATTGGCAACAAACTAAATACTAAAACAATATTGCCAGGCAATTTTTAGCACAAATTCAAATTTGCTATTTATAAATAAAACGATACCTCTGACATAAAATGAAAAAAGGAAAAATTTTTATGAGTAAATTATATTTAGCATTTATATAAAAATTATGTTAGATACTTTTAAAACATACTTAAGCGACACAGTGGTTGAGAGCGGAAATCACCATCAGAAATCTTATGCTTCTCAACCACACACTGAGAGCCTTCAGGGCAGTTGTGATTCTGAAAGTTATAAATGCAACTATTGTAAAATACTTAATGTAATACAGACATAATAGAAAAATATACTGTTTATAAAAGAAAACTCTGGAAAAACAATGTACTAAATCAAGAAATATAGAACTCTTACTTCACAAGGATTTGAGCATAAGCATGAAATGCAACCTCTGATATCCACCACTTCTTCAATACCATGTGGACATTGCAAATGACCACAGTTACTAGTTGGACAATTATGAATATTTACAGGAACTGCTTCTTTAACAGCTGCATCACCAACAGCCCCTGATCCTGCAAATACACAAATTTCATTAGCAAATAACTGTCAAACTGTACAGTGAATCCTGTCATGGTGACTACATCCTCTTAAAATTAATGCTATTTCTGAAAAAATAAACAAACATCAATACTTGATATTTCTAAACAGATATTCTGTCAGGAAACAATTACTTTAATAGAAGACCAAAAACATCTGGAACTATGAGAGGCTGTCCTGGGGAAGTTTTATAGTATTTACCTATTTCTAAAGTCATTTAATTTATTAAAAATAATGATTTGTGATTAGTACCAAAAAGCCAAATGGTTAAGCTTTCAAAATATTTTTAATATTTAGAAACAATAAATGAAAAGGTAGTCTAAGAGTGGTCACATTAAAATTGCTTTAAGTGGATTAGAAATAGCAGAGATTATTAAAATACCTTGTACACCAGAGCAGAAACGCATGCATAGATCTGCATTCTTGAAGCGATTCTTGTTCCCTCCACAGCCTCTGTACACGAATGGAAGGCACATTGCCTTGTGAGGATCATAGTAAAATCGACTCTGAGAATACCCACAATGTCCTTCATCAGGAGCTAGTCGACATATGTCTGAAAAATCAAAAATCAGTAAATTTTAGAAAAAAAAAAATTATGCATATTAAAAAAAAATTAAGTATATAAATTTATTTACCTTCATTTGTTATAAAAGATGCAGCAGCTACAGTAGAATGAGTTGGTTTCGCTAAAATAAATAAGTAATGTTAATATGGTAATAAACTAGTAGTTAAAATATCAAATTAAAATAATATCTGAAAGTCGTATAAATTTATTTATCTATAATATGCATCTGATAACAGAATCCAATTTATTATGATCATAAACGTCTTGGAGATACAGTGGATACCAGTAATCACAAAATTTTGCAGAATCCAGACCAAGAAATAAATGGAAAATTATTAGAAACAAGGAAAGTTTCTGATCACAATATTGGCTACAAGTAGGAAAAATAAAAAAATGTATTATTGCTATGGTGATCGAATTATCAGTCTCCTGAATGTGTGCAACTTTATACTCCCATCCCAGTGTGGATGCGTTTCCAGCACATGATTATCCTGATTCTTTAATGTTGAACAATACGATGATTAGCAGCTTTATAAAAGCCCTTCATTTGAAGACCATCTATATTAAAATACAAACTCGCCAAATGAACTTAAAAACCTATAAAACTATTTATTTACAGTGTAGTTGTAATTGCACTATTGGCAAATAAAATTATTTGAAATATTACATAAGTTATGAAATTATGAGTAGGGATGCAATATGAAAATATACCTTGTTTCTTTGCATATTTATCCTACTTGTGTTTTAGCTGTCTGAAAGGATATGACTCGCAGACTGAAAGTTTGAAAATATATGAATTAGAAAATTTAAACTAACTCGCATAACTTTGTGCTTATTTAATTCAGGAAATGGACAGCTTCCCAAGAATGGCTATTTCCAGGATTTTGTGGTCTGGTATTTTTGCATATGCTTTTAAACACCACATTCAAGATGCTTTACTATCCCATCCAAGGTCATTTATTCTTCCTTCCCATAGACACAAAAAGGGAAGTGGAAGAGACACAAAGACTGCACCACCAGGAAATTAAAACTTCAAGGGTGTGAACAGAGACTCCAGAAAGACTGTTGTTTTTCCAAAGGGCAGATATCTCACCTTTAACCAAAAGCATAGTATGCATGTAGTAATATCATCCTATTACCTTTCTCCATGCTATCATTTCCATAAATTCAAATATTTACAATAGAATACTTTGGTAATAAAAATATAAAACTGTTACAGGACTTTATCAACAATCCCCAGATTTAAATTATATATTTCAAATACAAAATCTACTTTTACCTATATCCTAAGCAATGAATACCTTGCAATGTGGAAATTTAAAATAATAATAAAAGGGAGAGAGATTACATTAAATGAATAGCAATATCAGCATATTTGTTCAAAAGTGCTTTATAACCCACTAAGTTCTTCCATTACTTCCCTCAGAAATGGTAGATGTTGCATAACTCTTCTCTGTTTCCCAAGTGGTAAAATTAATGAAGAAAACTGGAAACTGTGCAAGTAAATACAAGGTATAAAAAGCAAAATTTATAAAAATGATAACTATCCATAAATAGTATATTACAGTACAAAGTCTTTAATCCGGACCTCAAAGCTATGAACTTTCTGTCATGCATAGCATTTACTAGTTGCTCTTTATTTCATGAATTACGATTTCATATTTTTTATTTTATAATTTCTGCATGCCATCTTACCAGATTTAAATTGATGGTCTATAATCCGGAAAAAACCCTAATCCGGAATCACCAAAGTCCTGACGAGTCTGGATTAAAAACTTTGTACTGTAATATATTTTAAAAGTTAAAATGGTATATTAGGATTTTGCACTAAGCAAATCAACCAAATTAAAAAAAAAAAAAAAAAAAAAAAAAAAAAAGGAGAAAAATCAATTAAATGCTTCCTGGATATAGGAGAGTCAGATTCAGCCCAAATCAGTTCATTCTGAATTTTTATTAGATCTGTAGGTATGTTAACGTAAAGTGTCCAAGCTATTGTCTAATTTTAAGAATATTTCATACTCACAATCTCTCTTGCTTGACACTGATCACTGAATGAGAACTGTCCCAGTCTAGGTAACATGAATATTTCAAATTTGGTTCTGTTCATATAGCTTTTGTCTTAATATATCTCAAATCAATACACAGTTCAATTAAATTGCAAGAGTCAGAGCCTGGTTATCCCAATATGTCCCAGGTCTTAGAGGGCCCTCAAATTATCTTAGCTCTTCAAAACTTTATTTGTTCTCATATGAAAGTAACAATACAAACTCTGAAAGGATATTGTGCTTAGGAGCCCACACTATCTTTATCAGGTTCTGGTAAGAACAGATTTTGTGGTATATGACAAATGCCACTTTCATCAGTAATAAAATCACTATAGAATCTGGTAGTAATTAATGGATCTCATATGCTCGATTCGTAAGTTTCGGATTCAATTTCGGAACTCTAATAATCAATGTTAATATAATAAAATAATAATATAAATAAGCTAATATTAATTGCCAGTGACTTTGGGGCAGTGAAAATATATATATAAACAAGCTTTTGCCAAATTCTGTTTTGATATAAAGAATAGACTGAGATAAATAATAAATTCCGAAATAAAACAAACAATATGAATACTTAAATTTTTCAGTATTTGCAATGCTGATAAATACTAATCTGATGTCTGTTACATCTGAACATTGAATTTATGTTTCTCAAAAAACTACTATAGAACAATATTAAGCCAAAATGTTGAAAAATAATAAAAGGAAAATATGCATCAAATATTATATTTTAAATATCTTTGTTGCTTTTACAATCAAATAATCTGCATAATCATCATCTCCTGATTAATAAGCTCATGAAATAATGAAGGAATGAAATAAAAAATAAACTAATGTGTGAAAAGTTACATTTAATACTAATCATTAAGCAAAAGAAAATTAACAGAATATAAAATCTACAGCTTTGTTATGAAAACTGTGTAGACATTTATTGTAATGAATGGTTAAAAAATATTTATATAAAACTCAGCACAAGTATGTTCTCAAGACCAAAAGAAAAATCTTTAAAAAAGGGGGAGGGGGAAAAAGACAAAGTTCTGATGGCAATTGATTAAGTTAGTGCAACTAAATGAAAGGTAAATGGTGGTGTGGTGGTGTGGTGTATTTAATTATGGCAAAGCACACTAGGGCTATCTGCCTAAGGGAAGGGATGCCTTTCGTGGAGGACTTTCTAAGGGAAACTGGCTCGTAGTAACAGGCTACACATAGGGAAAAACCATGAAAACGCCCATGCAGCCAGCCCATTTGCGGGATTCGAACCTCGGACCGAACTACCAGTGTTCAGCGACGTTACCGCTCGGCCGCTGGTGGGCAAATGAGAGGTAAATGAAAATATGTTGAAGAAAATCATTTATGAAAATATCACAACATATTTCCATTGAATATCAATGAAAATATGTTGAAGAAAAGTGCAAAATGTATTAGAGACATAAAATCATGGTACACAAGAAATTTTTAAAGAATAAAAGAAAATATCATACAGACAAACATCTATAACAATAAAAAGGAAATGCAGTTTTAAGTACATTATCATTAAAGAGTAAAGGAATTTTCAAATTGCAATGGAAATAATAAAAAGTAACTAAACAATAAAAAATGTTACGGGCAAAAAGACCCCCAAAAATAAAAAATTGTCTGGCTGTACTTTTTAATAAAGAAAGGAGGTTACAAATAACCTGGCTTAATATACAGTTTCAAAAGATTAAAAAACATTATAAATTCAGTAAGTATTATTATAAACATTTAGTTTGCTATGCATAATATAACATGGGGCAAAAAAGTATACACTTTAATTCCAATATTTCCTTGGCTCTAATTTCCATGTTATGTGACTGCATGCAATACACACACAAAAAAAAAAAAAAATTTAATATACAAATAATAAATTGCTACCTCGTTTAATGTTAACAGCACTGTTAGTATGACATTTAGCTTCACATTCTTGTAATGTACTGAACCGATTCTCATTTCCATGGCATCCACCATATATAAAGCTCTTGCAAACGCTTTCTGTTGAATCATGATACCACACTTCAAAATAACCTAAACATGGTCCTGGATCTTTAGGTTGATTGCAAGGATCTAAAAACAGATAATTTTCATACAATGAGAAAAACTGAATGAAATATATTTGTAAATAAACAGTAAATATTTGATTTACATTGAGATGCAAATTTGAAGTTGGTTTCGAAAATGGAATTTTCATACCACATTTACAGAAAAATCCACAATAGTCATTATGTTTTATTATTAAACATGGAATACAAATTTACAGGAATTGATAATAAACATTGCACTGACAGTTTTTATAATAGTACAGCATTTGATAAATGCTTATTTTATTAATATTGGAAGTTTAGATGAAAATGTGAACCATCTTTCCATTTTAAATGCATCTTACGTAATAGTAACTGGCATAAGAATATGATGATATAATGCACTTACCAATATTTCATGTGATACATAAACATATTTTGATGGTTTTGTGTGAATTATGGTTCACATTCAGTACTTTTTATTGGAAACATGTACTATAAAACAAAGGCATAATTGTAACAAAGGCATTGATGCAAGAATTTCTGTAAAAACGTAATAATTTTAAGTGAAAAATTAAAATTAATGCAATTTTAACTTTACAGACAGAAACAGTACCAAAAACACATGTTTTACTTAATCTCTATCATACAGGCACTCTCAAAGGTTTAGAGTCAGAAAAACAATGCACATCAATGCTGTCCCTTGTTATTGTGTTTCAAACCATACTATATGTGAAAAGGTACATCTAATCAACTTGGTTAGTAAAAAATTTATATGCATAATACTTGATATAATGTTTTTCATAGATATTGCAAGAACAGAAGACAAAACTTCTATGTCACCACGTCAACTGTTAACTATGATTATTTGATCAGTGATTTATAAATAACAAAATATATTTAAACATATAAACACATACCCAAAAAATTCTATATTATTTTTTAAGCTTATGCATGAAGTTAAATGTGTAAATATCACTTTTTGAAATTCCTAGTGAGGCAAGTTTTGTTTTAAATATGTTTGATAAATGAATAGTAAAACAATAAGTATGTTTTTATACAAATCTGAGTTATTACTATAAATTAATAATAAATAACAATGAGGGTAAAATTAATTTTAGTTACATTTCAAGCTGTCTTTGGAAAACAGTATATTGAATAACCTCTACTATTCATTCTTTTTATTTTTGGAAAAAAAAAAAAAAAACTTTTGTTTCTTAATAATGTCCCTGAAAACCATTTAAAAATACATAATTAAAAAAAATTCGATTTTTAGATGTTTGAATTCATGACACACAGTATGAATTTGCTTAAATTAATTTTAGTTTGAATGCCATACACAAAGTACGACTTTGCTTAATTAATTTTGCTTTCTATTTCTCTTTTATCCTTGGTATCAGCAATAATATAAAGATTCATTTTTTAACTCCCTGATCAGAAAAATCCTAGACTTTAGGATTTTCAGGAATTTTTGAATTTGAACTGGACAGTATATAAGAATAAGTTTATACAGAAGTTTTTAAATGACTGTCCCATGATTTATTTATTTTAAATAACTCAATTTTTTCATGTATGTATTCATTATTCACATCCTATATCTATATGACTAACAAAAGATTAGAAATGTGTCTTATTGAATAAAAATGAACTAGTTAAAAAAAAATTAAAGAAAAGTTGTTTTTAAATGAAAAAATAAGAATGAATCATTTGAATGAATAAAAGAGAGAAATATGACAAATATGGAGAGATCATGTGTGTCAAAAACTGAGCTACAAATTTTGTACATCAGATTAAATAGTGTTGCAATTTTTCATATATTTTCCCTTAAATAATAATTATATCTTATTTATAACAAGTTTAATTTCCTCAATGATAAATATCCTACTTTGCTGAATAAAAGAAATGTATTAAAATATTTTCAGGGCAAAAGCTATCATTTTTTGAATTTGATGATACTTTCGCAACAAAACTTCAAAAAGCCTGATGAGATCTCAGACATTCTTGCATTTGGAGAATGAAAAAAATTAATGTTCTTAATATGTAATAATGTAAAAAATGTATTTAAAAAATCTGAAATATACTTTATCTTTCTGTTAAAAATATTTCTTAAGCAATGCCCTTAATTTTAATATTTAAAAATCTTACATATAATCATGAAATAATTAAATCTTCCATCAAAATGAAATTAAATATTTGTAATTCAAATAAAATTAAGCACACATTTGATTTCATTTGAATAAGAATATATAGACAAAATAATTACTTTTATTCAACATTACTTAAAAATTAAAATAAGCACAAACATCTTTTCAATTATGAAAATATTACCTAATTATTTTCAAGAGTAGTTCAAAAAGAAGAGTTTAAATATTCAGTTGAGCAGATTCACACATTATATTTAAATGGATTAAATAAAGAAAGTACAAGCTGGGCTTAATTAATACATTCAAGAAACTAACATATTTCACAAAACCAACTCAAAAAATAGTGATTATAACATATTTAGCTAAAGAATATTTTTAAGGAGTTTTTAAGTATGTGTGTGGGGAGGGCAGACCTCAACAAAACATTTTTCAATCATGTACATTCAACTGTTATCTGTATGGAAACATTTTGAAAGTTAAACATGAATTTTCAGCAATCAAAAGGGGGAGAAAGTAAAGAGTATATTTTCTTTATCCAAATTAGTGATTAGCATCGAATCTCCTAATAAATCAAATTAGGCTTGTAAAATTATTCTAACAGTCTGTTTTGCTATGATGCTATGATTTTCAGTTCTCCTCCAAATAAATCATACATTTTGATATTCTCCATATTCAGAAAATTAAAGTCATGCAATTAAAACCACATGAATTTCAAACAACAATTAGGGGGTCCACAAAAGCTTTGATAAAACTAAATAAATTACATAGTTGAAAAACAATGCATTTTAAATTTTCTGCATTTGTTTATATATATATATTGTGTGTCCCAAATGATTAATACACTGTATTTCATTAGAATAACATAAAAATCCTTTCATATGATAGATATAGTAAGGTATATAAACATCATGCATTATTTATTACAAATAAAGTTTTTAAATAGTGCAACTTTTTAATACAAGAGTTCTCAATAATTCAATATATCACTAATTTCTTCTTACTGATTCAGTTCATAAAATGGGCTTCTGAGATGTATTAAATAGTTTTAAAAAGTACCTTCTGATGAAGTTAAGAAAGCTTTTTAACATTTTACGTAAAATGTAAAAGAAATTAAATAGATTTTTTTAGTGAAGATATTACATAATATGCAGATGAAATTCATTCCGTATAAAATGGTGTTAACTCAAATTAAAATTCACTGTTGAATCTTGCATACTACCCAAAGCTGATGGATAATATGTTGAAGCTTCATTTAAAAAATATTTTAAGTCATTTTTTTACTCAAATAATAATCAATATGACTCAAGAATTAATTTTAGTTTATTTTAAAGTCTAATTCACTATCAAGATTGAATATTTTTTATATCATTCATTAATATGCAAATTTCCTGAACAGTGTGAAAAACATCAAAATGAGCATTTTCAATAGATTTATAAATACCTTTTTTATTTGGTTGATAAAATGACAATTCAATGTATTGTATTTAAAATAATTTTTAATCATAATATTATGTTAATGATACAGAAGATTTTCATGATACATAATTTTCATGGAAAAAAAAATTAGTATTTACCTGAAGATATCAGACTGTCACTTGATGGCCATTTTTTACATTGAATTTCACAAGTTTCTCTGTCATTAAAACGGTTACCATTCCCTTGACATCCACTATAAGAAAACTCTTGACACACGCCATGTTCTCGGTCAAAGTACCATTGTGTGAAAGAACCACTGCAAGGACCACGAATCTTGGGAAGCTTGCATACATCTTCAAATAGAAATACAATTTCAGCAACTAATAAACTACATTCAGAAAGCTGCAGATGAAACACAAAATGATAATAGCTTCCATGAATGTTAAGAAGTTTGAAAAACTTGTTCCCACATAATATCAAAATTCAAATTTTAAAAAATACTTTGAAAAAATTTTAATACATCTAAATAAAAGTTTTATATTGCTGAATCAATGTCTGAAATGCTATCAGAATGAATAATAACATAAAATCCTAAATTTAAAAATATAATATTAAAAATTATTTTGTTACAAGAAACATTTTGCAATGAAAAACTTCGTCAATTTTGAAATGAAACTTTGGTAAATCAACCCTTCAAAAATAAATTTATTATAAAGAGAATTATATTTCTCCATTATAATAGTTTAAGTCAAGAAATAGTCATTTATTAACCCGAAATTAAACATTAAATAAAAATGATTTATTCTTCAAAAAAATATGAAAAAGTATATAGCATGTGGATGCACAAACTTACACAAACTTCATTATAAAATTGACACTTATAGATAGTTTAAATTTTAAAAAAAAAATGCATTTAATACATTGCTACATTTTAAAATTTGTAAATGGTATCACAGATGAATATCTTCTGAGAGTAAGAAAAAAATGAATAAACAGGCAATAATAAAAGATAACTCCTATCATTAAAAAAATGATAAAAAATACTTCAAGTTCAGGGAAAAACTCTATTTTGTTCCAAATCAAGCAGCATGAATTCAGTTATTCTAGCTTACAAGCGCATGAGTGGTAAAGTTTCTGAACACTTGGGATCAGATCCTGGTGAACAGGTTAGCTGCACGGTTGGTTTTCAGGGTTTACCCAATGTGTAACATGGATCGGGGCCAGTTGCCAATAAAAAGTCTTCCACAAAGGCATCCCTTCCCCATAGGCAGATAGTCCTTGAGTTGCTTTGCTTTAATCAATAAGCCTAACCTAACCTGATCTGAAATGCATTCGATACTCCGAGGTATCAAAGGATTAAGATATTTTTCAGTATGAAATCTGTATCAAACCTCACATCACGTAATTTTTTGTTATGAACCTACTTGGGTATATGAAAACTAAAAAAATCAATGACAGTGTGAAAAGAAACTTTATAACAGATTCTTAAAAGTAATTCTGTTTCAACTGTGCATAGTCCACATATCTCAGATAATCTTCAGGCAGATAATGACTGCAACATACAATATTTTTGCTAAAGCATTTTTTGTTGTTTTGTAAGAAAAGGAATTTGGTGAAAATTAGTATTATTATTAAAACGCTGCCTGGACTGGTATAGTGAATACCAATCCTTGCTGTTATATTGCTAGGGCTCGGATTGTAATCCCAGAGAAAGCTTCGATGTTTGTCAAGGCAACATCGAGATATTCAAAATACTGGCGAGTTGAAAGTACTCTTGTGAAGATTAATGGTAAGGATAAAGGGGTGAAAGAAACTTTGGATCTGTTTCCCTGGGGTGTCCTTCATCTAAACTGGAATGGAATGTTGTTATGGGTGTAAAATCTGTTGTGCCCTGTGATGGACACTAGGCAGCATTCCTGCTGATGAGAAAGCTAAATGACCAATGAGTATTGGCCATTCAAAATGAATACATTAAAGCTGCAGATATTAGCCATTTCAGACAACATTATTATTAAAAATTTTACACTATAAAGTCACGTAATTTAATGCATTTATATATTATTTGTAATATTGCATATTAAAATCACTAAAACACCATTTTTTTTAAGTTTAGCAGCTTTTGATTCATCTTTTAGATGAATGCATATTAATTCATCATATAAATGAATAAAATTACCACTTTGTCAAATAACATTTCATGTAACAAGAATTTTTCAATATTACCCATATTTAGGGAAAGTTCCAAATTTACCGTATAATTTTTCATAATTCTGCTTTTCCCTCACAAAAATGAAGAGAAGTGATGGGTTGGTGGCTCTTAATAGAATGTCTTACTTAAGATCCCTGTTTGTCATTAGAACCCTAAATAATTCTTCAATTCAGGCTTCTAAGTCAGAAATAAATACTGCACTAATGAAAATAACACAGTTTTCTGTCATATTATACATATTAAAAAAAAGGAAATACAAAGGGAGGTTATGTGATTCCTTAAAAATAATAATTTGATATCATACCCTGGGAAGCAGCACATTTTACTTCGCATTCCTTCTTAGTGTTGAATCTATTTCCATTACCTCGGCATCCTCCGTAATAAAACTGCTTACATACCCCATCTTTGTCATAAAACCATTGAATTTTTCTTCCACTGCAAGGACCAGCATCAGGTTCGAATGAACAAAATTCTATATAACATTAAAAGTATGAAAAAAATAAGTTTGAGAAAAGTTATTAAATAATTAGTAATTTATTTAAATCTTTAGAGTAATTATTATTTAAGGAAAATAAGAACTATTACAAAAACTTCATTGCCATCTCTTTTTAGATAGATAAAAAAGTGCCTAAAAGATAGATACATTTTTAAATATTAAAAATAGGAAAATAGCTACCATGTATGTAAAAAGACAAAATTTTAAAATGCTAAATCATGAAAATTATTACCGAAGTTACCACCATGGTTGCCAACTTTCACAACTGGCATTTCTAGTAACAAAGAATTTTACATCATGTAATATGGGAAAATGAACATATTAACCACAGTTCAGTGTGCCTTCATATTCAGTTTTTTTTTTAATCTATATTTATAAGCACAGATACAGAGATGATTTTATACATTAGAAACATAAGGAATGCATTTTTAAGGAAATAGCATTGGTTGCGCAAATATGAATCAACAAGGCACACGAGAGGTGGAAGTATGAAGTCAATCAAATGACAGATAGCCACAAGTTACAAATGCCAAAAACGCGTATTAAAAAATTCCCTATAGTTATGTGAAAAATTCTTTATTCCAGCTTTTCCATTGGATGTTGATGGACTGAAAGTTATAACAGCTCACCCAGATGACTGGCAAAAGCATGTTATAAAAAGGACGAGATATATAGGATTACAAAATGGATATATGTTACACTGTTAAAGCAGCTCATGGTGAATACTTTTAAAATGAATAAAGGTTTAATTTAAAATAGTAGTAGTTTAACTACAGTACAAAATCTGAAATCCGAACATCCATTATCCAGAATGATATAAAATCCAGACCTCAAAACCACCACCAACTTTTTTTCTTATAGACTTTATGCATGCACATTTGATTCCCCCTCCATACATAATAAAACATCTGGAGAGTCCCGATTATTAATTTCACTTCGACACTAAATAAAATACCTTGTTATTGAAGAAATAATCATTTTAGCATAAATTTGTACGATCAGTAGGTTGGCTCCGTTGCTACGTATTTGCTTGACACATATCTCAAACCGAAACATTTCACATAGATACATCGTTGATCTGACACCGACCTGGTGAATCATTATCTATTATATTTTCCTTTCATCACAGCATCAAATATGACAATTTGTGCCAGCCCTCAATACGGGTTAAGTATATATGAAAATTTATTTATTCAGAACTCTAATAAGCCTTAAGCATGTGCAAGAAATAGACATAAGTATAATAAATAACTAATACAATTCAGGCTTAATTGTCTCTGCACGATAGAAGCAAGATAAAATTTAACAAAACAACTTGTCATTAGTCGCCAAGCTCATGATGCATAGCCAAATATGTATAGTGAAGGATAGCTAAATTTGATGATGATAGCCGCTAATTTTAAAAGTTTTTGGATATCGCAAAATAAAAGTGAGATTTTCCAATTAATGGATTTTATAAAAGAAATAAGGAGAAGCGGTAATAAATGAAGATGATATAAAAGAAGTTTTTCATTGTGATGACAATGCTTCTCAATCATCAATCAATTAATGAATGGCAAAATTTGTAGTATGGTTCTAGATCCATAAAATACCTCTACCGTTAGTGAAGAAAGTGACAGAGAAGTTACTGAAAACAAGAAAATTTCAATTGACAAGTTAGTATAAATTCTTGAAACAGCAGTTACAAGACTTCAACAATGTAACTAAAATAAGAGATAATTGTCTGTCTACAGAATTAGAAAGAAAGTGTTATCACAAAAAATGAAGCAACTTAAACAACTTACATTGAAAGAAATGTTTAATAAGGTAAATAAATGAATATTAAGCTTTTCTGTAAATTTTGATACCCTTTAGATCATAAATACTTCATTATTTCATAATTTTTATTTTATAATTTCTACATGGCAACTTACTAGATTTAAACTGATGATCTAATATACGGAAAAATCCCAAATCCGGAATCGCCGAAGTCCCAGCGAGTCTGGATTTCGAACTTTGTACCGTATAAGACTATAATACTTAATAATGCACAAAAATTCAAAAATTATTTTTAGATATTATTGATTTTACAAGCTACCTTTAAAAGTATTAATCTGTTGTCTTATAACATAATTTTAATTTCGTATGCAAGGATATCTATACTAAATCTGAAACTGGGATACACATAACAAGTAAATTTCTAACAAATAAAACATACCTAAACTAAATTCTTCAAGTTCACCATCAAAACTTCTTTCACACTGCTTTTCACACTCTAAATGTGTAGCAAAGTTGTTCTCATTTCCACCACAACCACTGAAATAAAAGCGTTGACACCTTCTTTCATGAGAATTGTAATACCATCTTTCTCTGAACTCATAACAATTTCCTACTGCTTGGGGTAACTGACAAATGTTTGGCTCTAAAATGAAAGCAAAACAAGTATTTTATACTGATAAATTAAAGCTTCTTACTTGAGATATTACGTTTTTGCATGAAATAACAAACATGATTAAAAAAAGAATTTTATGTAAGAACAAATGTAAATTGTCAAAACTAAAGATTTCTAAAATAGTCATGTCTAACAGCTTCAAGCATTAAAAATGTAAATACTATTTACATGTAACACTTGTCTAAAAATAATGTCAAGAATTAGGCGTTCTGCCACTTTTTTACCTTTTAAAAAATTTAATTTTGTATGCTAAATGAGAAATTAAAGTATTTAAAACTTTTAATATTTAAAGAAGTTCCATTTAAATCATAACAAGTCATTTACAAGTAATATATGCAATCAGGAATTCAAAGTTATACTTAGGGGTTTCAGTATGACATTAATCATTTCAAAATCATGATGTAAAGAGTAATTATTTCAACAGTGTTCTCTAAAAGTAAGATTTTCTGTGTAGTGTTGAGCACTATATTATATTAAGATTACTTTTCTCTTAAAAAATTATGAACATGCAGCTTTCTAATCAGTAATTACCTTGAACTACAAGCTTCATGAACCTATTGATGGTTGGACCTTTTTTAAAATCTATTCGACATCTATACTGTCCTTCATCTTCAATTCTGATTTTATGTATTGTTAGGGCTGTCATGTGTTCACTATCATGAACACTGTATCTGGGATCACTTCCTCGACTTGCTACTGAATTTTTGCCATGACCGCTGTCTCTACGATCAGTGCCATGAATGGGATAAGCAGAATCACCTTTGTACCAAAGAAATAAGATAGCTTCATCATCAAGAGTAGTGGGTATTGCTTTGCATACCATTGTAATGTGTGATCCAATAGTAGCATTGTATACTGCAGTGAAATCTGGAAATAATAATAATAAAGAAAAACATGATTTTCATTATAACATGAAATGCACTCTCTGAACAAAAGAAAAATTACTAAAATAAATGTATTGAATATTTCATACATTATTTATGAAAATAAAAATATCTTTGCTACATCCAGACCTAAATATGTCTGGTTAGCAACACAAACTTAATTCTCAGTTTTGTAAAAGAGAAATAAAGTATCTCAGTTATTATATTTTAAAAAATAATGAGGTATGAAAAAACACAATTTAAATTTGATAGACATGCAGAAAAAACTACAAATGCAATAAATTTCAATGATAAAGCTGTTTTAAGAATAATTGGCATTTAAATGTACTTATTTATTTTAATTTTTATTTATTTGCAATAATGAATAATTTTTATTTATTCATTTGCAATAATAAAATGTTATAAACATACTTGCAACAGCATATCACAACTTTTTTGTGTTTTGCTGAGTTTTACAGAATCCTGATTTCTATACATGATCATAAAATTAATGAAGAGTTTTAGTGAAACTAAAAACTGAAAACATTTAAAATCAATTCGAGTAATTTAAGAAATATGTGTAAATAAAGGACTGTGATTTTATATACATAATATGCACTGAAAAGAATCTCATTAAGGTGAAAAAAAGAACAGGATATGTCAACTGACTTCAAAGCACATATTAATAACTTCTACTGCAGAAGTTAAATTATTAAAAACTATAAAATGATTAAAATGGAAAGAAACCTTTTGGCTTGGAAGTGACACACTTCTGCATGCATTCTTTTTCAGATTCAAAATTATTTTTATTTCCTTTGCAACCACCATATATAAAGGGTTTACAAACATTTTCAGAACTGTGAAAAAACCACCTTTGGGTAACCTTTTTGCAAGGTCCTACATCCATTGGCTGATCACAAGCATCTGTAAGATAAGAAAAAAAGAATTAAAACATAATACTTAAACCGAAATGTGAAGCTAAAGCTAAATTATAAGCATGATGTTGTTAAGTTTCAAAAGGTTGACAGAGAATATAAAGCATAGTTTGATTCTATACAGAAATGCTTTTGAATGGTCAGATTTTTTTTTAAAAATTTAAATAAAGTTTTGAATGGCCAGATTTTTTTTAAAATTAAAGTATTTCTTGTTGCAAAGGATTTTCCCTCCCATTATTTGGATGTAGAGGTTTCTGCTTTCTAAAATATAAAATGGCTGGGAAATCCACAACCATAAAAACTTACATTACTTTTATAAGTTACATCATATGAATTATACACACATTATAATATTTCTTTTTATTTAAATGCTTTCAAATAAAAGTTTAAAATTTATAAAAGTTTACGAATAGAAAAAGAGCACTTGTAAATCATTCTTAATAAATATGCTTTCTTTTAGTAAAAGCAAAGCAAAACAAAGGTATAATAATGAAAATCAAATAACTTTGATAATGCTCAAACACTGTAATTAAGCAAGTTACAAGCTTCTCCTATACACAATGAGTTTGTTTTAATTTAGTAAAACACTACTGCATTTTCTGAAATAAATTTTTATTTATGTAACAAAACAAAAGACGAACGAAATATGGATTCTTTCTCTGTTATGTAAAATGTATTCTGGTTTTATTTTCTATATTTAAGTACAGAACACGAAACAGTACTTTTGTGTAAAGTAAAATATATAACATAAAAATATGTTTTTACATGTACACAAATTATCAGGTCACAGAGTGGATGTTCAGCTGACTTACAGAAAAAAGAACAGATGAAAAATCAAATAAAGTTGGAACAAATGAAAGTTTTAAAAGAAAATTATTCGTAAATAATTCATCTGGATAAAATTGTTTTAGAAATGAGTAAAAGAACTAAAATAGCTGTAAATGAAAGTGAAATTAATTATATTGAGAAGTTAAAAGATTCTTTCATGGGTGGAAATTTAAAATAAAATTATTATTTATGCCGCCTGATTTATGCAACATAGTGACACGAAATGAAAATTTAAGGGATACAGAAGATGAATCTAAAAGACTAAAAAAGAGTTCGAAAACATATTACATCTTCTACAGATAAGGCTAATGAAGCATATAAATTGAACAAATTCAAAAGATACATTTGATAAACTGCATTATATATACATCAAAGAGATTTAGAACAACAAAAAATTTTTCTCACTACAAGAATTTTTAATATTAAATATGAAGATGGAATGAATGCAGCTTCTTATATTAGGAAAATAGAAAACCTGGTTTTTAGATAAAATGCATTAAAACAACAAATTAATGAAAACATTTGATTTTGATTATTTCTCAAATAATAAATATAAATATCTCATTAGAGCTTAGGAATTAATGCCATCTGGTGATAAAATGTTAACAAATTTAACAGCTAGATTAATAGCAGAAGAAACTAAAATTGAGGCCGATGATATAAAAACAAATGCAGGTGCATTTAATGCTAAAGTAAAAAACAGAAATGTTTTAATAGTAAAAGTGTTGGCCTTATTGGTAGTTTTTATAATAAAACCAACTTAACCAAGAAGATGAATTTCAAATATAACAAAAAGACAAGCCATTTAGTAAAAAACTGTTTTAATAGTAAAAGTGTTGACCATATTGCTACTTAACCCAAAGGGCAATTTGCCCAGAAGGGCTATTAATTTAGTTCACGCATTTTGCGTTGGTTCACTTTTCAAATTATTGCCACAAAATATTACAGCCCGGCATTATATTTAAAGAAATTAAATAATGAAGAATCTGCATGAATGTATACATGTTTCTCGCATTGTGAAAAAACGACGATACCTAGAGACATCAAATTTTGAATAACATAGTCCTCCACTCGAATATGGGCATCTTTAAGTCCGAATTCACTTTATTATCTATTTCATGTTTTGTAAAACTTTAACAAATTTTTTATTAACAAACTCAAAGATTTCAAAGCATTACGTTAACATTAACATTGTGTGCATCTTCAAGCACGAATATTTTATGTGAAGTTTCTTTTTTTGTGTGTATGATATTGCTGTTGAATTGAATTTTATGGCTTAAATAGGATAAACATGATACTTAATAAATAAAAGTACTTTTTTGTAAAAAAGAGTTCTCTATCTTAAAAAAAGGGTGGGCGAACAGATTTGTAAAATATGTCAGTAAAATAATTATAATAATTAAGGTTGCTTTTTCTGCAAAGATAAAAATCGAGTTGATGAGCTCGTTGAGGACTTGGTGAATTGGTAAAAAATGCTTGTTTGGCTAATTTCTTGGCTCACAGTTAATGTTCTGTTCATAAATAATTACAAAAAGAAACATTTTATGAAGAAAAATAAAAATTTATATGCTCATTTACATTTTTACAACCAGTCAATAATGTTCCATAAAATAACAGTTAACTATAATGTACCTAAATATTATGTATGTATTAATTATAATACATGTAAATCCAAGTACATTCAAACACACGCAGGGGTTGATTATTGTCATTTGTATACTAAAAAATATGACTGTTCTACTGAATGTTCAAACCGGGGGCATAGATAATCAGAAAGTGCCCATAACAATTATTTTGAAAATAATTTCACTTCTGAATATATAATTGTAGTACATAAGTATGCTGGCATATTTTACAAGAATTCATTTACTTCCTCAAAATATTATCCTGTAATTTATCTGTTTTCATCTCCACTATGTTTTGAGCATTATTTTCTCTGTGTATAGACTCCTTTAAAAATAACATAATTGTGCATATAAAAATTATCAAAAATTTTTATATGCACAATTATGTTATTTTTAATAATAATAAATAATTTGTAAGATGTAAGCATGTTTCAGGTATTTATATGGAAACAAGCCTAAATTTAAAATAAAATTTAGCATGGTTAAACTGTAAACAAAATTTTGAATTATATGACATCTAATCTGTAAATGAGTTTGCCCCATTATGTTCAGATGATTGGAATTATACTGCTTACTGAATATCTTTTCCACATGAAAAACAAAAAGGAATCAATAAGTGTTTACTGTGTATTTAAAAAATGAATGAATTGTTAATTAATTGATCAAATTGATGTAAATAAAACTATTAACGAGCAAATAAAAAATTTGCTAGATATATAATTAAGTAATTAATTCTTCATCATACCTAGAGGAGCTTGCTTGACACAAATACTTTCACATATTTCTTTGCTTGCGTATCGGTTATTATTGCCAAGGCATCCACTGTAATTGAAAATTTTACAAGAATCTGTCTCGGGTTCATAATACCATGAAGGATAAGTGCCTTTGCAAGGACCCACAACTTTAGGCAACATACATGCATCTAAAATGATAAAAAAAAAAAGCATAAATTGTGTATTTCTTCAAAAATTACGTACTGTGTACACAAATTTTAAAATATAAAATAGTATTATAAACTTTATTAGCATTGATAATTTCAATATCATTATTGTTAATTTCTATAATAATTTTTACATACAGTATGTTTCAAAAAGAATATATGCATTTCGAATGCATATATTTATTAAACTGTATGACATACGAATATGAAACTTTACACACATGTGTATGAACCTCTCAAGTTCAGATTACAGATGTTCAATTTATCCTCCATCAGCAACAATAACATTACTATACATTTTTAAACATTTAGCCTGTCTGAGAGCTCTTGAACTCAGATTTTCAGAGGTAGCTTTTCTTTTAAAGGTTCTTGTTTACAAAGGATGGTTCTGCAGAGTGGACATCATCTTCGAGGCTGAAATTTCTAAGCCTAAACCTTCAAACCAGCTTTGAACTGTGTCATCAGAAACAGCACTTTGTCCATTTCTGCCACAAACTTTACAAGCTAGCATTTTGAACTTTTTTTAAATAAAAGAGCATAATATGAAAAAGAAAAAAATTTACTTTTGAGTTCACCATTCTTATCGCTGCACTAACTGAAAAATTATGCCACAACACATTCTAGCAATACACTATAACAGCAGAAAAGACCATATTTTAAAATCTGCTTTGATCAATGTCACTTCAGCAGTAACAAAATAATTAGAAGAAAAAATTACTCAGTTAGAAAAACAAAAGAACTTTCTGGATGTCCTGATATTTAGTAAACAAGTGGTTGCAGTGTTCATAGGCACATAAACATGTTAATTCTAAATTTATGTTTAGTGTTTGCACTGGTTCAGCATAATGTTCATACTTAAAATTTCATATCTTTGTTAAATTTTAATTGCAGATTCGAATTTTCTCTTGCTAGAACTTTATTACTCATATTTCTCCCCCTCAACTTCATGCACATTCTTGTAATCTGAATCTCTTCTATACTCAGATAAACTAAACTCTTAACCTTTCTGCATTTAATAAAAGAAGTTTAATATTCCTATTTTATCATGGAGCTGCCAATAAATTTAATCTGACAAGAAACAAAATGCTAAAATATCAAAGAAATCATCCATTTTAATGAAAAAATTTAATTCTTCATATACTTTTTAGTTAAAATTTAATTCCTAGTTACTAGAACAGTGTTATGAATTTCTACCAACTGATGTTGATAAGAATCCAGCTGCTTCAAATTAATTTTTCCATTGAAGCATCAAAAATGCGTTTTCTACATTAAACTGTAAGGGGTTTTCAAAAGATTTTCTTTCATTGACACTCCTGCTACTAATAAGTACTACTACTAATAATAACAATAATGTCACCATTACCTTTTACAGCATGATATATTACTAAACTTATAATAAGCAATATGCAGAATGCAAATGCTCAAAATCTGTATTTTAATGAAAAATGTCCTTTGCATGTTCACTCAGTTATCCTATACTTGATTGCTTGTTAACTGAAAGAAAAAATAGTTAACTCCTGGTTTAAGAAGGGAGTACCATGGATAACATTCACGGCTAACTCAGAGCCATGGTTAATCTTAGGGCAGTTAAAAAGAAATATCCCATGTTATAATCAACCAGATAATACTATTAACAATTTATATATATTACAGTCAAAAGTCGTTAATTCGGACACCTATAATCCGGAATGATCTATAATCCGGACCTCAAAGCTAAAAACTTTCTGCGCATGCGCCGCATTGGCACATGCGCACAGTCATTTTACGCGTGCGCGTAAGACTTTGACTACTGTGCATATGAGTGTGCACAAGTGCAGAATACGTTTTTGCCTGCGCGTTTAATGTATAACGGACGGTATAAGCTAAAATTATCTAATTATCTATTTCAGTTAATGTTAATGATTGCGTTGTTCCTTAATCTTCGAATTGGATCCCACTTATTATTTTTTGCAGACTGTAACAGCAATTTTATAAAAGTAAACTTGAACTTTCGATTATGTCAAATAGAATTTCCGATGCTGGAACTTCCAAAGGATCTACAAAACGAAAGTATGTTTCAATGTCCAACAAACAAAAGTGGAATTGTTGCAAAAAATGGATAAAGACATGAAGAATGTGACAGAGAGTTTAGTGAAAACGAAAAAATTTCGATTGACAAGTTAGTCGGTATTCTCGGCACAGCAATTAACGGGACTTGAACAGCGAAACTTTGTAACTGAACAAGAAATTATGTCTGTTTATAGAATTAAAAAGAAAGTATTATCACATAAAACAAAGCAACTTAAACAACTTGCATTGAAAGAAGTGTTTAATAAAGTAAACAAATAAATATTAAGCTTTTTTTTTTTTTTTTTTTTTTTTTTTTTTTTTTGGTAAATTTTGATATTCTTTAGATCATAATTGTTCTTTATTTCATAAATTACGGTTTCATATTATTAATTTTAGAATTTCTGCATGCCATCTTACGAGATTTAAACTGATGATCTATAATCCGGAAAAATCGATAATCCGGAATCGCCGAAGTCCCGACGAGTCCGGATTAACGACTTTTGACTGTACTAAAGAGTTTGTTACGCCTACGCACGCATCTAATTACTAGCGTCTGTGCATGTGTTTAGAGCTCTTAGAGTTTGTGACATAAGATTGTGAGCTAAGAGCATGAGAGAGAATTTGTGGCTTCGAGTGGCCAAGAACCATGTAAATTAATGAGAATAAAAGTGTGATACAGTCAAAAGTCGTTAATTCGGACACCCATAATCCAGAATGATCTATAATCCGGACCTCAAAGCTAAAAACTTTCTTTCTACGCATGCGCCGCGTTGACACATGCGAATAGGCATTTACGCGTGCGTGTAAGACTGCGCATATGAGTGTGAGCAAGTGCAGAATACGTTTTGGCGTGCGCGTTTTATGGATAATGGACGTATAAGCTAAATAATTATCTATTTCAGTTAATTTTGATGGTTGCGTTGTTCCTTAATTTTCGAATTGGATGCAGCTTATTATTTTATAAAAGTAAACTTGAACTTTCGATTATGTCAAACAGAATTTCCGATGCTGGAGCTGCGAAAGGATCTACAAAACGAAAGTAGGTTTTGATGTCCGTCAAACAAAAAGTGGAATTGCTGCAAAAAATGGATAAAGACATGAAGAAGGTGACAGAGAGGTTAGTGAAAACGAAAAAATTTTGATTGACAAGTTAGTCAGTATTCTCGGCACAGCAATTACGGGACTTGAACAGCAGTACTTTGTAACTGAACAAGAAATTATAATTAAAGAGAAAGTATTATCACATAAAACGAAGCAACTTAAACAACTTACATTGAAATAAATATTAAGCTTTTTTTGTAAATTTTGATACCCTTTAAATCATAATTGTACTTTATTTCATAAATTACGGTTTCATATTTTTCATTTTAGAATTTCTGCATGCCATCTTACGAGATTTAAACTGATGATCTATAATCCGGAAAAATCGATAATCCGGAATCGCCAAAGTCCCGACGAGTCCGGATTAACGACTTTTGACTGTATAATACAGTCCATTGCTCCCAAGTTTATTATAGTGTAGTGCCTGAACAAAACAGAGTTTATTCCGGACATTAAGTTCATTTATTTACAAAAATTAAATCAGTACTTAAAACAAAAGGAACATGCTGTAAATAATAAAAATCAAACATTATTAGATTATTAGAAATAAATAGCACTGAAGAACAATACTTGCAAAAGAACTTGAACTATGCCATCGATGTCAAACTTGGATAAAGAAGTTGGTTAAAATTTTACTTTTTGAAAAAGTGTTCTTTTTCAAAAATGTATGTTTCAAAATGTTTCAAAATATGATGATGTATCTTAATTATGCACATGTATATTTTGCACTGGAGTGAATAAAAGCCACTTTCAAATATCACAACATGATCTGCTATTCTTTGTTATACTACATAATTTTCTTTTTTGTATTTTCTGCAAGGGTGTATGTCGATGGTTTGTGATAGTAATTTTCCCATTGTTTCACAATAAACAAACTTAATTCTAGGACCCAGGTAATCCATTCAACTAATTTGGAGTAGAATGTATCACAGTTTTTCATGTATTTAATTATCCTTATGACTCTCAGATTTGTACAATTTTGTTTTCAGATTCAAATTTAAATTCAGTTTACAAATTCAGATTTGTAAAATCTCAGATTTGTTCAGAAATGCAGAAAAGTTTTCATTAATTTTAATTGCTGCATTACCATTTTCAGGACAAAAGATAGGAATTTCTGTCACTTTGTACTTTTTATAATGAAGAATTTAAAAGCCATACTTATCAAAACAGCACTTTTAATCTGTCCAGGCTCTAGCTGAAAATGCTGAGCAATTTAGAAATACAGTCAAACCCTATCATAACAAGCTTCAAAGTACAGGAAGTTTGGTTTGGTTCAAAGTACAGAAGTTCTAGTTCGATAAAAAAATATTATTTCACAAAATTGTGTAAAAATTGAATGATGAATAAAGAAAAATCTGATTACATCTAACAAAAGAAGGAAGTAATAAATTTAATTAAAAATCATATTAACTACAGTTATTATTATGTGGCTATTAAATTTGTTGTTCCTTTTTTTCTAGTCTTTCCAAAGTGTCTAGCAAATTCATTGGCTTTGTCTGAGGCATTTGGATAGATACTGGTAAACTGCAGCTTCTTTAATGGCAAACCCTTTCAATAATGATTCTTCAACAACCTGTTCTCCGCTTATTTAACTTTTTCCTCTTATCCAAATTTTTTCCATGCACGGAAATTACAGAGTTTCCATATGGTACCAACAGTGGATTTTAACAAATTGAATTTCATTCAGATATTAATTTGGCTGCATCTATTTTGTATTTTTCAAATAAGGTTCATTGTATCTTCACTTCAGAAGCTTTACATTTACAGTGCACCATGCAAATGAATTTTTGACATAGAAATAGAGACCAGAGAGGTTGGTCAAAGAATATATCAGTTCTGCTCTTGAGAAAAATATAAAAAAGGAAGATAATTTCATCACTTATGTGTCTTATCCAAATTCTGTTGATTTCATCACCTACATGTCTTATCCAAATATGGTAATACAGTAGGAACACAAACATTTTTCCCAAGATATGTATCATTGCAATACAAAGGTTCAATAACCTGTGTAAAGAATATCTTATGCCTCACAAAAGATCTGAAAATTGCAAAATCCCTATTTAGAGGATAGAAATTGGAGAGCATTTATACTCAAACAAAACCTACTGATAAGGATCAAAACGTTTTATTCCCAAGAAGATGAATCAATTGCAGAATCACAAGCTCATAAGATCCAGTACTACTTCTTTTCCGGACTAGTGAAAATTTCATTCATAGCACCAGCCTGGAATACAGTTCTGTCTGGCAATGAATAAAGTTCAATCTGTCAGTCAAAGAATCTGAATGGAATGAAAGAACCTATCGCAATTTTTCTCATTCAGTGGTCATGTACACAATGTGGCATCCTAAGATATGCTTACTGTATCCTCATTCTTCAAGAATTGAGTGTCACACCTGTCTGTTGTGAACATAGAGAAAAGTGGGGTGAATATAAAAGAAAAATCTCATAAAGGTGTTCTGTTTTAATGCATGGAATGCGGATACTGGTATCCAAAACATAGTAATTTTCTCATTAAATCTTGCAGAAATTCTAGAAAAAAATACAAACAAAGCTAGAGTCTAAGATATCCATAGAGTTTGCTATATTCGATTTTCATAGTGTTGGAGATTTGCTATAATAGCATAGAATATCATTCAGTGTACAGGAAACTGGATGGCACCAAAAAGTGCATTCATTATATCTGGGATTTGCTATAAACAAAGTTCAACTGTATGCATAGCAAAAAGTAGATAAAGCAGTTTTTATAAAATTACTGGAAATGATATAAAAAAACATGCTCTAATTGCATTTGCCATGCAAGAAAATCAAAATATTGATCAAGGAGATATAATGTATGTTATCTTTTGATTGATACATTCTTGATAAATTATATTACAGTTTACCATATTTTATACCTTCATATACATATATATAATACAACACTTAATAAAAGCTTTCTAAAAACACTACCTAATATCAAAGATGAGATGGGCACCGACTTGTAGAAATCGATACTCTGAAAAAATAAGCCAAAATGAATAGTTTTGTTTAAGAAAATGCATGTATGCTTGGAAGCACCTAATTGTAATAATCAACATTTTCTGTTATGAAGGGAGTTAAGTGTCTGCAAAGGTTTTCATGGCTTGTTGAAAATATCAGCAATATCGTAATGAATTGACAGCAATGAACTTGTTGCTTCTCGTGTAAGGCCCCAACGCTTCCGCTAATTTGTGTTATATTTAACTTAAAAAAATTAATTTTCAACATTTAATGGAAAAATGACATTTTGAAGTTCTTAAATTGTAATCTTCCTCATATCTTACTGTTTCCATGAAACTTTATTTTCAAATATGAAAAAATCAGTTTGAAATAAATGTAAATATCCTAAAATAATGAATACTAGATCTTGCATGAGTAAAGAAAGGGACTTTCCCCAATGTTCACATAAAATAAAAATGCTAAAAATGAAGGCAGGCTCTGCTCATATTCTAATTTATTTTAGTATATATAAAACGATTTACATAACATTTCATTTTAAAATATAGATTTTTATAATAGAAAAGGTATTTTTATTCAAATTTGCTAAATAAAACTATCAAACATTAAAAAAATAATTTTGACATATATACCTGGTCCTTCGGGTTTCACACAAACTTTTTCACATTGTTCTTGTGAATTGAATTGATTCCCATTACCATCACAGCCTCCATACCAAAAGCGACTGCAACCACCATATGTTACATCAAAATGCCATTTGATACTGAAGTTATGACAAGGGCCCCGTTCTTTAGGCAAACTGCAAACTTCAGCTAGAAATGTAATTTTTTAAAACTTTAGCAGCTGTATAATAATAAAACATAAGAAATTGAATACTACCAAAATTAACATTCAATAATATTCAAGCAGGCATAAATAAATACTATTTAACAACATCTTTAACAAATATTTATATTCATAAATAAGCAAATTCAGCATATGTTTACAAGCAGGGCTGTGGAGTTGGAGTCAGGCAGATTTTGGGGTAAAAGGAGTTGGAGCTGGAGTCGCTAAAAACAGGTCGACTGCAACTCCAGTTTTCGTTGGACAGTTTGAATTTGAAATGAAATTAAAATGAACTGAAAAAAAATTAATGACAAGATGAGTATTTTTATTCATGGACTATATAGTATGACGAGATGAGTTATTATTTTTATTTATGGACTATATATGACAAGATGAGTTATTACTTTTATTTATGGACTATACGCATTAATAAATAGTTATGTTCTACTTTATTGACATATTAATAAATAAATATAAGGGAGGAGAATGCATGTGATAATTGCCATTAGTGATTAAACTGATTCATTTAGTTACAAATTTCACTGGTAAATTTAGGTAAGCAGCAACAGCAGCAAGAACTCCAAAATTGATGCTATTCCTTAGGAAGTGAGCAGGAAATGGAGCAAAGGAGATCGAGCAATGCGATAAGGAAGTACATATTTGATGATAAAGAGGTTGTTAGAATTAAGAACTTTTTAGAAGATGTAGATAATCATTATGTTTCACTAACAAACAGAAAGACTGTGGAATGAGCTTGCACAATTTGAAACTTCTTTCTACACCATATATAGCCACAAAAAAGTTGCAATCTGAAGAATTGACAGGTTGCGAGAATGGAAGAATGGGATGTTTGTTCTTTCTCAAATGGTGGGTTTATTGCAGAAGGAATCATTTCTTCGATGAAGAAAAGAGAAACTAGTTTGCTAGACAAATGAGATCTTGCTGGGTTCAATATGTGTAGATCCAAAACACTGAATTTTCTTGCATGATGAACAAATTAAAAAGGCAAAGAAAGCCATCTATGAACTTTCGTTAAGAATGAAGTTATTCTCAGAACAATTGGAGAATTCGAATTAGATATAAAAATGAAAAAACACAAACACGATTTTTACACGGCCTTTGAAGAAATAGAGAAATATGATTGTGCTTGCAAGACACCTCTTTTAGAACTTACAAAAATCTATCCTGAAAAGTTAAAAGAAGTAGCCTTAACAGTAACAGCTCTTCCTCCCACTCAAGTCAATGTGGAAAAACTCTTCTCAGCTCTGAAGTTTATCAAATCGGATCTATGGCCCTCCAACAAAGGAGATCTTGCCGAAGCTATACTGTTTCTTAGAAATAACTAACGCCAGTTTTTCCATTTCATAATAAATGCTAATTAATATAAATAATTTGCTATGCCATCCATTTTTTCCTGTATCATCTATTACTTCTTTTATATTAAAAAAAAATAACCTGTAAACTATGTGTATGTGGTTAAAACACACACACACACACACATATATATATATGAGGGAGCTTTAAAATTCCAGGAGTCAGAGTCAGATTCAGTCATTTTCCCTACTGACTCCACAGCCCTGTTTACAAGTAGATTTAAGAAATGTATTTTTTTAATAGGTCTGTTCGAGTCAAAAATTAAAGTTTAAATGTCCTCAAATTTCATGGTAAATAACGAACAAATTTAAGTAATAACATGCAACAGTGTGTATTTCGGCATAAAAAAAAAAAAAGCATGCGGACATTTTAGCAAGAGTATTCTGCTTTTTTCATTGCTGACTATTGAAAAACACAAAAATAATATTTATGATAGCAATGATTTTGGAAATTGCAAAATTTTAAATATATTGTCAAAAAATCTAATGCGAAGTAATGAAGCTTTTTACATTTTTGGCTTTTAGGGTATGTTTTTTATATTGTAAATTTACTGATTCTCATATGCTTTATAACTGAGTAGGGAGCCATGTTTTAAAATAATTTGTAGAAATTCAAATAATAGTGTTATTGGATAATATAAAGGGGGGATACTTAAACCAGGACACATCTCTGAAATTTTGTATGCCATATAAGAGGAGATAAGAAAAGAAATATTGCAATAATTATTATCAACAGAATAGCATAATATGGATAGCATGAGAACAAGTATACATTCTAAAAATGTCTTAGGCAATTAAATTCATAAGTGAACTCATAGTGGAGACTGAATAAGCATTTATCTTGGAGGGATAGGTAGGAAAAAGTCATTGAATAATGGTAATCAGATCTGGTAAATGGTATAAGATGAAGTGAAACCATAGAGTTGGATACCTCAATAATTACTAAAAGACAAATTATTGTTTTTAAAATGAGCTATAAATACGCATGACTCGTAACTTTTGTGACATTTTCAAAATATAGGCAAGACATTTTCAAAATATGGCATATAGTAATATATAATAATAAATTTTCAAAATATATAATCCTTATATCTAATTCTCAAACAAAAGTTCAGTATCATCTACAGCTTCTGAATGGTTCATTTCCAATTATATCATCAACTCCTAGTAATAAAACTATTGGACAATTTAGAAAAGTTGACTCTTTTTTTTAAATTAAAAAGCATAAAATTTTCATTTAAACAGGAAAAATTTCATTGAAAGGAAATATTAGATTAACTTGAGAAAAAATTGATAAATTTTCCATTGCCTGCAATTACTGGTTTTGCTATATATTTCTTCTATAAAAGTTATTTCAAAAAATTTCTTTTACTTGATTAATCAGGCTATTTTTTCTACTTATAAAGCTATTAATTAATTAATTAATTAATGTATAGAAATCTCTTATATTTTTAAATACTACAGACAGCAGAACTATAAAAATTAGATTTCTGTCATGTGATATCTTGGTTGTATCTGACTAATACTGAATTAGCTTGCACTTCTTTTTATTATTATTATTATTATTACTGCTGCTTTCCCCTCCTTTTGAATAAAGGCAAGCTCTACAATCCTTTTCACACATAATCTCTTACATCATTGCAGAATGCTCATGCATTTTTGGGTAGATGAAGAAGATTTGCATTACGCATTTCATACTTTGACCAAATAAACTTACATGTTACTGAATTCTTATGATCTTTCTTGCTTTCTTTGCATCCACCAAAATTTTGATCTCTTGCAGGTGTTATACCATCAGGACAACAACCATATGGGTATGTTTTACAAGGACATCCTTCATAGCGTGGACCACTAGCTGTAGTTTCTCCATCAGGACAGCAACCATAAACCATCGTTTTACAGGGACAACCTTGGAAATTTGGACCACTTGCAGCCATTTGTTTATCTGGACAACATCCAAATGGCATTGACATACATGGACAACCTAAATAATCAGGACCTAATGCTGCAGTCTGATTATCTGGACAGCAACCATGAGTCAGAGAATGGCAGGGACAGCCTTCATTATATGGACCTTTAGCTGGTGTTTTATGGTCTGGACAACATCCATGAGTCATTGCTTGACAAGGACAACCTTCAGCATCTGGCCCACTAGAAACTGTTCTACCATCAGGACAGCAGCCATATGGGAAAGTTTTACAAGGACACCCAGCATAATTATGACCTGAAGCAGGCATTACACCATCAGGACAGCAGCCATATCGCAGTTTGTGACATTCACAACCTTTTCCATTTAATCCTACTGCAGGGGTTAAACCATCAGGACAACAACCATAAAGCATATTTTCACATTCACAGCCTTCAAATCTAGGTCCCTTTGCATAAGAATAGTTATCTTGACAGCAACCATGAGCAGAATGTTCACATGAACAACCTTCAAACCTAAATTTAAAAAAGTACTTTAATTAATTGTTCACAAAAAATTTTATATTCTTTAAAATAAACCAATAAGGAAAAAAACAATAAATTCACAAATCAGTTTAAAAATTTTTTAGTAAGTACTGTTGTAAAAACAACAAATTTCATGAAAAAATTAGCAAAATTCAAATGTAAATAAGAAATAAAAGTAACTTGGGTTTTTATGACTACCAGTAGTTGAACATGCTACCATATTCACCCTAATGTCTCCTAATAAAAGTCCAGCTTATTTTCTTAACATACATTATCAGCAATCAAGTTTACTATGAGAGTAATTCATAAATGATGTTAGGAATAGCATATTTTAATAAACTTAGGAATGTAAAATACATTAAATATTCTTACTCTCTAAAGCAGTTATTCCTTAAAAGTATAGGCTGGGAAGCAATTTATGGCAACCTAGAAATACTATTTTTACTGTTGTATATATACATTTATCCAGTTGTAACATACTGACACTATTATATCTGCTGGTGCTTACCAGCAATTATGAATTAATTCATAATTATCAATTGATTCTTAATTCAGTGGTAACTTAGGATACATCATTAATCCATTTCAGATCCTTGGACATATACCATACAAATTTTTCCAGTAGGAAATAAAAAGAAAATAATCAACCCATTCTTCCTATTGTTTAATATTAAAAATAGATATGTCATGTGTGAAATATTGCATATAAAAGCTTTTCTGCTATCTGCATCACAATTTTTTAACACGCTCTAACATCTCTAATCTTTGTTTGATAATTAATTTCATCCCCTTTGCATCTTCAGCCATTTAATAGTGTCTTTATTTTTCCACTATCATAAACACCATTTAATAGCGTCTTTGTTTTTCACAATCATAAACAGCATAATACTTGGCATAGGGACCCACCATGTGACAATGCGGCATCATGTTTTGGGGTGCAACTGCGTACGATTGAAGGTCACCTCTAGTTCGTATTCAGGGCACTATGATGGCCCAATGATATGTGGATGATGTGTTGTGGCCAATGACACTCCCCTACCTTAGGGGATGATGTGCTGTGGCAGGTGACATCCCCCTACCTTCAGGGAGTGCCCAATGTCCTTTATCAGCCGGATAACATCCGACTACATACTGCTTCCATAAGGCCATGTGCTCTGCAAGGCATATAGATGCTTTCCTGTTCACAATTCTCTCCTAATTTCCCACCAATTGAACATATTTAGGATGTGATTGAATGACACTTCAGACTCCGCCCATTGCCGCATTCAGAAGATGAACTGTGGCAAACAGTTGGCATGGAATATTGAGCCATTCCTCAGGGCACCATCCATAGTCTCATTGACTCTGTACCTAGACGTGTTGCTTCGTGTATCGCTGTCTAAGGAGGGCCTAGAATCTACTGAGCCAACACTGTTTTTACTCTGTACTATGCATATTATTTCAAAATAAAAATCACTTATTGTTTATATCTGTCTCTCACTGTTTCCCAAGTTTCATCTCTTTCTGGTCACTCCTTCATGGCATTGCATTTTCAATGTTGGGTAGTGTACAAATAGTATTCACTGAATGATGTGTTTCTCTAAAATGACTTGTCATACAGCCTATTAGAAGGCCATGAAATAAAAACCGATGGGTCTTACGGGTATACTTCTAGCATCTATGAAAACCAAGCATAAATTTGGTAATCCTCCATCTCATATCTCTAATATTTCAATTAAGCAATATTTGTTACAACTAGCATATAAAAGAAACTGAAAGCTACATTTTAGTGCTTAATACTCATGGAAGCATGCAATAAAATATTAATATATTAAAAAATGGAACTCAAAGGGAAAATGAATAATCAGTTCAAGACAGAGAGGAAATTCTGTTCAAGACAAACAAAAATAACTATCCTTTCATTTATAACTGATAATAGTAATGTTTTATACCAGATCTTATTGATATATCATACATATTACATAAATATTTAATTTCATAATCAAAATTTAAAAATAAGTTAAACAGCATTTACCTTGAGCCCTTTGCAACAGTTATACCATCTGGACAACAACCATGAGGAAATGTATGACAACTGCAACCAGCATAATGTGGCCCTGTAGCAACAGTAACATTGTCAGGACAGCATCCATATTCAGATGAATGACAGCAACCAAATTTATCAGGGCCTAATGCAGCAGTTTTTCCATCCAGACAGCAACCAAACACTGTATTTTCACAATGATGAGAATGAGGTTCTCCAGTGTCTTTACAGCCATGGAAATTAGGTCCTAATGCCGGTGTCTTTTCATCTTTACAGCAACCATACAAAGAGTCACTGCAACTGTTCAAAGAACCACCATCAGTTTGCTTTGTAGCATTGGTTTCTAATTTTATGTCAATACTACAACCATCAAAATGTGGTCCTTTAGCAGGAGTGACATCATCAGGGCAGCAACCATACAGTGTATTTTCACAATTACTTTCATATTCACCACTACCTTCAAAACATCCTAAGAAATTAGGGCCCTCAGCAGGAACTGTACTTCCTGGACAGCATCCATAAAGTGATGTTTTGCAATCTGTCTTTATATTTTTCACTGTTTTTTCAGAACAACCAAGCATATTGGGACCTTCAGCAGCTTTAATGCCATCTGGACAGCAACCAAATTCTGAAAATACACAGTCTTCTCCAGATGAAACATCCAAATCACAGCCTTCATAATCAGCTCCAGTAGCAATGGTAAAACCATCAGGGCAACAGCCGTATTGTGTATCTTTGCAATTTGAGTCTTCAGTATTACAACCTGCATTATTTTCTCCAAGAGCAGGAGTAAATCCATCAGGACAGCAACCCCACTGAGAGCTGTCACAGTCCTCATAACAGCCAAGTTGGTCGGCACTTTTGGCAGCAGTAACACCATCTGGACAGCATCCATATTTTGTCTCATTACAATTAATTAGTTTAGGGCAACCTTTCCTGGAAAATTTTAAAAATATATAAATACTTCAGCAATTTAAATTAGTTCATTAATGATAATGCACTGTCACATAATGAATGAATGAATGAATGAATGAATGTTTTTGCTACGAGAACAGGAAAATGTTATTATTTCAAATAATTAAAAATTTATGAACATGAAATACACAATAAAAACTAAAAATATTTTGAAAAAGGGAGAAAATAAATTCAGTCTAGTGTTTGACAATACACTGCATCAAGATTGATGATGACCTACCATACAATTGTCATTCATGTTTTTCTTTTTCAGCTGTCAGTGGTGCTTGCTAGAATACATTCAGAAGTGAGAGTGCAGTTATGCTCTCCAAGTTTTCTGCTTGGTGTATGAGACTTATGCAGAAAATGAGTTTTACATTTTATAAAAGCATATATTCGTCATTTGCAGTATTGGTAGACAGACTCATTCAAGTAAAGTCAACAGTTTTTTTTTTTTTTTAAATAGATTTGATAGGTACAGGTAGATGTGGGTGGGACACCAAAATTTCACGACTGGTTGCACAACTATAGTCCCACCTCCTTAACAGTGTAGTTCTGCTCCAATTTTGATGTAAAACATTCTGAGGATTGGTCTGATGATATCCCATCTGTCTTCTCTGCCATCAATCTCTCAAAAAAACTTTCTTTCAATTCAATGTGTATTTTGAGTGCCTCCTGCACAGATACTATGCTTACAAAAATCCCTGCTTTCTCAGGGATACGTAAATGGGCCCATCGGTACAGCACTCAGCATCACTAACCAATATACTGATTGGCTGGGTAGATTTGATCGTAAGATGCCCCAGCAAAGTGGTTACTTACAAATTTGGTGAAAATTTTAACAGAATAGGAAGTGTTCTTGATATTTATGCAGATAGCAAAGTACTGGTGTCAGAGGAAATAGTAAAATAGTAACATATGTAAAACTATATCCAGAAAACTCATTGAAGAAATCTCTTCACAGACTTCCTCAGCAGTCTGTACTCTCCTACTCTAATGTCAAAAATCAACAAAACAAAGCCTGATTTTGTTGAAGTACACACAAATCGATCTTGCTAGATCTACAGATGTACTACGAAAGGTTTCAGAATATACTTGGTAATGATGAAATGTTAGTCATAACATGCTTTCATGGAAATGAGTATGTCATCTCTCAGAATCATATTATAAAATAACCACATAAAACCAATAAAAAAAACCACCACGCTTAAAATAAAATACAGGTTTGCAATGTCCAAACATTGTAACTGATATATTAAAGTTGTCTTGTTGTAAAAAATACGATACAGCGAAACCCAACAATCTGGCATTCAACTAACTGGAAAACTCAAGTAACTGAAATATTTCAGAATTTTAGAAAAAAAATTCCTTTAAAATTTATTGAATGAGATATTTGTAATGTCATTATAGAGCTTATAATGCTGTTAACACGTAAATTTTGCAATTTAGTACCAGTAATGGATAAGCATGACATCACAAAATAATCATAAGAAGTTTTTATCATAATCATAAGAAATTGAAGTAAATTAATTCTTGGTAAGCTGGTTTGATTTTTATAAAGAAGGTTATAAGCTGTATTGTATTCTTTTTCCTCACATTTTGAAAAAAATTATTGACATTTGAGATTGCAAGAAGTGGGAATGCTTTTTGGATCCAGCCATCAGAAAAAGCTATAATACAAGACTTTGAAAATGGATAAATGATGATGATGTAATGAGAAAAATTGGGAGAAATTAAGTGTTTTATATGCTATCCATAATTTGGATCTCTTTATTACCTACAAATTAAAGAATAATGTTTGTTTAAACTTCTGCTGAAATGATTGGTGACATCTCCACCAACATATTTGGTGGGTTTTCATAATTGGATAAAGTTGTGAAATATATATAAAATTTTATAAAATTTTTATAAAATTGAAATAAATCCTTTTTTTTTCCAAAATTTTAATTTTAAATGTAGACTTGATATTCAAGTTGATAACAAATAATTTTAGGGCAGGAACTAATTTGACTTTCCTAATGTGAATTCCATTTTCTATATGCTGTCCAGAATTTTCACATATCTGGAATTTAGCATTCCTTGAGCTTCCCAGATGGTCAAGGGTTTACTATATAACAACTGTTAATAAATATGTGTACTTCTAAATGATTGTGTTTAATATTTTAGTTATAAAAAAATGCAACAACATAGAAACAGGTCTTCCCATTTGTCAGCAAAAATTTATGAATAGTATAATTTCTAAATGTAGTATTAAGTCATCCTGTTGAAACATTGTGAATGAATTATTGAACTTGATTTAGCAAACCTCTTCTTCATTATCATAATATTCACAGTTAAATTTCACAAGATAGAATTTTCTAAAGCATTAACTTATATATTAATAAAGTAATTTAAAATACAATATGTGCAAAATAACAGTAACCTTTTACAGGAAAAAGAATTTTATAATTTATTTCAAAATTATTTAGACTTTTAATAAAGGTAGAACATATTTTAAATATTTAATAGTAAAAATTATGAAACTATCATGTAAGTAAAATTACCGAAGTGTTCCCTTCGACTCCGGAAAATAGTATAATTAGTTATAAAACTTTCAGGTAACTGGAGAATTTCTTTTGAATTAGTTTGATAACATTCTGAAATTAGCTTTGTGTTTGCTTGAACTGAAGCAACACCATAATTTTACCAGTCTAATGGACAAAAATAGTCATATTTAACTCTCTCATTATGCAGTTCCTTTTTTTTATGTTTGCATTTATGGAGCATTCTGCCTCCATTTGAGAAAAATCCATGTATGACTCTTTTAATAGCTCACCAGATAATGCAATACCTAGATTTTTATCAAAATACTCAAAGCAACAAAATAAATAAAAATTTGACCATGCTGATTGAAAATATCAAGATAGTATTGTAGAGACATTAGGTTATTTTGAAGCAGCAGATGTGGAAAATAAGCAATGTCCTCGACGGGACTCAAACCACAAAACTCTCGAATACGCGTCGAGCATGCTGACCACTATACTATGAAGGCATGCTAAGAAGGTGGGAGAAATACCTTATATACTTTCCCTTTTAAAGGGTGACTGAGGATTAGGGGACCCAATCGCCAAATCCTGGTGGTGGAGAATTTTCATCCACCAACTTTATTAGTTTGGGTACTACTATAGATTTATTAGGTATTTTGAAAGCAGGAGATGTGAAAAATGAGCAATGCCCTAGCTGGGCCTCGAACCACAGACTTCTCGAATACACGTTGCGTGTGCTGACCACTACACCACAAAGGCATGCTAAGAAGGCGGGAGAAATACCTTATAGTATATCTAACTGTACAGTAAAAAATTTAATTACATTGCCAAAGAAATCACTCATAATTTATTATTCATTATGTTCAGAAGATCAAAACCCAAGTCTATATTTGCAATGTTTTGTTGAAATATTATAATTTAATTTTCAAATAACATAAAAATGCTAGAGTAAATTCAAGCTTAGATTCTGAAAAACAATGAATTTATAATAACTAGTAACTGTGTTTCAGCCCATTTTTAAAAGATAAACTATTTTATTGCACATACCCAAAAGGTCCTAATGCTGATGTAATACCATCAGTGCAGCATCCAAACTCTGATTCTCTGCAATCTTGTTCTGAAGCATCAAGAGGACAACCCTCAAAATCAGGTCCTGCAGGAGTTACACCATCCAAGCAGCAACCATACTTAGATTTATGACAACCACCCACAATCATAACTTCATCTGTAGAAAAAGTAAAAAGGATTATTGTTATAAAAATAAGAATTCATGAACTTTAAAAATTAATTCACAGTTTGTATACATCTTTACAAACATATCCCCAAGTCTAATTTTACAAGCATTTAATACTTTTTCTGTTTAAGAAATTAGTTGCAATAACTGATTTTGGAAACACTTAAAAAATGCAGTAATTTTTGTTAATATACTATCACATAGAAAATATATTTGAAATACTTGTGGTGTTTTAACCGTAACTGGACTTTTGAAATCTTATTTTCTTATTAGCTGTTTATTTAACTGTATTATTTCATATACCTAAAACTGTAACTTTAAATAAACTGTATGTATGTATGTATGTATGTAATTGTAACTGTATCTCAATTAACAGTGTCCTTCCGTTGGTGCTCACAAGGAGATGCATGCATTCTTGTAACTTGTTTGGTTAAATATAAAAGTTATGTTATCAAGATGACTAATGATTTAATGAGTTAAGTGAATTACTTCTCTTTCAGTATAATGAACATGTGTTATGATTTAGTACACTGTGTTATGATCTAGTACATCTAGATCATAACACAATGTACCCAATATAGGCCAATAAACTGCAATAACGGTTGGCGACACTAACTGCCGTCGCTTTGCCCGGTTCAAATCCAAGAGAAGGCAGGGATGTTTGTAAATGTATCCGCATGTTTTAAAGTCCAATGTCCATATACAAAAGAAAGTACTTCCCCTCTGATGACATAAAAAAGGACTTCGGCATGGTCTACACAAGCTTCTTCCATATGCACAAAGAATTATACTGCTGATATCTAACATGAGCAGATTTTAATGATTTATGTCAGGAAAATATGATGAATTCTCTATAATAAAAAAAAAAAAGCTTTGGATTTGGATAAAAATGAATACAGCTAGCATACAAAATTCTTCCATTTGCACCATACTCTAGAAATTACAATTAAACTTCAAATTGTTAATGACTTGACAAATTTTTTGAAAGCGATAAAAAGTCAAAAATGAAGATATCAGGAATATTGTACCAATATCCTTACATCTAAGAGATGAAAAGCTTTTTCACTGAGAATTTATAGATAAAAACTAGCCACTGAATGGTAACAAGTTTAAACAACAATGGTAAACATGTTACTAAATGAAATTTCAAAATTTTTTTATTTAATTTTTGGTTTTATTCAAGAATATACCAGTCATTATGTAGTAGCCTCAAAGTAACATATTTACAAAAATTTTATATTTTAATAAAAATCTATACTCATTCATAAATGTCAATAAAATTGATCAATTTTAATTTACTTTGTCATTATAACCTTGTCATATACTTAGATATCTTTTCTTCCTTGTGTCAAAGTAGTTTTTACAAAATCATCGAAATTATATGGCAACATATAAAGAAACACCCATCTTGTTAAATTCATCAGTACAAAACTAACATTTTGGCATGTAAAAAACATGTGAAATAACTCTGTAAAAGAGCTGGATAAATATATGTGTAATTAAAATGAGAATATAAAACTGTTGCTAATGAAAATACATTATTGTAATATACTGTTTGATTAAAAGCACAAGCATGTATTATAATAATACTGTGGAAAAGAGTGTAGAAATATTAAAAACAAAAAAAAAAAAAAAAAAACACTACCCAGCTTATATTTTAAATGTAGTACCTATAGTATAAATGCGTAGATTTAAAAAGCAAAACTAAATAACTATCAGATCAAATCAGAGATTTATTGAATTATTAGTATTTAAAAAACAGTTTTTGAGAAATAACTTAGTAAGAGGAATAACTTGTGAAAAACCTTCTACTGAACTAAAGGAATCATACCACACTATATATCAGTTACCAGATATATACCATTTCTCAGAATTATAATTCAATCATTAATCTCTTAAAATACTCCAGATTGTTACTATTTTATGTATGTATGTCTAATAATGAGGCTCAGTGCTGCAGTGGTTAGCACATCGTGCAGCGGCACCACAGGTCCGGGGTTCAGTTGCCGGGCTGGGCAAAGTTGACTTAGCCTTTCATCCTTTGAATTGGTTGATAAAATGAATATCAAGTTCGCTTGGGAACTAAACACCAGGGTTTCCTGCAAAAAGCTGACCAGTTGTTCAGGGCATATGCTCACACACCCTGGGGCCCATGGTCAGGAAAGCAGATATCGCGTAACTGCAGGCCATGGCCCACTAGGACTGTTGTGCCACTGAGTTTAGTTATATCTAATAATGCTTTACAGAAATTTTATACTACATTAAATATATCTATGAATATTTTTCATTCATAACATTATGGATCAAAAACAAGTAGTGCACTGAAAATTATGCTGTATACACAATTTCAAATACCTCATAAATTGAGATACTGTGAAGTCATGCATGTAAATAAGAATAAAATATCAAATTTATGCATTATTTAAAACAAGCAATAGTACCTTCATCACATGGATGCATATTACATGGCTGAACATCAAATGGTTGTGACTGGATATCACAATGATTATGAGTAACAACAGAGTTCTGAAGCAAGCACATAACTTTACGGGTTTGCTGACCTCCACCACATGGTACAGAACACTAAAAGAACATATTATTACAGCATGTTAGGAAATTACATAAAAATAGTGACAAGATAAGTATGCAGTGTGGTGGTTTCCAAACATTTTCAGTTTACAGCATTCTAATTGTATCAGAATATTTTCATGGCAGTCAGAACAGCTTGGTTAAATTAAGAACTAAATGAAACATGTATTTTAAATTTGGAAACAATTTACATGCAAAGTACTAAATAAATACCTAGTTTAAAAAGTATATCATTAAATAAGTGAATCACAATTAGTGGGATGAATGAACTGTTTTTCATGGCAAATCTTTTGAAATCTTGAAAGTGTGACAATCGTGACAATTTGTTGTGTGTATACTCATATCATTTCTTGTTCCACGATGAATTTTTATGATGATACTTCACCTTTATTACACTTACCACTGATAACCCAGCTTCACATAAGCATGACATCACTCACAAATTATTTTTCTTCTAATGATATCCAAAAGTCAGTCAATTCTCAAATGGCAAATCTTATATATATTGCGATAGGCTTAGTAAGATTTCCATCTATAGAGCAAATTCAGATTAAACTTTAACTCTGATCTTAAATCTTTGCAAACTTGTTGGCACTGCCAACATAAATGTAATTTTGAAGCCAGTTGATAAGCTGAAGAGTACTTTTCAATAACACAAGTTTGTACAGCATTTGGATGATTTTCCTATCAGGGCACTAGCACATCAGTGGTTCTATTCTAAAATCAGAAAGCTTAAGCATAATTTCTAAAAAACTATCAGAATATTTCATGCTGCCATGAAGCATCAAGGTAGTACATAGTTTAGATTGGGAATCATTTGTATAATATAATTCAATAACATTTATTATCTTGAAATGAAAGCTCTTGAAATGTAGCTCTTTATATTTAAGCATAAAAAGTTTTTTTTTCTTTTCATTAAATTTTATGTATTAGCTTGGTATTCAGGACAATAAGTGAAAGCTATGAAACTTTCAAAAATAAGGGTTTATGTAAAAAATTATATTCACATAAGATAACTTAAATGAAAGTAATTAAAAATACAGTAAAACAATATTTTATTATAAGGACACTTTTATTATAAATACAGAACCAGTAATGATCCAGTTTGGTATACAAGTGGAATTCATATATAAAAGTAATTATGCTTTTATAAAACATTAGTATTAATCAATAAAGCATTCTCAATGCTTATATACTGTAATATTATAATAAAAGCTCGACTACCTGGAAAGTTTGGGAAATGCTGATTTCCAGTTACGTGAAAATTCTGACAAATCGCTGTACAAAATTTCCGCTTTAAAGTTATAAAAACAATCATCATATCTGTTACCAACTTGAACATCAAAAGCCTAAGGCTTAAAATTACATTAAGATTCTGAAAAAATATGCAACTCGGTCATAAAAGCTGATATATTTTGATTATTGTGCAATTCTACCAAATACAAAATATGGTGGAGTTGCTGTCAATCATTTTTCTGCAGAAGTTTAAACGAGCAGACAGCAGACTGTTCTTTATTTAGCTAGTTAAAAAACAGATTCGTATTATGAATACAATATATAAGAAACTTAAATTGCTTTATAATTTTTCATGTTACATCTCCACTGTTTATCTATTTTCAAAATTTTGTATCCCCCCTTTTTTTTAAATGCTTGGATCCTGTAACTTTGAAAATACTTCACCTCATGCAGTCTCAAATAATAGTCATTTTTCAAAATGTGAAGAATAGAGAACTTTTATGATTCTTTACAATTAAACAAGTTTATTTAGAATTAATCAAATTAACATTAAATCAAAATGAACTTCCTATGATTGTGTCGTGATGTCATGCTTATCCACCACTGGTGCTATCACATTGTTTAGAAATAATGAACATGTGCTAATAATATTACAAGTCTAAAATCGCATCACAAATATCTAACTTACTATTTTTTTCAGGAAGAAAATTTTTTCTAAAATTCTTAAATATTCCATTACTTGAACTTTCCAGTTAGTTGAATTCCAAAAAATATGGATTTTACTTTCGAAAAAAATGTAATTTGAATTAAAACTCAACTGATGCACCATGTTGTTGATGTGTTAAAAGACTGAACAAGTTGATGGTGCTTCTATTTATCTGCAATACCTAAAAACACGGAATTTTTTTTTTAATTGTAAAAAAAGAAAACAAAAAACTTATCAACTAATAATATCCCTTAAGCAAGTGTAATATGATTATTTATGCATTTATTTAAAAACAACAAAATCCAAGAAAGTCTCTGTTACATTTTAATCAAAAATTTAAGAACTATCTTTCATGAAGGTAATTAGTTAAATATTTATTTTTAAAATGAACATTAAATATTTTAATTGTCTTCTAGATTAATCAACCAAAGTTTTAGTGCAACTCACCACCACTATCGTGACAATTTGTTGTAAAATCACAAGTCACTACTAAATAACAAATATGCTTATGTTATTATGAAGATGTTTTAAACCACTGTAGTTAAAAGATAAATGACCAAAAAGGAAACTGAACAAAAGAACTTCATAATTTTCCCCAGATTGTTACAGACTATCAAAAAGTGTTAGAATGGAGGCATCCTAGTAATACTTCTGCAATGTATACCTATCAGAGTGCAGGGATAGTTTTGTCAATGTAATTAAATGTTTTCACATTAATGCAACAGCATTTGTTTCCTAAGATTAGTTTTTACTTCTCGATCTAGGCATAGTAAAAGAATAAATTAATAGCACTGTAAAAGCCTGACTATCTGTCATTCAACTAAATGGAATATTTTAAAATTTTAGAAAATATTTTTCTCAAAATCTAGTAAATGAGAGATTTGTAGTACCATTATGGAGCTCATAATTCTGTAATGGATAAGCATGATGTTACAACACAATCATAAGAAGTTTATTTTGGTTTAATATAAATTCAATTAATTCTTGATAAGTTACAGGATCAAGATGCCAACAAAAGCCATGATACATGACTTTGAAAACAGTAAAACAATGGCAATGTAATGTGAAAATTATAAGTGATTTAAGTTTCTTATATGTTATGTTTGTAATTTATATCTCTCTATTATTTAAGTAAATAAGCACAATGTTACAACACAATCATATGATGTGATGTAATGTGAAAATTATAAGTGATTTAAGTTTCTTATATGTTATGTTTGTAATTTATATCTCTCTATTATTTAACTAAATAAATAATGATCTGCTCCTTTAAACTTCTGCCAGAATGATTGCTGAAATTTTTTCACCAAATTTCATATTTGGCAGAATTTTATAATTAGATCAGATATTTTACTTTCATGTTTAAGGCCTGTGAAATATGCCAGCTTTGATATCTGAAATGAATTTTTTATCAAAATCTTAGATAATTTTAAATGTAGGCTTTTGATATCCAAGTTGATAATAAATAAGATGATTGTTTTTATTAGTTTAGAACAAAAATTTCTCCCATTGATTTTGTTTTTTGAACATTAATTCTATTTCATATACATTCAACTATTTGGAATTTTCATGTATTTCACATATTCTGGAATTTAACACTTCACAAGCTTTTCGGATAGTCGAGCTTCTACTATATTTGTTTATCAACGAGTAATTTTAATTCTTAGTATTTGGCAATAATAATGCTTTCCTTGATTAAAAGACTAAGTTGATGTATCTGGTATTAGTAGAGGATACTGTGATATTTGGAGAATGCCGCATTCCTGGCCATTACAAATACTCTTTAATAAGGTTCTTTTATGCATTAATTTTCAATTTTTTAAAAATAGATTATGTTTAGAAAATGAAGCATTTAGAAATCCTCACCATAGATATCAGATAAGTGAATTATTTTTCCCTATCTTCTGTATTGCGTTAAACAGAAAATTGAAACTAACAAAGCCATCAGTTTAAACTATGACAGATTTGGAATACTCTACAAAATTACAAATTCCTCTCATCCCATGTTTATCCTCTTTTCAAAAGTCACAATATAGATGGGCACTGAAGGCTTTACAAATTAACTGAAATTTAGTCAAAAGCAAATTAATGGAAGTGATTACGTTTATAAAGTATACATGACAGTATATTGAACAAATACTTTGAACATCTAATAATGCAAGGAATATATTCACATTACCCTAGTCCATGGTCCAGTATACCAAATGCCAGAACATTTTTCACCATGACATACTTCTTGAGTTTCCATCTTTTTACTTGACAAACAGAGTTCTTCAGAAACTTTGTGAATATTTCCAGAGTCCCATGATCCACAAAATATTGTTCTGGTCCTTACACCTCTTCCACACTGAACAGAGCACTAGAGAAAATATAACATAATTCAGCAAACATACCACATGCTTGCATAATATTAAAAAAAAAAGTGCATTTTTTTAAATCACAGTACTGAATTATCATGGAGAAAAAGTTTAACTATAAGATTCAAACTGCAATGTCATAATAAAATTACAATGAATCCTTTTATTATAACTCTCTCTTTTAAAGACAACCACCTCTGGAAATCTTGGAACATAAGCTTAATAACAAATATCATAAACAAACACTCTTTAACCCTTTGACGCACGCTATATTATTTTTAAAATTTTTTTAACTAAAAACACTAGAAATCGAATATTATGATCCTAGAGACAAATAATATATGAATTAAAAAAAATCTACTCCCGCCCATTAATCTGTGGGTGGTGGTTTCGCTGTGAAACCAGTGCGCGTCTAGGACTTTGAAACTTACTGAGTTAGCAGAAAAAAACAACTTACCTTTTTCCGTATGAATTTTCAATGAATGACGAAATTTGCGAATAAAAAAAAAAAAAAAAACTGCACTTAAAAATTGCATCAAATATAAATTTTTACTTTATTTTACAAAGTATATCATCAGAAAAAAAATTATAATTTATGTAATTTTCCTGCAGCAGTGAAAACATAAGAATGTACATAATAAGGAAATTGGGATAAATAGATAAAAAAACTCAATAGAATATTAAAAAGCTCAGTAATTTTTTTAATGTCAAAGATTTAAGTTATTTTTTATGGAACTGTTCAAAGCATGTTTTATCTCTTTGGTACATGCACAAGCCAACACTGAACAATTTCACTACATTCTGCATTTTATTCCATGTTACATCTGCAATTCTGGAAGGACTTGGTAAATTTATATCATCATTTTCTGACTGATCATCACTTTCATCTTCTATATTTCCATAAGCAGGAGTATTTCCTTCTCCTTCACTTTCATCCTCAGAGACCACTGATTCTGGATCTGAAGGTAATTCTTCAAGTAACGCTAATGCATCAGCTATTTCTAACCCTTTGCGAGGCATTTTGAATCTCAACAGTAGAAAATAAAATATTGGCAAAATATTTTAATTTAATTAAATTTTTGCACAATTTCTATTTTTAATTATTCAAAAATATATTTGCAATTTTTTGGAACCACACAAAATAATTTAGAAAATCACAGTACTAGCATAGAGAGCAAGCATGTTGAAAGCAGAGAAAAATGTGTGGAAACGAAAAATATTTTATGGAGGCAAGTGCATGTATTGTTTGGTGATACAATAACTCTGTGATTTCAAAACCTCCTTATCTATATCCGGGTGAAAACAAACACTTCTATTTCAAAAGCATAAAAACACCATTACTATAATAGAGCAGTGGTTTCAGGGCGCGACCACCGAGCCTCTAGGGAAAAATGTGAGCATTGTAATGCAATGCTCTAGTGGGGCAGTGGTCTTTGTCTTTGTTTTTTGGGGCAGTGGTCTTTATGTCTGAAACCACAAAAGGAAATACCATAAATATACACAGGTTGTTTATATATGCAGTTTAATTATTGGTATTTTTATTGTTTATGATAGAAATAATGATGTACGATTAAAAAAAAAATTTAAATTTTAAGTTATTAATATAAATAAAAGGAAGTTATTTTTTCTCACTGAAAATGAATTTTAAAAGGCATCCGATTTAAAATACTAAGACCTAAAAAATGTACAGTTCTACAGTAATTTTGCGTTATTTAGAGGTAAAAGATAAGTAATCAATCGGTTTTCACTCAAACAGTTTGGAAACAAGAGCGGGAAAAATTTCAAAAATTTGTGGTTTCAGAGCGCGACCACCACCCCTCAAAGGGTTAACATGACCAGGATATTGGATATCCTCTTTAACATGACCAAGTACAATAAAAGAAGACCAGAATCAGCTGGAATCATAGATGATTGTCTAAGAAAGAGTTCACTGTATATCGAATAGCCTGGATAATAAGTAAGTAAAAATACTAATTTAGTGTTTTTGTTTTTGGAGGGGAGGGAATTGGAAGAAGTGTATCAATTCTTGCATTTATTGATACTTCAGCTGATGCTCAAAGAAAAGAACCTCATAATGAGTGGTTGCTGAAATAAAAATGGACTTAAGGCACTGAAAGGCAAAAACAACTGGTACTAATGAGCATATGCAAAGTACATAGTGATATATTACAAATATTGTGTTAATTTAGCTATCAACAAATATTGTTAATTAAGTCCATCAACGTGTGTGTGTGTGTAAAGTATTAATAGACACCCAAGAAAGTTTATATAGCTGTTGTTTTTTTCCCCTAAAAATGGCCCATTATTATTTATTATTATTATTATTATTATTATTATTATTATTTTTGTTAATTCAACCTAATAACTGGAGCCCATGAAGTGGCTCCTACAATTTCAAAGGTGGAGATGAAGTTTAGATTTTTATATTTCAAGAGTGTAATGCAAGTACAAAAATTCTGACAACATTTTGAACTAACAGCAAGCCACTAAAAAAACAAAAAGTATGAAAAGACAGTGTTAGCTAGCAAGAATAATTTCAGATCTTAAATAACATCAAAATAAAATTCTATTGATTTTGAGGGCAGTCCCATTTAAGTTCTTCAGAAGAAGATAAGGAAAAAGCTACATCTGATGACTTTCAAAATAGATACAATTTTATTCAAAGCCTAGGTCAATCTACAGTTCCGTTTTTACCAATTTGTAAATTAAAAAGTTATGTTTAAAAAAAAAAGGTCTTTCACACTTATTTTTTAAGTTGAAGTTCAATCTCACCTCACTCCATTCAGATGCATGCCACATGGCTTTACAGTGATGATGATTAGAACAAGGCCTTTCAAGAGCCGGTTTGCTTTTGTTTGAACACATCTGATCAGGATGCAAATTTCCATCTTCACTAGCACAAAATGCTTGACGAGATTCAGTCTGCAAGCCACATACACGTTCACACTGCAATAATGAAATGCCAAAATCAGAACACCAAATAAATGCATTGAAATGCTTCATAATATTATTCAATATCTGCTCATGTGCCTATACATGCCTTAGCATATCATTTCAAAATATTATAGGACATCAAACAACTAATAGAATTGTATTCTCATAATTTTATGCATTAACAGTGCTTTCAGATCACCTACTGAAAATTTTATACAATAAAATATATCTAATAATTATGATGCTCAATTTTAGACTAAAAAAAAAAATGTCTCCATCAAAAAAAGAAGGAGGGGGAATAGAAAAATTTAGAGAATGAAAATGGAAAACGTGCTGAACTAAGAATAAAAAGAATAAAAATTAAGAATAAAAAGATTAAGCAGGTAATAGCTAAACATGCTAGTAAATACGTTAATACAAGTATTGTTTATAACAAGATAATAAAAATTTGCACATATAGTGAAACTTTCGTTCTTTTTTATTAAAAAAAAAAAGATTTGAAATTCATAAAATTTGCGGGGTTACTATTATTTTACATAAGTTTATTTTATGATTTAAATCTTTACTATCACTTCTCCTTTCGATTTTCTCACCAGAATGTTAATAAGGTTAAACAGTATTGAAACGGAAGTTTCAGGATTGTAAGATAGAGTATGTTTCTACCTCTTGAGGCCATGTTACTAGATTTTGCTATTTCTGATAAGATTGTAATTCTGTGGCTTTGTGTTGTTGCTGCTGATATTTAGATTATTATGCCAATGAGCAGTTTTGAGCCAACTTAACATTAAATCCAATGTGTAGTCTTTGACTAATAGGACTTAGTTTTAAATTTGAATTTACTCTTACTTTAAGTTTCACTACCACAATTGGTGGTTGTTTAGATAAGCATAAATCCTGTATTTATGTTTAAGTTCTGATTTAATAAAACAGTTGTTTAAAATCTTTTCAAGATTCTGTAGTTCTTTACAGGCAAATAGATAATTCGCTCAGTGTCTGTTAGGATGCTAGTTTATGCTACCAAAGAAAAACAAACTCTATAAAGCCAGTTAATAGTTATGAAAGATTTAATAACTAGGCAATAACAACATGCCAGACTTCAATATTTTAAGACACAAAATGTTTCTTCATGAATCAATACCATTTCATTCTTCCAATTGCCTACACTATTAACCATTTTTTCCATCCTCAATATGTTTTATTCTTGCTAATCTGTACAAATAGGTACTTAAAAATAAGTTTAAGTTAAATAAACTTGTTCTCAAAATATTTTATTATTTTTCAGTACCTTTTTATCTACACATATTTAATTAGATTTAAAATAAAATAATTTTATTTATTAAATAAATATTTTATTTAATAAATAATTTTTATTTAATACTATTTTTATAGATGAAATAATTATGTTTATTCGTTACTAACATTTTAATTTCTGATGCTAAAATATTGGATATACAAACCTTACTTGGAAGAAAAATTATGAAGAATATGAACGGCAGCAAACACAGGGTTCATAGCCACATTTTAGTTAAAAAAACAAGCACCTATAAGCACTTTTCAAGCACATTTTAAGGAAAAAATAAGCATCTGTCTAATTACATTATACACAACTGCATAACCTTAAAAGGAAAATTAGACTTGTAATTTAAAATATGAGCAATGCAATATTTATTAAGAGAAGCATTACCTCAACCTATGGAAAAATTAACTTTTTTTTTTTTTTTTTTTAAATTTTAAATGACAGTTCAATTTACAGAATTAGTTTACAATGAGAGAAAAAAAAAAAAAAACTGTGCAGAACTATATTACAAAAGATTTAATGATGAATATTTCAGTTCAAAATAGAGAAAATAAATAATAATAAGGCATATTTATTGTATTCGTTTGGAACCTAATAATAAATACAATTTATTTTTCCACTCATATTAATATTTAAAATAATTTAAACTTAAATCTAAATTCTGAACATTTTCTAAATTTTCATTGCATATCAGTTTTCCCTTAACATATATCCCAAGCAAAGTAATTTAAGTAAATAAGGAGGCACATTTCTGAAATCAGAAGACAGGAAATTGCTTCACTGCAGTCATCCTTTAACAGTAAAAGCTTAACTAAACCCGCATACTTGGAAATTGGCGAATATTCCGGATAGTAACTGTAACTTGAAAAAAAAGAGGAGTGGGGAGAGATTGTAGCCGTTCTTTAGATTTAAATTTAGGCGCTAAATAAATGATTTTGACATTTCGATATGTGAATCATATAAAAAAACCAACGGAACTGAGAAATATTCTGCTTAGAAAGCACAGTAAAACTCTTTTAAGTGTTCATAAACAAATCTCAGACTGAACATCAAAATTAATTATCAATACAAAATACCGCAAACGTTATTGTGCAATACGTGCGGCATAATTCTTCCATACGTGATATTACGCAATCGGAATCAACAGCTGCCAGTATTCGGAGAAAAAAAGAGACTAAACAAAGAATAAATATGAAAGAAAGAGACTTACTAATCTGGGGTGTTTTCTGATTCTAATTTTCAACAGACCTGTATTAAATTTCCGGAATAGAATCATTCTTCGCTTGGGTTGGGTAGACTGCAAAAACTTTTAGTCCTATTCAATCCAGATTGGACAGTGACAAAAAAAAGTACGCTGCTTCAATATTAGAGATTTTGCGGAGAAACTCCCAACCAATTTTGTATAATGTATTGGCAAAGAAAATTAAATTATTTTGACTATTCGATTACTTTCCTTTTATTTATGCCATTCCGAATATTATTCCTTAGAAAGCTAATCTGTGTAAAAACACACCTATTTTTTGAAGTTTATCTATACTTCAGCAGTTACTGCAACTATACTATTATAAATATTCATACATATACTCATAATATAAGCATAACGATCATAATAAACATGAATATGAACTGACCATGCGGAACGAGAATGCAAATTATTAAAATCTTGATAGAAATTCAAACGTGTGTAGTATTTGGGTGGGAGGATGAAAGAATACCCGAATGTACCGGAATTTTCTACTGTTTTCGCAATTCTTTGGCCAATAGAAGGACGGTGCACCTGTCTGTACTCTCGCACGTACCATAGGTTACGTTAATGCAGAGGAAAGGGGGGAAAAGCTATTTCCGGGAGTATGATCACCATCTGACATTGCATATAACGAAAAGTTGTTTATTTAGTTTCAGCTTTGGTACGGGGAAAAAATGAGCGTTCGTTAAAAACAAAGGATTAAAAAAAAGCACTAAAAGCAAAAAATAAGCACTAAAAACAAAAAAATAAAGGCTTTAAAGAAAAAGTAAGCACCTATAAGGGCCTTTATATTTTATTTTCAAATATAAGGACTTATAAGCACTTGTAAGGACCGCTACGAACCCTGAAACAGTCTCTTCACTCTAGATTTCCATCCGTAAGCAAACCATTACTTACTATCATTCATATAAGGGCAGAACTTAAAATACCAAATCAAATTCTCCTTGATGAAGGAGAGGGAGGGAATAAAATAAAAGAAAAATAAATTAAAACAAAAATTTCTGAAGTCGCACTTATTTGGAGATAAAAAAATATTCAAAAACTAGACAAAGGCTCACTTAATTGAATAAGAAATGCAAGATTGAAACATATGATAAATTTAAAAGGAATAGAAAATACTTTTTTATGCAGTATTCTGCAATTTTTCTGAAAGAAAATTTTTCTTAGACATACATATTTCACCTTCAGTTATTTTAAATATTATTTTTCAGTGCATAATATTAGTAAATAATTGCTTTAGCTTCTTAATAAGGATTGTATAAGATACAGATTATATTTAGAAAAATTATGGAATAAAAGACGTTATTTGCAATAGTGTGCATGAGCAGCAAACCATCAGAAGAAATACAAAACATATTTCATTAAAAAACTATTTACATGTATGTTGCAAAATTATAGTATCTATCATTATGCAGCATTATTTAGTATTTTATACAATGACAGAAATGACTAAACATGAAAAATTATATATTATTAGAGCTATCCGGCTGGATTTAATAGCTTCACATATGAAACAAAATTCAATTTTTAATTGAACAAAATTTCAAATAAAAAAGGTGCAGAATGTAATTTAATAAACATAGATCTTTCATAGGGTTTCACTTGACAGTTTAACACTTCAGAATTTATTATTACAGAGAAAAAAAGAGAACATGAATAGTTAAAGAGAGTAAAAATAATAAGATTAAAAAATAAACCACTATCTCATTTTAGTATGCAAATTTCAATTTAACACATAAAGAATTTTAAGTAATCATGTAGTTAGCAATCTACCACTTTTAGTTCGTCATTTATTTTGTAGATGGCGCCACTAAAATGCTATTTTTAAACACAAAAGCGTGATAAAACAGCAGATGAAAAATTATTTTAAAACAGCAACCAATTTTACTGCCACCACCTAAAATATAAAGAACTAATTAAAAACGGTAGATAAATTACTACACATTTACCCAGTTTTAAACTAAACATGATAGGCCTACTAATTTAAGACTTAGTTCAGAATTGGATTACCATCAGGCAAATAGGTACATGCTCAGGGCATCAAGGAAAGGGGGCATCAGAAAAATTTCTCATTGCCATTTTTATCATGGAATATATGGTGAGGCTAAACCCTGACTAATGGAAAGGGGACGAGGGAGAAGCAGGCACCAAAATCTTAATTGCTTAGCCCTCTAAATCTGGTTTTAATCTGGTGCTGACTTAGTCCTCTGGAAATTCCAGATATAGAACATAAAATATTCAAAATGAGCTGTCAAAAATGACAATGCTAAATTGTAGAAAAGAAATTTGCTTTGCTATTAAAGCATTAAAAATTAATTCAGTAGTAACTTGCATTCCTACTTAATAAAGATTTGATTATTCAAGAAATAGGTGTGCATTTATTCCATCAATGTATTTAAAAAGAGTTAAAAGTGATTTTATAAATACTGAAAAGCAAATCAATACATACTCCGCTCCACTCAGCTACTATCCACTCAGTTCTTTCACAAGGTCTTAATATACAGGGTTGAGTAGATGCAGGTTCTTGGTCACTGCAAAATTCTTTACTGATTATTTTCTGTAGATCACCAACTTTCATCACACATTTCACATCCCTAGTTTGTATACCATCTCCACACGATTTATCACACTAATAAAATAAAATAAAAAAAACTATTGTAATGCAGTAAACAAAGACACAGAAAACTATGTTGTACATTACCATATGTAACAAGATTAAAATGTACATAATACTAATTTCAAATCTTTGATATCAATTCTTACATTGCACTTTTTTTTTAAGTAACACATGTCTACTTCCTCCCCTCGATTAAACAAAAACAAATTCAGCCCTGTAACAGTGATTAACTCGATTAAATCCCTGCTTATTTTTTATAAAATTCTTTCAAAAATTAAGAAATGAGCCATTGATCCATTTATGTTTTTCATAAAATTCAGAAGCAATTGGTATCATCATTAGCTAAAATTGTTTTGTGAAATTTAATTTTTTAAACAAAACTATCTACCAATGTGTGCACTTTTTTTCCTAACCTTTTTTGTGGCTTTATTTGCACACACAAGTTTAACAGCAAAACGTAACTGAACATATTTACATTATAAAACTATATAGCCCAAATTAAACACTATGTGGTGCAAATACTTTATTCTGCTAGTTAACAAATTTGAAATTTTATTTGCATAAAATTGCATAATGGCTCACAAGTAATTATATTTACTAATTTAACAATTTGTGTGTATTTTCTATGTAATTCTTGAAACAATGTATGAATCCAATATTGCAGTTCTGTAAAAGAAATGCACATGAGAAAAAATGCTCATAACAGAAATACAAACAAGATTTTCAATGTTAAAATCAGCTTTAATAAGGTTACTTCTCATGTTACAAAAATATAGGATAAATGAAAGCTAAAATATGCTGCATAAAACATACGTAAATTTGTTCAAAATTCTGGAAAAAATAAATTATTTAAAAAAAAACTGAAAATTTTCAGATTTTTTATATTATGCCCAAAGGGGCATTTTTTTAACATTTTGTGTGTTACCTTTATTTATTAAATATCATGTTAATGTACTTAAATCATAAAATTAAATTCAACAGCAATATCACAATATAATTTGAAAAGAGCATATCTTTAGAATTTCTGATGCACAGTCTTGTGTGCTGGAGATAAAAGTGGTCCCCACCATACAGTGTGCCATTGCTTGCTTTGAAATCATCGAGTTTCTTAATTAAAAACCCATAACTGCTTAAAAAAAATGAAGTAGACAACAAACCAATTCCAAATTCCAAATCTGGGCTTCCAAATTTGGCCCATATTCAGGTGGAGACATACGTTATTCAAAATTTGATCGCTCTAGGTACTGTTCTTTTATCACAAAGAGAGAAACATATATATATTTATACAGATTCTTCATTATTTAATCCCTTTAAATATAATACAGGAGGATAATATTTGGTGGCAACAATCTGAAAAGTGAAATGCCACAAAATGCCAAAACGAAATTAATAGGTCTTCTGGGCTAATGCTCTTTGGGCTAATAAAATTTACAGGATTTGTACTGTCATCTATTGACTACTTCATATACAGTTATGAGATAAAATCTTCTTAAAGTAGTTATGTGAATTATAAAAATCAGTAAGCCAATAGTTTTTTTAGGATTTTGTGAAGCCCAGGCCCATAAGACATGAAGGTGTGATAAAATCAGTTTGAATTGATTGCCAGTAGGTGGGCCTTGCATGAAGGCTAAAGGGTTGATTAATTAAACTTGAAAAGTGTTCTTAACTCAAAAATATAAAATTTAATACTGATGGCTTAAAACTGCATCTGAAATTAAATATGCATTTGTATACAATTGAATGCTATAAAAGTTAAATACAGAAAAATGGGCAGAATTTTCTAATGCAATATCCTTACATAATGCAATTTTCTGCATATCAAACACTGTAATGATATTAAGCTCAGTAGTATATAACAATATTATACTTGAAAATTTTATAAAATAGTGTTGATTTTGCACAAAATGAAGTCTTATGCAACAACGAGTCACTGACTTAACATAATTTTCTGAAGCATGATTTCTGTATTGACCAAAATAATAGTTTCATAGTTAATATGCACTAAAGAAGCAATCCTGTGTGCAAACACAGCATCGTACAAAAAGGATCAGACACTTTTAGTTTTTGAAAATAAAGTCAAACATTTTAAATGTTTAAAATAAAACTAAAATATCATTTTTCTTTTAATTATATATTTTTATAATAAAGAATAAATAAATACAGTTTATAATTTAAAATATAGTTTATAATAAAATATAGTTTTTATTAAAATAATCACCTTGTGTAGCAATTCATCCATCTCAGTATTCCTATCATCACTGGAATATGGACTTGAAGTCATTTTATGAAAATGAATACCTAATCTTTTGTGACTATGTGAAATCTGATCATTAGTGATGATCTTGGATGTGAATGATAGGTTACTCTTAGTTAGCAAGTTAGCAAGCTAAGTTAGATTTGGCACACATTTGTAAGGGAAAAAACTTTTATAACTTCCATTTCATGTATTTAAAAATTTTTAAATTACTTTCAAAAACTGGAAGTGTCTAAAAGTAGCCTGTTTGTTAAAGTTACAACGTTTCCTTTAATAATTTCATTTATAATGATAAATGCTCAAAATTCATATCTTTTATGCATTTTTAAAGCAATGTAATTATACTTCAGAAATGATTAAAAAAAAAACAATGAATGATTATTACAGGGAAGTAAATTTTATGCAGATGACTTTTAAAACTTACTAATAATTTTTCTAACATAAAATGAAACAAAAAACTTACAGTTGACCATTCACCAGTTTCCCATGTTGGACACACAACATCATTACATGCCCTAGCGTACACAGGTTTAGGACCATCATTAGCTAGGCATTCTGAATCTGGAGCAACCACTGCTGTATCCTCGTGGCCACTCCTTTGGCAATGAACTTGCCGGTACTGCACTCCACCACCACAGGACTTGGAACATTCATCCCACTCAAACACTTGCCAACTAAATAACAATTTATTTCAAAGTTTTAAAATTTAAAAAAAAAATGAAATAAAACAAAAATATACTGAAAGCAAATAACAGGGTCAATCCATCTAGTTATACCACAAAATTAGTAAATTTAATATAGTTGCAAAATATCATAAAACTTATTAATACATATTACATATTGATATATTATTAACGATTCTAATTGCATAGTTGAAAACTAACAGACCAATAAGAAATCATATTTATTATATTGAAAAATATAATAAATCAGGATAGTCTTTTTTGTGTAAAGAATTATCACATACATCATAATGAATTTCATTAAAATAAAATGTACTTTAATGTACATAACATACAGGGTGTCTATAATTAAAGATCCCTATTTCAAAGCTGCCTACAAGCGAAACTAGTGATCAGAAAATCGTGAAAGTTTGTGGTGGACTTAATAAAGGAATGAGAATGTCTTTCAGAAAAAAGACAATTAGTTGCAAATAGCATCACCTGAGGGCATTTTACTTTGAAAACCTGTAGCAAAAATGTAAATTTTTGTTGACATCATGCAGCAGCTGTTATAAAACTTAGAAACATTCACGGAGACTTTGTTTTCAATGTACTTATAGCTTACAATGACGATATGTTTACGATCGCGCTTTGTTAGTTAAATAGTTTTCCCGAAACAGCCTTCATTTTCATAATGTGTGGCCTTTCCTATCCCCAGACCTCGATCCATGCGATTTTTGGCCTTGGAGACATTTGAAACATATGGTAATCATGATAATCCAAGAAGTTTACCTTATCAGCATTTCATGCCACATGCTGAACATTTCCCAGCACACACTTGAGTCAATTGTGGAACATGCATTCTTGCAATTTCGGATGGCAGCTGAAAATGTTTGCAATCATATGGAACATATTTTTTGTAAAATTTATAAAACTGCAAAATTATTTTAAAGGTGTGGATAAACGTATAATTTATTAATACAATGCCCTCTGGTGATGCTATTAGTAACTTTTATTTAAAAAAAAAAAAAAAAAGACATTCTTAGACCTTCATTAAGTTTGCAACAAAATTTCAGAATTTTCCAGTCAGTGTTTTCATTTGTAGGCAGCTTTGAAATAGGGTTCTTTAACCCTTTCGCCATCTTTTCCTGTCTGCGAAAATTTCTCCCCAGTGGCCCTTTGTTTTTTGCAGCGTGCAACATTGCTTTCTCTGTACATACATAACTTTCAAAGTGGATGAATGTAAATGAATATTAAGTAAAATTATAAGGAAATAAAGCATAATGGAAAAGTAATAATATCTTTGCTTATTTCTAACAGCAGGATTTATTTGATAACATCTAATCCAGGCGGTCCACTCCTCCCATTTTGTTGTTACAATTATTGGTTTTTTTACAGTTCTTTTCCATGTTTCAGCATCAATCATAGTTATTATGGACTGTACTCATCATACGTATATCCTTCTTGTCTTTCAAATTCACAACCTCATTTTTTTTTCTTTTTCTGCTGAGTAGATGTTGAAGATCTCTCACCGTCTTGTATCTTATGTAAAGTGGTGCGAATATTCATAAAACCCGGGGGGGGGGGGAATTCAATTAGAAATAGAATGCCTGATTAATACTGCCCTCCAGGAGGTATTAGAATGAAAAAAAATAAAAACTCAAACAAGTAAACATTTAGAAAGCGTTTTAAATGTTTAAAAGTTTTAAAATGGAGAAGAACGCTTGAAGTGCCTTACTGCCACCCTGCAGAAGTTTCACTTGAATGCACTAATTGCGCAGTGGCATAGCGAAGGGGGGGGTAAGAGGGTGTATGATGCCTTGGGCGCCGCTCGTAGAGGGGCGCCAAATGGTCTCCAAACAAAATTTTCCAGAAAATTTCAGTTTTTATTTCGTTTGATTTCTGTAAAATATATTTAAAATTAATAATTATTGTAATATAATTGATTAATTATTTTCTTGATTTGTCTGATATAATGTGTAATAAAATGTTTGCAGTACATCAACCAAATATCTCCCCATACGTCATTCTTTCTGACCACTTTATTTCTCTAAAACAGAGATATATTTTTATTTTTTTAAAACGAAATGCTCGTATAACTCACTTTTTTTTTATTTTAAAATGATAACACGACCTTGTTCCAAATTTCTCAAACATATCCACTTTCCAAAAACCAATTCCATAGTCTGAAAATGACATTTTAGTAAACTCGTAACACTTCCGCTACAATGGATTGCATTTGACTATCCTGTGACTGTGAAATTGCCCTGGTTCATTTACAGCACAGCTCACTGGGATGATCTAGCTGTGTTAGATACTAAAACTATGTTACCTAAGAATACTCAAGACTAATTTTAACTTCGCACTAAACAAAAAGTCTTTGGGAGATTATACGTACTGAGCTGGGCAGGGTTCTTCATTACAAGATTGAGTAGCTGGAGGTTTCACTGAAACATCACATAAATAATCAGCAACAACCTCATAAGTATCAGTTGTGGCACAATTAACCTTCCGAGTCTGTGTACCTTTAAGAGAAAATTTATTTTTATATTAAACAAATTTCTAAGATAATCAGTCAGTAATTAGTAAATTAGATAAAACATTGTAATATGAAAATATTAATATATTTTAATGTTGAAGCATTTTAAATAAAATAAGCCAAAAAAATAGTGCTATTAAATATTGACAATTTAAAAACATAGGGTAAAAAAAATTGCTACACTTATGCATTTTCAATTTAGTTCCTGATTCCAAATCATATTACATATGGTTAAAACACATAAACAAACCCAAGCAAATCTTTTAACCGATACAGTATTACAAAGGTTTGGTATTGCAAGACCCTTACATATTAAATATATATTAAATCTGCATCCGCATTTTCAAAGAATTGTAGTTATATATTAGAACACTGGAAGTGAAATTGCAATTTTACGTGAAAACAATGCACCACATTAAGCTTCCAACAATGTTCACAATTCAATCTTAGATGACATGTTTTATGCAATTTAGCACACAATATGACAAATGGGAATAGATCCCATGAGAAAATGCATCTTAAAGGGCACTGTAATTAAAGCTATTTAAGACTGAGATTTGATTTAATGGAACTGATATCAATCTTAACTGGATCTTAAATGGAATTTATATTCCCTTTAAATGGAATTTATCATCTTTATAGTCAATTTTATTAACCTATTTGGTTATCAAAAATATTTTTAAAAATACCCTTCACCAAGTAAATGCAAACCAACACAAGATATTACTAGAAAACATACTTCATCCTAAATATTCCCTCTTAATCAGTATCATATTCTACATATCTAACTACTTAATTTAATAACAATAAACAGAAAAACTGATATTTAACATTATTCATAAATTTACCTTTCAGTATGTTAAATTAACTCTATACATAAGTATATTTGATTAATATTATCTCTAACTCTTCACTTATAGGAAACAATTCTGTAAAGGTATAAAATATTTTGTTAATTTTACTGGTTACTGATTCATATGCAGATACAACATAAGGGTCAACATATTATCACTAGCAATACACTGACTACAAATAAGTATTTCGACACCTATGCAAATGATGATATCTGCGGTCCCAAGGTACGCCACAGACTCCACCGGTATATATCGTGTAGGAAACAGCATTGGCTTTAGTCGCATGCAAGATGCCTCGCAGTTCGGAGCTCTTTGATTTTGAGAAAGGTATAATTATCGGGTATCACAAATGTGGCCGATCCTTAAGGGACATATCTACCGATCTGAAGTACCCAATATTGACAGTGGCCTATGTGATTAAGAAGTGGAAGGTGAGCGATGATTGTCAGAATGTGCCCCGAGTCGGCAGAACAACAAAACTTGGCGATAGAGACCGACGAGTGCTATCCAGAGAAATTTGGAAGAACCGTACCAAACCGATAGCCCTCATCAGCAAGGAGTTTCAACAGGTATCTGGGAGTATTGTTTCAATGAATACCACCCATAAGGAAGCACATCTGCTTGGTTTTCATGGTCGTGCTGCTGCCCATAAGCCTTTGATCACAAAGTAAGTCCAACCGCGCTGCTAGGTTAATGTGGTGCAAAGCACATCAAAATTGGACCGTAGATCAGTGGAAATGGGTTCTTTGGAGTGACGAATCAAGGTTCACCCTTTACAGTTCGGATGGCAGGGTCTGGCATCTACCTGGAGAACGTCTCCTGCCAGAATGCATTGTGCCAACAGTCAAGTTCGCCGGAGGTGGAATTATGGTCTGGGGGTGTTTCTCCTGGTATGGGCTGGGACCCTTGGTCCCCGTTCATGGTAAGCTCAATTCCGATGCCTACTGCACTATTTTGGATGATAATGTGCTTTCTACATTGTGGCAGTTTTACGGGTTGGACCCCTGTTACTTTCAGGACGACAATGCCATTTGTCATGTTTCGATGTTCAGAGTCCAGACCCGAACCCTATCGAGAACCTCTGGGACGAGTTGCATCGCCGAATTCAGGGGTGCACTACCCGTGCAAAATCGGTGAAGGAACTTCTATGTCTTCTCCAAGCTGAGTGGAAGAAAATACCACTAGCTGTCATACAAAGACTTGTGGAAAGTATGCCCCGGAGGATCCACGCTGTAATTACCTCTCATGGAGGCTCTACCAGCTATTGATTTTGAATAAAGTTAGTTTTTCTTTTCTATCACAGGTGTCCAAATACTTATTGGTAGTCAGTGTATGCTTTGGCTCATATGTGTGATTAAGGTGAAATTAGAACTGATTATAAAACTTATACATAAAAAGAGTTAAAATTACATTTGATGCTGATAAAAATTAAATAAAAACAATACAGTGCTCAGCTTAAAAATCAGACACTAATTCATTATGAAACAGAAATTAATCAAAGATTACATTGATTTAAGGAACAAAATTAATTTCCATACAAAACATAATAAAAATTTCACAATAAAATGACATTATAATGAGGACAGACAAGATCCTTATGAAAATTATGAACTAAATAGTAGTGACAAGGAACAATGTCAGAGTGAACAACTGATAATAAAGTGAAATTAAGAAAAACAATTTCTTTACCTCCACCACAAGTTTTGCTGCATAGTCCATAGTTTGAATATATCCATGAATAACTGATAGGCTGAGTATTACTGAAGCCAACAGGAACAGAATATTCATATTTTATGCCTAAATTCTTTTGTTGATATAAAAGCTATAAAGAAATTGCAACAAAAAATTTCAATAATGTCATATTTGCAGTCCTACATGGTTATTTTTAGTATATTTGTATGTTATAATAATTTTTTTTAAATAGAAAATTTAGATAATCTTGATAGTCTTCCTTTTCATAATTAAATGCGCACAATCCACTGGTTTTTGACAGCAGACAGCATAAAAAGTAAAAGGGAACTTAATGAAAACTTTTAAAACTTATAAGACAGTGAAAGCAATATATACATGTGAAAAATTAGTACAGTACAAAGTCCAAGATCCGGACTCATCGGGACTTCAGCGATTCTAGATTTGGGATTTTTCTGGTTATTAGATCATCAGTTTAAATCTAGTAAGGTGGCATGCAGAAATTATAAAATTAAAAATATGAAATCATTATTTATGAAAGAATGAACATTTATGATCTAAAGGGTATATCAAAATTTACAAAAAAGTTTAATATTTATTTGTTTACTTTACTAAATATTTCTTCCAATGCAAGTTGTTTAAATTTCTTCTTTTTTTGGTACGTGTGTTAATACTTTCTCTTTAATTCTGTAGACAGACATAATTTCTTGTACAGTTACATTGTTGAAGTCCTATAATTGCTGTGTGGATAATTCAATTAACTTGGCAATCGAATTTTTTCGTTTTAAATAATCTCTCTATCACTTTCTTTACTATTGGTAGAGGCATTTTCTGGATCTAGAACCATAGTACATATTTTGCCATTCATTAATTGACTGATGATTGACATTAATTGATCCTAAATTCTGCTACCAAACACCTTCTCTAAATTTTGCCATCTGGTGTGGCCATACAGTGCTGGTTCTGGATTTATGTGAATAACAAAACAGTTATTCTTAATCCAAATAGCACTGAATGATCTTTTGGCTCATGAATATCATTAAGAAAATTTATTTTTAGCATAAGGAAGAAATTTTTGTTAAATTTTTCCTCATTCAACATTTCTTAGGGCATTTATCTTAAATCTGTAATTATCGGCAAGCGTAATGTCAACATAAAAGGTTACTATACTCTTTATTATTCAATTACTCACATAAAAAATTGTTTAGGTATCATTGCATGAGTCATTACTCAAGTTGTGTTATGACAACTTGAGTAATTGAGTTGTTAACATGATGTTAACACTTGAGTAATAAAATGTTGATAAACATGCAGTGATGAAAGCAAAATATAATAAATAATGATTCACCAGGTTGTGGCATCAGAGATATAAAATATTAGTAGGTGTAAAATCAATCATGGTATTTGTGTAGAATGTTTTGGTTTGAGATGTATGCCAAGCAGATATGCAGCAACAGAGCCAAATTAATGCTAAAATGATTGTTTCTGCAATAACAAGGTCTTTTATTTAGTGCCGAAGAGAAATTAAGAATCAGGACTCTCCATGTGTTTTCTTATGTGCAGGAGGGGGAATCAAATATGCATGTGTAAAGCATACAGGAAAAAAGTTTTTGGTGGCTTTGACTTCCTGATTTTAGATCATTCTGGATATTGGACATCCGGATGTTGGACTTTGTACTGTAACACTATTTCCTACAGAAGCACGGGCAAACATTCAAAGAAAGGTTTTATGAAAGGTTTATTATGAGATTTTTATATTGTATAAAATGTATTATGTGACCTTATTGAAAATATAGCAAATGTATTATGTGACCTTATTGAAAATATAGCAATCTACCCTAAATTGCTTTTGTTTTATAGTGACTTTAAGTCATTTTATACTCCTATTTCAGTTTTCTTAATCAGTATCAAAGACTGATATGAGGATTTATATATATATATAATAATATACACTTATATTATGATGCAAAGAATACATGAATAACTTATTCACATAACAGTCTATCATGTGTGCATGATACTTCCATTCAAAGGTTTCTAAATTAAATAGTAATAACATAAATTTTATTTTAACCATATTATCTCAGGAAAGTTTTAACAAAAAATAGAAATGTTTACATCTTTATTGAAAATATTAGCAATAAATTTGTCTTTAAGAACACAGAATGAATAATTACCACTATGTATATTGGTTCACTTGTAGGTCCAGCAGCATGAATATATTCCTGATCAACATAACCTGCAGATATTCTTTCATACCGAAAGTATGTTCCAGCAAACTTCTTCGTTCTACTGTATTCAATTTGCCAATTTCCATTCAAATAGTAATAACCTGATGAATTTCTAACAGCTGACAAAAAAATAAAATAAAAATATGATAAAAGGGCTATCTGAAAATATATAAAGTTTAATGAATTAAAAAAAGTAATTTTTTTAAATGACTTACCCAGATAATTATTTGTAGCATGCAATTCTTTAATTTCTATTGTTGTTGCCCCAGCAGGAATCAGAATTATGTCATTATAACCTAAAATAATAAACAGTGTTAATGACCATAGATTTGCATCTCTATATAAATGTCACAGAATAATCTTTGGGTATGTTATGTATAACTGGCACACAAATGGCATGTATTCATTGCAATGTCAAATCATTAGATAATAAGATCCTTTCTTTCAACGCAGTACTTAAACAATTTAAATTAATTTACATTAAACAATGCTGCAACATGCATGCATTCCATAAAATGCTTAACAGATTGGTTACAAATAATATGAAATAATTTTAATGAATGAAAAAATTTCAGCGTTTCTTATGCAGTGGTGGGCTAAAAAAAAGCTTTTTTTTTTTTTTTTTTTTTTTTTTTTTTTTTAAATTTACAAATACACCAAAATGGGATCTGTTCCTATTAATCATTGAATTATTGGCATGTATACTGTTTCATTTTCAAATAAAAATTTAGGGATGAAATGTTCTTTCTCTAAGCTCCATTTTCTGATCAATCTTTTTATCTTAACAGTATTCATATTTCATCGTTTAATTTTTTAATTAAAGATGCTAGAAATGATAGAACTAGTTCTTCTCAGATACACATGTTTTGTAGCAAACCTAGTCTTCACTGCTTAGACTAATCACTGGTATAGTTACACAATTTATGCACATATACACTGCCCTCATCTTGCTGATGAAAATGACATGCAAGATTTTAGAATGGGACAGATTAAGCAACTATAAAGGCTGCATTCAGCTTTGCTTAACCCTCTTTTAATGGCTTGGCTTTATTGTTTGGATATTGCAAAGAAATAATTTTAATTTTTGCTTTCTTTATTACTGACAGAAAACTTAACATTCTTTTAAAGATATTTATGTACAAGGGGTGTAGAAATGCTAGAAAAAGAATATTGTTTGCAACCTAACTTACTGCTTATTCATAATAATAATCAAGCATTAAAAAACTGCTAATACTATAAAAGAAAATATTAGAAGCCAAAATCATATAAAATATTTATTTCTCAAGTTTCTCAGAGAAATGTAAATAAGTCAGTATTTATATCAATCATCAAAATAAAAAGCATCAAAAATAAGGGTTAAAAATCAAATAAAATATGAAATTGTAATAACAAAGTTAACTACAAAAAATTTTAAAATATTATATCATAATTACATTGCATATGTGTAATATATTTTAATTTTAATTTATTTAGAATTTATAGTTTAAATATTAGCAAAAAAAAGAAAATTTTAAGAAGTTTAATGTAAAGAACTATTATTTAGTTTTTCTATTCTAAAATGATACTTCAAAATGATAAAATTAAAAAAATCACAATAATAATTTTAGAGACATTATAAAATTACCCATTTCCAAATTTGTCTGATCAAAAATTCCTTCAACAGTTTTGCAATTACTACCATCTCCTCCACATTCTCGGCACTTATCTTCTTTGATATCAGAGCCAAGCTTTATATCACAGCCAACAGCCTAACAATTTAAAATGTATATATGTAACTAACAAATAAATAATACTATGCAAATAATACTATATAATTATACTACAACAATTATGCTTAAATTCAGCTGAAGCTCAGCACTGATACTTCTCAGTTTTTAAAAGAAACTGTAATAAGACAGAAAGCAGATCGGACCCCCAAGTGCGATGAGCTACAGTGATTTATTCTGCAATTCATTTAAATAACAGAAAGAAAATTCTATTACTTGTGCAGAATCTCTTTTAGCCATTAGTAAAACAGCTCCTGATACCTACTGTTTAATGAGCCTTCTTTTATTTAGAAGTGTGAAATGTGTGCAGAACTAGGGTTTTCAGCAGCTGCAGACAATGAAGACAATTAACTACGCTTAGTTTTTGAAAGCTAACTAATTACTTTATCTACATGTAAAGTATAGAAGCATTATATTTTTTTATGATACTGCTAATAAACATAAAAATATGCTAAAGTTCGACACTGGAGTTGTACACACATCTCCAAACAACATAAAACTAAATCACCTGGCACATGTACAAGTAGGGAAAGATACCAGAATTTCACAATTTGTCATACAGGTATAGTCCTAGCAAAATAAACAATTTTGCCCTATTTTTGAGAAAGAACATCCTGAAGGGAAAGCAGTCTAAGGGTCTCAGCAAACTATTAGCTGCCTCCAGAGATAACTCAGATGTAATAAAAATAATAACCTCCGCTCACCTAGTGGAAATTAAGAATGACGTCACACACCATAGCACCGCACTCCACAGTGCAACTAAATGACTCAACTCGCATACCCATATACTGGAGCCACATCTCATCAAAGCAGAGATCAATCCCATCAATGCAAAGGCTCCCAACCACACTTATAGCACAGACTCAATCGCAATGACCAGTTTTGTTTCCTCATTTAGCAACGAAAATACTAGGAAGGGGTTTATAGAATTATTAGAAGTAACTGCAAAGGATGCATTTTTTCAATGATAATACATGAGGTGTCTATATGCAAATGTAGGAAAATAACACTTCTCTGACCCCAATAGAATCAGTATTTTATTCCTTACAACATTATATATACTTATTTACATTTTACATGCACATTAAATTGTATGATAGAATACCGACCTTTGTTTTTCACTGAGACAAGAAAAAGTGTTGCTTTTAAACTTTAACTAAATTAGAAACTTGATGGAACTGAAGCAATGATACACATCACCTTCCTAGTGACAGCGATTATGGAAGACAGTCTTTAAAGTGACTGGGGGAATTTCACATGTCTGCCGGTTCTAGTAGCCTTGGTTTCATGGCTGAGTTTCTAAATTTTCTTCAGTGCAGGTGCTTCCCCAAGTTCTGCTTTCTTGGAATGGGAGTCTTGGAAAGGAATATCAGCATCTTTCACTAGAAAACGTGGTTTTAGTTTGTCTATTAAAACTCTTTTAACTTTTCCGTGGATTTCAATATCAAAATACTTATCCTTTTTTGCTCTTACAAGATACGGGCCAAGACAGACAGTCTGTAGTGAAGAATTATTAATGTTGTTGTATAGGAATATATATGAGTAGATGGAGACACGAGCAATAGCAAAGAATGCAACCTAACATCGGAAATGCCAGACTTGCAAACTTTGTTTTAAACTGTCTTATGCTGATGAATCTTAGAAATGATCCTGCTATACCATGTGTTGTATGGTATACATTTTCTTTTTTAAATCAACTGAATTTCATTAAAATCTGTTCTAGAGATAATCAATTAAATGTGAAAATTCTCTTAATTTGTATATATAAACACATGTTTAAGAAAAGAGAAAGGAGGAAAGATCTCAGGAAGCAACTTACCATGCAAACACCTTGTACGCATATATCTGAAGAATCTTCTCTACAACGAGTTCCATCTATTACAGCTTGGGAATGTCGATAATAAAATTTATCACCACCTTTAGGCATACAGTTGAGCTCACATTCATTGAAACCTGAAAGCATAAAACATTGGTTGCTGTTTATTTTTTGTGAACATGCAGTGACTTAAAGGATTACACAAGCAGTCATAAAAGTAAATATTTTCAGTATTCAAGTATGGCCAAGTTTACATAGCATACAAGAGAACATAGTAGTCTGATTTTAAAGTTAATTATAATCAAATTTTTTACAGTTTGTTTATCTCACCTTATATAAAATAAAATTCACCAAAATGCAATTTGCTGATTTTTTTTAATGTTCCCCCCTGCAACTAACTTTATTTTAATCTGAGTCAACTTTATTGCCAAAACCTAAAATATTAGGAAGACATTGGACTTAGACTTTTAAATCTAAACTATTTCTTTATACAGTATACAGTCAAAAGTCTTTAATCCGGACTCGTCGGGACTTCGGCGATTCCGGATTATCGATTTTTCCGGATTATAGATCATCAGTTTAAATCTGGTAAGATGGCATGCAGAAATTATAAAATTAAAAATATGAAACCGTAATTTATAAAATAATGAGCAATTATGATCTAAAGGGTATCAAAATTTACCAAAAAAGAAGCCTAATATTTATTTGTTTACTTTATTAAACATTTCTTTCAACGCGCGGATGCGTAAAGCATACCTTACGCATAGCCGAAATTAGAAAATTGCAACCAGAAAACTATTTGATTTGTATTCGTGATATTTATAATGACGAGGAATTTGATTTAAATCATATCAAAGACGGAGTACATCGAAATTAAATACTACATTTAGTAAGGAATTATAAGCACAATAAAATAAAAACATCTTCCCTGAAGATAACGATAGTGTTGACAGATCAACTTCCAGTTCATTGCACGCCGCGACGTCCCCCCCCCCCCCGCACAGAGCAGCGTGAAATTGATAAACAGATTTCGGAACGGTTAGATAAACAAAGGATATGCTTTTATCCATTTTTTGTAGCAATTCCTTTTTTTTTTTTGTTTGATGGACATCGAAACATACTTTCGTTTTTCTAGATCCTTTGGGAGCTCCAGCATCGGAAATTCTATTTGACATAATCGAAAGTTCAAGCTTACTTTTAGAAAATTGCTCTTACAGTCTGAAAAAAATAATAAGCCGGATCCAATTCGAAGATTAAGGAACAACGCAATTATCAACATTAACTGAAATAGATAATTAGATAATTTTAGTTTATACCGTCCGTTATACATTAAACGCGCACGCGAAAACGTATTCTGTACTTGCGCACACGCATATGCGTAGTAGTCAAGGTCTTACGCGCACGCGTAAAACGCCTGTGCGCATTTGCCAACGCGGCGCATGCGCAGAAAGTTTTTAGCTTTGAGGTCCGGATTATAGATCATTCCGGATTACGGGTGTCCGAATTAACGACTTTTGACTGTATTATATATAGAATATCAGCAGTTAATTTTTTTACTATTTCATATTTCTAGAAAAGCAGATTCACATGCATTTTTTTAGAAAAATTGCGAGTTCAAGGTTGAAAGAACTTCCTTGTAAGTTCAGTTTCAAAGCGAACAGCTTCAAAGGCTGTATATGCAATGGATGCATGAATATCCATTATAGCAATATCATAAACTAGCTTTTGTAAAATTACTTATTATATCCTGTTGCCCAAAGAAGCATGATAATGCATAATTCCTTCTTCCTATGGTAAAGAATAAATATAGTCTTTGCTTTGAAAGTAGAATTTATTATAAATCAGCTATTATAGCTTTGTTTCTGGAATCAGACATGTTGTTTAATAACTTCTCATACACTTTAACCTGTAGAAGGAAAACAAATACTAGAGAAAACACAGATGAAAATTAGCAAAATTTAAAACAAGCAAGAAACAATATCCAGTCTAAATAGATAAGTGATTGCTTGTGCAAGCGCATTACTATGCTCCCCTTATCAACAGTAATATGCCATTATTTATTCTCTCCAGCGGTGAAGTTAAAATAAAAATCAAATAAAATGAGTTATGTTATATCAAATTAAGCTTGGTTTTATTAAGTAAAGAAGATTCATTCATTATTCATGAGAAGATCACAGCATTATTCGCAAAAAAAAATCACAAACAGAAGTTTTAAAAATTAGGTTCACGAATTCGATCTTATTTAAAGTTTTGAACAGTTGCAAATTTTTCATTATTTAAGCAATGCTTGGATTGCTGGACACATCATTGGTACTAACCTTATTGTAATTAATGACAGCATTATGAATAATTAGAAAAAATTATGGTAACAGAAAGGAGAAATTATGGTAACAATACCTTTTTTATAAGGGATCCAGCTAAAGTATTTCCCACCTAAGGGAATAGAATCAAATTTGGCACACTGAATTTCGCGGAAATCTTTAGAGCCTTTTGGACAGGCCTGGAAAAAAAAAGTGAAGTTAAGAAATAACAATACAGTACTAAATTTCTTTGTGACTACATCTGGATTCCTTTAAAAGTTTACAATAAATTTTAATAATATATAAATAATATCAAAATAGCTAAACTACATTAATTTAATAATATCAAAATAGCTAAACTACAGATACAACTTATGAAGTTTCAGTTAGCATGGGCCATACTGCTCCCAAGAAACAAGATTTTTATTTCGCATAATTGGTCAACTCTTCTACTGATAACTTCTTTATCTTTGAAAGAAACAGTTTAGAATGATAAAGAATTTCCAAAAATATTCCATCGCATAGATTTAATAGCACTACACTTAAAAAAAACTATTAACACCAACATTTTCAAAAGATATATGCTATTACATTTCATGTATGGTCACAGCTACAGTCAAAAGTCGTTAATCCGGACTTGTCGGGACTTCGGCGATTCCGGATTATCGATTTTTCTGGATTATAGATCATCAGTTTAAATCTGGTAAGATGGCATGCAGAAATTATAAAATTAAAAATATGAAACCGTAATTTATGAAATAAAGAACAATTATGATCTAAAGGGTATCAAAATTTACAAAAAAAAAAGCTTAATATTTATTTGTTTACTTTATTAAACATTTCTTTCAATGTAAGTTGTTTAAATTGCTTTGTTTTATGTGATAATACTTTCTCTTTAATTCTATAAACAGACAATTTCTTGTTCAGTTACAAAGTTCCGCTGTTCAAGTCCTATAATTGCTGTGTCGAGAATACCAACTAATTTCTCAATCAAAATTTTTTCATTCTCAATAACCTCTGTGTCATTTTCTTCACTATAGGAAGCGAATTATAATGACGAGGAATTTGATTTAGTAAATCATATCAAAGACGGAGTACATTGCAATGAAATACTACATTTAGTAAGGAATTATAAGCCAAATAAAATAAAACATCTGCCCTGAAGATAAGGATAGTGCTGACAGATTAACTTCCAATTCCTAGCATGCCGCGGCGTCCCCCCCCTTCCCGCCGCAGAGCAGCGCGAAATTGATAAACAGATTTCGGAATGGTTAGAGAAACAAAGGATATGCCTTTATCCATTTTTTGCAGCAATTCCACTTTTTGTTTGATGGACATCGAAATATACTTTCACTTTGTAGATCCTTTGGGAGCTCCAGCATAATCGAAAGTTCAAGCTTACTTTTATAAAATTGCTCTAACAGTCTGCAAAAAATAATAAGCCGGATCCAATTCGAAGATTAAGGAACAACGCAATCTGCAACATTAACTGAAATAGATAATTATATAATTTTAGCTTATACTGTCCGTTCGAGCATGCGCAAACGTATATGCGCAGCCGTAAAGGTCTTACACGCATGCGTAAACGCCTATGCGCAGAAAGTTTGTAGTTTTGATGTCCGGATTATAGATCATTCCGGATTATGGGTGTCCGAACTAACGACTTTTGACTGTATTGATAAAATTGCTGACAATGGAAATGAATTAGATTTCAATGAAGAATGTGGATGGTATTTGTGCAGGAACTGCTCAACAGTAATCATAAAGAGTTAAAGTGATAAATATTTTGCTAATATTAACCAAAGGAATGCATATCAATTTGATTAAAATAAATTTAATAATGAAAAAAGATAACTTTCCAGAATTAAAATAAATTTGACACAATGGCGGATGGGGCTATCAGAATAGTTAAAAACACAAATTACAAATTCCAATCTGGAAAGAATATGTCAAGTCATTGCGAAAAGTGTACTGAAAATTTAATTAGCTGCTATAAGGAGGAGTATGAAAAGAAAAGAAAATAGCAGAATAGTTATTTTAGATTTTTTTTGATAAAAACTATTAAAAAAAAACACTTCGGATAATTTAAATTTTGCTTATGTGTAAAAAAAAATTGAACTGTATTGACTGACGAAAACAGTTATTATTATCTTGATTTCTGACCGACTCTGACGTGGTTATTTCAGTTTTGGTTCCCTTTTAGACTACTATGTATTCAGTTGTTGAGCTTTTCGCTAATAAAAGCATATATTCATGTATCAGCATTGGTAATGCAGCATTACAAGAAGAATTTGTATTGACAAAAGATCAGGCAATAAACGAATTTGTTATTTTAGGAAAAAGTTGAGCAATTTGAAAAGCGACTTGCAAATCCACATTATTTTCTAAAATTGGTTGGTACAATTTAAATGATATAGGAATAATATCGCTAACTGTTAAACAAGAATCACTAATGGCCATACTTCTGCCTTAATTGACATATTACTCACTAGTTGAAATACATGGCCTATCAGAATGTAATTCAACTTCTATATATTTTTTGCCTTTTTTAAAACAGTCTAAAGTGATTTAATGTAGTTTTTGTTAATATGTGGCCCTCAAATGCTTTTTGCAATATTTCAAATTTTTTGGTAGTACATATTCCATTTCAAAATAAAATTTATTTGTATGTCATTTATTCAATTTCATTTGCCATTTTAAGGAAATGGCCAAAAAATTCTTTATTCATAAAACAATAAAAGGAAATGAAATATGAATTATTACCAAATGCTGAAAAAAGTCACAATAATTTCCAAAAAAAAATTGCAAGCGATTTTAAAAGCGCATTTCTTATTAATCATTCTTGATGTTTTCTTAATTACAAATTCATAAATGCATATATATAATAAGTTAGATGAATTATAAAATTCTAATGATTAAATTTTAATTTTATAAAGGTTTTCCCCCCCCCCTCCTCGTGCTGGCATGTATCTAGCATATTACAAAAAATCCTAGATTTCAAGATGTCCTCACATTTTATAGCAAAACTAGCTCATAACAGAACTTAGAACATAGAGCCCTTTTAAAAGGGCGACCGGGGTTTTCAAATTTGAATTGCGTGTTTGAAATCTTAGAAATATTTAGAAACTTATTTATTTATATTTCTTTATAAATAATTAAACTGAGGAATTCTGACACATTTCGTGATGAATGAAAAATAAACACTTCTGCTACTACCATCAGATAGAAATTAGTTTTTAGCATTGGGCATTGTACAGTATGGTTAAAAATCAAGAGCAAAATAAAAAATTTCCATATTATAGCACTAATCTGTTTACTATTTAAATTAAATTTGAAATTGTTTCAAGGCACAGCAGGATGAATATCAAATACTTTATTTTCTTCATCATTTTTTATTTCCAATTTCATACAAAATACGGTACTCTATTTTTTATGTATTGCAATACATAAAAAATAGAGTACCGTATTTGCAGAAGTGAAAAAAATAGACCCCCCCCCAAAAAAAAGTAGCACGAAACTGTATTTACACGCGACTAAAAATAAATAAAATATCTGAATACTGGATAATTTTTAATGTTATTGAATGCTGTAAGTAATCGAACTTACAATGGAATTTTAAACGAAAATATTTCCGCGTAGTTTTTGACGGTATATGATATGTTTTTGTTCAACATTAAGCGCTCATGAATGGAAATTTAAAAAAAAAAAAGTTTTAATACGTTTATAACTTAGATTATAAAAACACAAACTCCGAAGGCCAAGTTTCATCAATAATCTATAAACACGGGAAAAATAATCTCAGCTGTCTAAACAAAAGAGTGTGTTACAAAACATTCTTTGCTTCGGAAATGAGGCAAAGAGAGTGCCAATATAACTTATACTGGGAAAAGAAAAGTCAAAGCACTTCACAAATCAGAGAAACATTATGGTTCCAAATGCGCTAAGAAACAAATTCTTCTTTACATATGGAAGGGAATTCAGCTGTATAAACTCAAAGAGAGAGGGATCAAACAACTAGTGGAAAAAAAGACACGTGTTTTTCATCATCCACACGGGGATTATAGAGGGTGAAAAAAATACTCTTGATCAGTAACGCTATCAAATGTCGCATTTCACAACCTCATATGTCTCTTAAAAAGGATAGCTTTTTTTTTTAAATATTTTGATATACTAAGAGATTTTTTTCACTGACCTAATGAAAACAGACAAACTATAACCCAAAAATGCTCAATGTTCTATGCTTATAAGGTATATATCTCCCACCTTCTTGGCCTGCCTTCGTGGTGTAGTGGTTCTGCATGCTGGGCCGGTATTCCAGAGGTCCGTGGTTCGATTCCCGGCGAAGGCATTTGCTAATTTTTCATTTCTTCTGCTTTTCCAAATAACCTAATGTCTCTACAGTGGTGCCTGAAACTGCAGAGACATTAAGTATATATTTTTGGAAACAGGAAAGATGAAGAATAGCAATCGCCTTTGCCGGGAATCGAACCGTGGACCTCTGGAATACCGGCCTAGCATGCAGAACCACTACACCACGAATGCACGCTAGAAAAGCGGGAGAAATACCTTATATACTTCCCTTTTTAAAGGGCGACTGGGGTTTTTAGGGGAGCCAATCGCCAAATCCTGGGTTAGGAGAAACCATCATCCAACACCCTTGTCGGCACCACTATAGAGACATAAGGTTTTTTTTTTTTTTTCCCCCGGGGGGGAAGAGGAAGCAGGCACGATGAAAAATGAGCAATCGCCTTCGCCGGGAATTAAACCACGGACCTCTGGAATACCGGCCCAGCGTGAAGAACCACAACACCATGAAGGCACGCCAAAAAGGTGGGAGATATACCTTATATACTCTCCCTTTTAAAAGGGCGACCGGGGTTTTTAGGGAACCCAATCGCCAAATCTGGGTGCGGAGAATCTTAATCCAACAATCCTTTTAGTTCGGGCGCCACTACAGAGACATTAGGTTAATCGAAAAAGCCGGAGAGATGAAATATGAGCAACCGCCTTCGCCGGGAATCGAACGACAGACCGCTGGAATACCGGCCCAGTGTGCAGAACCACTGCACCACGAAGGCACGCTAGGAAAGCGGGAGAAATACCTTATACGCTTTAAAGTTAGACTTTTGTAATCCAAGACTCCCAACAGGATCTTTCTATCAATGGCGGATGGGGCTATCAGAAATTCGGGTAATTTCCG